TTGTTGCCATGTTGATAACTGACATCAATATTTTCGTTTCTTTTAATACATAAATATAAATTTAAAAAACTATATTTTATTTTTTTATGTTAACAGTTATTTTTTCACAGTTGATTATTTTTCAAAGTAATTGAATTTGTAGTTGCTGAAACATATTTTTAAAGTGATCTCTGAAAGCTGGAAAGTATATATGTCCCAATATGTCTGTCCCTCTGTCTGTGAATGTCTGCCCATGTGTCTGTCATCATGCCTTCCTATCACCAGGGAGTATATGACAGATGGAATATCAATCCCTTATTCCATTCCCTCCTGTTTGTGGCATATACCAAGTAAGGTTTTATGTGATAGATGGTAGTATTGTTGTAAGTGTGATCAATACAGCTCAGACTTGTATCATGCACCATTGGCAACAGTCCCGACATGGAAGCTGGCCACAACGCTGTTGCCTACACAAACTGTGTTTTTGTAGCATATTTGTTTGGCCTCTTTTCAAAAAAGAACCAGAATCAATAACAAAGATTTAAGACCATGATCTCATGAAAGACCTATTTGGTGAATAAAAAGCAGAAATTAAAAAGTGAGGGTTTTTTAACGAGCGAAGGTTATTTGCTGATGTATCACACCAATGTGAAGATTTTGGGTTAGAATAGGTCTTCTGCAACCAATGCTTGTCGTAAGAGGCGACTAACAGGATCAGGTGGTCAGACTCGCTGACTTGGTTGATGCATGTCATCGTATCCTAATTTTGTGGATCGATGCTCATGATGTCAATCACTGGTTTGTCTGGTCCAGACTTGATTATTTACAGACAGCTGTCATATAGCTGGAATATTGCTGAGTGCGAACAAACAAACAAACAAACAAACAAACACACCAAGGTTGACCGACTAAGAATGTTTTTATTACTGAAAGCAGTTGACAGTATTGTTCTAAGGAAGAAAACAATTCACAAGAGTTTAAATTTATTCTTCATTTGTGACAAATTGTGTAGGCAGATCTTTAAACCAAGTATTGTAGCAAGACCTATATTTAAGTGCCGTTATTTCCTCAAGTATCCATGCATATCAGTTATTATATGCACACAAACACTTATTGTAGGTAAGGCCATTCCACTGATTATTAACCTGTATAATCAAGCATTATATTCAAAATGAATTCCCGGCCCCACTAATTTGGGTACTCAGGTCGGGCGGGAACTGAGTAGGACCCGGTGGTACCCACAGGACTACCCGGACCCATGGTTAGTCAAGTGATTTTATTGTTTAATTGCAAAAATTATCTAGAACTCTATGGTTACCCTATAAGTGACAAATCTTCACATTTTTCTCTGACTGTGCACCCATTCCTTCTGACTTTGTATGTTTGCATAAAGATAAAACTTCAGTCAACTTCAGTGTATGCCTGACCAGATCGGTTTATACGTGTATCTAAATACATTTTGACACAATTACGGTCAAACGTTTCCAAATCATACATTTTGCACCTTTCTCTTGAGACCTACAGCTGGTACCCGGTTAGGGTCGGGTAATAGTGGGGTTGGTACCCGGGTAGTAAATTTGAACTCGTCCCAGCCCTACTCACATTCATTTTCTAAGCTATGTGTTGAATATCAATTATCATATCATCGGTGATATCCATACTAATATTGGCATATTAATAGAGGTCATCACGCGAGTGTGTTTTGTGATGGCAAAGAGCCTGTATTAGGAATAAATATTGAATCAGGGAGCCTTGGATACAGGACATTTACCATCCCAAAGCACACAAGCTTGATAAACTCTTTATCATATTATGTAATTCTTACATGCTGTCATCCAAATAAGTATTTTCATCTCACAAATGGAATGTGCGCATTAATGTATTATGTCACATCATTAGTAATTAGTCAGTCAGACAGTGACAAGAGCTCATATACCGTATTCGACGTAATAAGCACCTAGGGCGCTCTCAAAATTAATAATAGGGGGCTCTTATTAGAATATTATTTTGGTGAAAAAAACAGAGTTGAAAGATATATTTTGTGGTTTATGCTGACAGCCTGACTTGTTTATGTACGACAGATATATTTTTTCAGGATTTCATTGCCCATAATTAAGGGTGCATATAACACACGTGTGCGTATTATATGCGAATAAATAAGTCTTGTGTACTCTGATCAATCACAAGGGGTGCTAATTGGGATTGTTCACTTGCCAGTATCTTGGCAAATGTCGCTGTGGGCGCTTATTAGAGCTGGGCGCTTATTACGTCGAATCCGGTAGTTCCAACTGAAACTGGTATTTTTAACAGTGGTGTAACTGCCATCCATTGCCTGCAGATAATATTTCAACTTTGTCAGTGATTGCCTTTCGTGGCAATCCATCGGCCCACCCGCTAGAGTAATTGCCCTTTATCAAAGGGAAGCTACTCTTTGAGATGTGATGGTTGTTTAGTGTCCGCCTGGCCTGTCATTATGTTTCGTAATGGGATAACGAAATGCAGTCAGACATCCCACACAGTGACAAAATAAAACAGGGTAAAATTTCGGCCAAATCCAACTGTTTTATTAATTCAGGGACAGACCCCAAGCCACAGAGGTCCACACGCATATGTGTGGGAATTGATATCCCAATTATTCTCACTAAGTATTTTCACAAATCATATCTCCAAAGTTGCCTATTCTTGTGAAAGACCACAGATACACCAGTGAGTGAGTGAGTGAGTGAGTGAGTGCCGCTTTTACCAATATCCAGCAGTATCACAGCAAGGACACCAGAAATGGGATTCACACATTGTACTCACGTGGGGAATCGAACGCGTGTCTTTCACGTGAATGCTTTAGCCACTAGGCTACCCCACCACCCTGCCACATTTGTTTGTAAAGAATGAAAGAAGTACCTACCCACTTATTTGTATTTGCATACTTTTCCATACATGACCCCCACGGATACCATATTCATCTGTTGGCTTTAACTTGCTGGGAAACTTTCCCATTATTTGTATAAATTATTTTATCAACTGTGGTAAGAATATAGGTCCCTAGCAACCTTTCTCATTGTAAGAGGCGACTAAATAGATCAAGTTGTCAGGCTCATTGACTTGGTTGATGCATGTCATTGTATCCCAGTTACATGAATCAATGCACATGATGTCAATCTATTGTCAGAAATATTGCTGAGTGTGGCGTTAAACAACAAACAAACAAACAAAAGCATGTTAGTTAACAGACATCTTCTGAATGATATCCAACATTATTTGTTATTCATTTTAATGATTGCACTCAGCAATATTTAATCTGTATGACTACGGCCTGTAAATAATCAAGTCTGGTTCAGAGAAATCAGTGATTGAGTAACCTCACTCTCTGTTGGTGTACAAAGACATACAATCAACCAAGCTTGACGACCACCTGATTCATTTAGCCCCCTCATACCAAAAAGCCTGAAAAACTCTGTTTACACCATCCACACTTACATTCCATGCACAAGAAGCTATGTATTCAATGCACAAGAAGCTATTTATTCCATGCACAAGAAACTATTTATTCCATGAACAAGAAGCTATTTATTCCATGAACAAGAAGCTATTTATTCCATGCACAAGAAACTATTTATTCCATGAACAAGAAGCTATTTATTCCATGAACAAGAAGCTATTTATTCCATGCACAAGACGCTATTTATTCCATGCACAAGAAGCAATTTATTCCATGCACAAGAAACTATTTATTCCATGCACAAGAAGCTATTTATTCCATGCACAAGAAACGATTTATTCCATGCACAAGTACCTATTTCCATGCACAAGAAACTATTTATTCCATTCACAAGAAGCTATTAATTCCATGCACAAGAAGCTATTAATTCCATGCACAAGAAACGATTTATTCCATGCTCAAGAAACTATCTATTCCATGCACAAGAAGCTATTACTTCCATGCACAAGAAACTATTTATTCCATGCACAAGAAGCTATTACTTCCATGCACAAGAAACTATTTATTCCATGCACAAGACGCTATTTATTCCATGCACAAGAAACCATTTATTCCATGCACAAGAAGCCAATCATTTCAATGCACAAGAAACTATTAATTCCATGCACAAGAAACAATGTATTCCATGCTCAAGAAACTATTTATTCCATGCACAAGAAGCTATTAATTCCATGCACAAGAAGCTATAAAAAGCTATTTATTCCATACACAAGAAGCTATTTATTCCATACACAAGAAACTATATATTCCATGCACAAGAAACTGTTTATTCCATGCACAAGAAACGATTTATTCCATGCTCAAGAAACTATCTATTCCATGCACAAGAAGCTATTACTTCCATGCACAAGAAACTATTTATTCCATGCACAAGAAACGATTTATTCCATGCACAAGTACCTATTTCCATGCACAAGAAACTATTTATTCCATTCACAAGAAGCTATTAATTCCATGCACAAGAAGCTATTAATTCCATGCACAAGAAACGATTTATTCCATGCTCAAGAAACTATCTATTCCATGCACAAGAAGCTATTACTTCCATGCACAAGAAACTATTTATTCCATGCACAAGAAGCTATTACTTCCATGCACAAGAAACTATTTATTCCATGCACAAGATGCTATTTATTCCATGCACAAGAAACTATTTATTCCATGCACAAGAAGCCAATCATTTCAATGCACAAGAAACTATTAATTCCATGCACAAGAAACAATGTATTCCATGCTCAAGAAACTATTTATTCCATGCTCAAGAAGCTATTAATTCCATGCACAAGAAGCTATTAATTCCATGCACAAGAAGCTATAAAAAGCTATTTATTCCATACACAAGAAGCTATTTATTCCATACACAAGAAACTATATATTCCATGCACAAGAAACTGTTTATTCCATGCATTAAAATGTATTGATTACATGGGATATGACAGAACAGCGGCGACGGTTCTTCAGATTTGAAGATGTCACATTCAATATTCCTGCTAATCCTTATAATGTTTCTGTTGGTATTTTTCAGGGTTCTAGAAGAAGCGCCAAGTTTGGTTTCCTGTTTGACATTGATGGGGTGATAGTTCGAGGAAAGAAGTTGTTGCCGTCAGCCAAGGAGACATTTTCAATATTAACAGACAACAATGGAGAGTTTCGAGTACCATGTCTCTTTGTCACAAATGCAGGCAATACTCTACGACAAAACAAAGCAAAACAGCTTTCTGACTGGTTGAATGTCAAGGTGAGATTATTTTCTTGTGGCAACCAAAGGCCAAACATACCTACCAAGGATGAACCATGATTCTACCAGCACTTATATTCTAAAATGTCTTAGTCATTGAAGTTTATTTTTTTAAATTTATTGTAAGTAGTCAGTCTAAGGTTCAGTGTGCCACTGTAAGTATTGTACAGCTCGTATATTTTTTTATTGATTTTGATTTTGGTTTACTAGAACAAGTAAATGCTAATCGTGTGTATTGTGCTGGATGTTTACAAGGGGTCCTCTCACTCGCCTGGCACCTATTGTTCTCTAGTTAAGATTCCAGGAACCTGGAATAATCCCGAAACAATGCAGGGTATAGTCCATTCCACATAACATAGTGTGATATACAGTCAGGTCTTGTTGATCTGACACTCGTTAATCTGACAGTCAGCTTCATCCGACACTAATGATTGAACGGATTAAATCAGTGCTATTTAGACCTATTAATCTGACAGTCTCGCACTCTGACTCCGACACACCTAATTTGCAAAGAATTACCGAAATCACTCATTGATCTATCTCGTTAATCAGATACAATGATCAGCGTACTCGGTGGTCATCTAATAAAACACAGTAAAGTTACAACACTTGTTTATATATATTCATTATTCTTTTATCGATAAATTCAAAGTCCATCCCACATTACGTACACTGAAAACATTACAACATTTGATCTTATATGTTACGTTTGTATTGAAATTTATTGACATACAACTATAAAATCATAACAATTTTTTGGACATTTATTTCATTTTCTACATATACATTACTACATTCGATATATATTAAATCATATTATTTCATCTTCCATAATGACTTTTGATGACGAGTTCCGTAACAGGTTAAAGTTGACACAGTGTCCATGTACTCCAGTAGCGACTTGGAACCGTCAACCAACTGACGATGAAAATGTCAAGAGCATGTTCCAGTTGTCTATACCACTTCTTCCTTGGTCTCATTGTGCCACTATCTTGTACAGACCCACGTTCAAGTACTGACCACCGCCACCGTTAAGAATAAACTTTATGTTAATTCGAGCATTTGCATGATGCAAAGGTTGTCCACTAAAAATTGCAATGTTTACAGGCATTTACTTTAACATCTGACAAAGATTATTTCGAATCATTACGTGACATAAAAAATAATATTTAGTACGAGTAATGAAACTAAACTACAGCTCACTTGACCCAATTAGTACAATGTTTTATCTGTGAACATCGCATACTCTGTACAAGGCCCTGTATACACATACAGACTATAACGCCATGTTCATCCTGGCAGTCCAGATAATCCCTTTTAATCCGTGCTGAGTGCCGGGTAGGTGAGGTAATCCTGTTTACTATCTCTACTGTGATGTGGGGCGGTCGGGTAGCCTAGTGGTTAAAGCGTTAGCTCGTCACGCCGAAGGCCCGGGTTCGATTCCTGACATGGGTACAATGTGTGAAGCCCATTTCTGGTGTCCCCTGCCGTGATATTGCTGGAATATTGCTAAAAGTGGCGTAAAACCGAACTCACTCACTCTACTGTGATGTATATATTTACTTCTGTCAGAGGTTTTGTTCTCGTGTTTGCAATGGCCATAGACTATTAAGAATGCAGTTGATCAATTATTATTTGAAAAGTTGACTGCAGCAATTCTTGTGACGTTTGCATTTGTAACTCTATATTTTTCCAATCAATAAAATTTAGAGTTGGCAGATGAATAAAAATAATATTAAACTATATTTAACTTTGTGCTGCAGGTGCATGAAGATCAAGTCGTCATGTCTCACAGCCCCCTGAAGATGTTCCGCCAGTTCCATGACAAGCATGTCCTGGTGTCCGGCCAGGGCCCTGTTCAGGAGATCGCTCGAGGTCTAGGTTTTACCCGCATCACCACCGTGGAAACATTACGCCACACCTTCACCAACCTCGACATGGTCGACCACAAGCGAAGAAAAGCTGCTGTATGTCATGTTCTTGTTCTCTCCAAACATCTCCAGCTTCTGTAACAGCTCTTGGGATGATGTATAATCACGAATTGTCTGTGGATGTGTCTTTTCTCCATCATAGTCTGTGGCCAGTTCTTTAACCAATCTTAGCGATACGATGATAGTAACTCTATGCTGAGTATGGGAGTTACAAACGTCTTTAGCCTCAAATTGCTTCGTGGAATGGCCTTGATATGAAATTATTATTTATTAGGATGTAATAAATTAATTACTAGATTTTCATGCTGCCTGGTGGTGTACCACACACTCCAATCCACTTCATTTTATTGTTTCTCACTATAGACAAAGACAATCGCTATGTGTGTTTCTGCTGTGATATTGCTGGAATATTGCCCAAAAGCTGTGTAAAACTATAATCACTCACTCACTGTTATCTAAAATCAATCTCATTAAAATCAGATCTTGGTTCTTGCTATCGCTCAACAAAAATCTGAGGACATCCCATTATGTGTCACAGCAGAATGATCTTTCCTCCACACTAAACAGAGCATCACTTGCGAGAATATGAAAGTGATTTCTGATCATGCAACCTCGAATTTACTTAACACGGGGTATTGTAAATCTTGAAATTAACGCAAGCGTGAATTAAATGCGAAAAATGCGAGTGGTCTTTTCTCGCATTATTAAACATCGCATTTATATCAACAATAAAACATTTTGGAGCAGAAATACCAACTTAGACATACGCTGAAAACAAATAACTGTGTATTCCACATTACTCTTTATTGAGCAGCACTTGTTACAAGTATATAAACAATGTCATTCAAACACTAATTACATCCTGTGAATTGTCACTGCTTGGGTCAAGACAAGAGTTCTACTCACTCATGTCATCACTGATCACACCTGCAAGTCCAGACAGACGCCACCCACGCACCACTGTTCTTTGTGACTGCGTCAAAGGCCGACACGAGCCAGCGCGCACGTATTGTTTTAGCTGAAGCACTCTACTCAGCGCTAATAAGCGGTGCTATTTGGTGTGTGATTGCATTAATGTAAGGTTGGATTGAGGTGAGGATTCTCCTGTAAACCTGACAGAGGATGTTTTCTTAAGATATAAATCCACTGATGCTTGAGAGGAGGGGGGTGTCGCATTCATAGAGAGTCGCAATTTGGCTGGGGGCAAGCGGTCGCATTTCTTTTGGAGATGCATTAATTTCATGATTTACAGTATTCCGAACGACAGCTATGAGCTACATGACTGAATCAATACAATCTAGGCCATCTATTAGCCATTCCAGAATGTTTTAATCCAGAATTTGTCAAAATATATTTCGAAGCGTAGCAGCCAGATTGAAACTAGTGTAGTAAAACTCGAAAAAGTTGCCTTCTGACTGGCTGAAGTCGACTTCCTGTCAGTCACTCCATTGTTTGGTCAAAGTTCACGAAAGGTCACTCTGACATGACCCGTAATGGGATGTCTTCAGATCTTTGTTCAGCGGTAGTGAGAATTAAGATCTTATTTTAATGAGATTGCTCTAAAATTGATATGTGCACAAGGTAGTATCCTGTTTAATGTTTTCTATTTTTCAAATTCCATCAACAATGTTAAAGAAAATGACACAATGACCAAAATTGTGATTTGGGCACATTTTCACACAACCAATTCTGACTCTTATCACAAATATACTGAAACGAGGCGAATCACAAGTATATGAGGCAGGACGATTTAGAGGGTGGCAGGTGTGAATGTGTGATCATCTAAGAATCAGATGATACTGGCTTACTGACGAACTTGGTTCAGAGACTGTTCATATCTTTCAGTAACTCACAACTGGAATTTCTAAGACAAGATTAAGCAGATGCAATTATCTGTTCAATAATTCCCTTGGGGAGTAAGCTAATAATGAAATCACAAAAACAGACTTGATGATCGTCAATAGGTTGGTTACTACAATCAAGCATAAACAGCTGTCGCCAAGTAGTATCAGTTGAGCAGATCGATCTGTGTCGACTGCTGGCTCTGCCAGGTGCCTGACTGTATCACCCACCACATATGTTACATTGGTGTATACATCGGGAAAAAGTAAACACTACTCAATCGATAGTTCCATACCCTATTCACTGTAAAATGCACATTGACAAAGAGGGCCACCTTTTAAAAGCATCCACAAGTTAAGTTTGTTTTCAGAGAATGGGCAGTAGTGATCACACTACAGCCAGTGAACCATTTCTTTCTTTCTTTCTTTTTTCATTCGTTCTTTCTTTCTTTCTTTCATTCGTTCGTTAGCAGCGACTAATTTTAGTTTGTAATAACCATAGTTTGTTATAAGCAAATATACAGCAAATGGCCAAAATAAGTTTTGTTATATCCGCCAATTCGTTATGAGCGTGTTTGTTATAAACGTTTACAGTATATTGTGTTTATCATTAAGAAAGGAAAGTAGGGAACACACACATTGGGATTTTGTTTATCTGTATTGGGCCCAGGTGGCCCAGTTGTCTCAGGTGCCACTATTCAATGTGCAATGTTGCGTTCCTTGGGCACACCAGATACCTGTGATTGTGGGTTCAAATCCCAGATTATGTGTCTAGTTTTGTCAGCACCATAAGTCCATATACATGCTCATTTGTTTCACTGAAGTGGTAAACGTCTAAGACCTGCATCACGTTTCGCTTTCCTCCCTCATTAAACTGGCACACCATAATATAACTGGAATACTGTTAAACCCAACTCACTCACTCACTCTTTTACTGTTAGTACTTGTGAACAATAAAATGATGTGTGCGTCGTGAGGTGGGCAGAGATGCACATCTAATAATTATTTTTTAATGGCCTAATTTGTTCATAACCAGTCTCAGATTGTTGAAGGTCCATGATCTAGGGTTAAACTGCAATGAGCATGGTTTCTGGATGATAATTCTTACAAAGATTAATGAATTCCCACCTAATGTAACTCCTTGTCTGCTCATATGAAAAATACAGTTTATATTAAAAGAAAATTGCTATATGCCAATGAAGATCCGGATATAGAATAGTATATCTTGTTTCAATAGGTGTACTGTCTGTGATGAATAAACTGAATCTTTTTTTTTGCAGCCCTGTGCTTTCGAGCAGTATTTTCCGAAGATTGATGGTATGTATAACTGGTACAGACGTAGGTGATCCCTCGTCGGTACTTTAGCTGATTGTATACACTAGTTTCCTCCATCAACCGTGACTACAAAATCATGTATAATTTGTATCCAGTTTACGTAAGTGACAAGTGGAGTTATGAAATTCATAAATAGGCAAATTATTCCTGTGATAAAAAAGCTAAACTTTTCATGACCCGCTTCCTGTATATTATGCTTCTAAATATTAGGCATGCGTTGTGACCGTAGCAACATGCAACAAAATGGCGGACGACTATGAAGTTGTCAAACATGTGTGGATGAAGTCTGATGTATGGGGTAATTTGTTTTCAGGTCCATAAGAAATTTTAGATGAAAGACATGTAACCATTTGTTCAATGTAGTCTGAGCCCTCATTGGTCTGAGAACAGTCAGCTTTCTCTCTTGCCGAAACCAATATCTGGATTTATTGGCTAAGGTGGTGAGGTGAAATGGGGTTTGTGAAATGCACGTGTGTGTGTGTGTGGCTGCTTGTACTAGACCGGACTGATGCCGATTTATAGTGCTAGCTCACTGAGATACCATGCCGCAGTTTAACATGAATAACCCACTCAGACACAGTATACTGACTCCGAGCCAACCAGTCCTTGTTTTAGCCCCTTAATGCCGAGCGCCAGACAGGGTAACAACAAGTACCATCTTTTAACATCTTTTGGTATGACGCGGCTGGGGATCGAACTCCGGGCGGACACTCTACCACTAGACCTCGGAGGCGGTCTATTGGCTAAGAAGCATCAATATGCAACACGGCTGCTTGTGAGTGAGAGAGTTTGTAATTTAACAACTCACTCCGCGATAGTCTAGCTTTATGACTGCGGTCTGTAAATAATTGAGTCGGGACCAGACAGTCCAGTGATTGTATCATGATCATCAATCTACCAAATGGGAAACGGTGACATGCATCAACCAAGTCAGCGAGTCTGACCACCCGACCCCGTTAGTCGCCTCTTATGACAAGCATAGTCGCCATTTACAGCAATCATGGGTTGCTGAAGGCCTTCTCTAACCCGGATCTTCACGGGTCATAGGTCACAATATGTTCTGGAGGAACATGTATACAAATATGTGAAGTATTGATGATGAAGGGGATTGGTGCATCACACATTGTGACACACTCAATGTTTACTTTAGATGGTTCTGTCACATACGGAGAGTAGAAACCTGTACTGATCCCCTGAATGCAATCAGGGTTTTAGTAAAGGTGATTAAAAAAAGGACAAGGCCCTTTTTGGCCAACAGAAAATAATCAAAAGCTTTAGAAATTGTTATCTCTTGTCTTTATATAAATGAGAAGACTGTATGAACATACGATAGAGAACTCAGGTGTCTCACACAGAGTTAGATTTTCTCTTGAAGATGGAAAACTCTGCCTTTTTTAGCCATTTATGATACATTGAACACACAATGCTAGGGCTGGGATGGGTAACTCGGGAACTCGGGTCGGGTGGGTACTGAGTAGGACCCGGGTACCCACAGGACTACCCGGACCCGTGGTTAGTTACGTGATATATTGTTTAATCATAAAAAATATCCATAACTCTATGGTTACACTACAAGTCTCTAATGTTCGCATTTCTTTCAGCCTAAGCACCATTGCTTCTGACCTTTATAGGTTTGAATAAAAATAACACTTCAGTCAACTTCAGTGTATGCATGACCAGATCGTTTTATACATATACTTAAATACATTTTACCAGGGCTACACTCAAACTATTTCCAATCGGACATTTTGTACCAAACTCTTGAGCCCTGTAGCGGGTACCCGGGTAGGGTCGGGTAATAGCGATGTGGGTACCCGGGTAGTCAATTTGGACTCGTTCCAGCACTACACAATGCCATAAAGAAAGTGCCCATATGTAACAAATGTTATATTTGGGATAACTCTTTCTTAGTAAAGTACAGATTCTAGTACTTTTTGGGGTTGACTTCCATCCAGGATTTGAACCCACACTGCCAGAGTGAGGCATCTAATCGCCAGCACACAAAGTCAGTGATCTAACCCACTCAGCCACCGAGGCTTCCACAAAATTAAAGTCTGACAACTGGTAGTCTAGATCACGTACTTTGTGTACCCCTCAGGGACTACCAGGGACAAAAAAAGTACTTGAATCTGTACTTTACTAAGAATGCATTAATATAACATTTTTTACATTTATGATACTTGTTTATGTCAGAAGTCCAAAACTTGCCACAAAGATGGAATAAAACTAGGTCTGTTTATTGTTATACCACTACAGTAAACTACGGTTATAACGAACTCAAAGGGACTACTAATTTTAGTTCGTTATAACCGTAATTCGTTATAAGCATATATACAGCATAACTACAGCAAGTAGTCGGGACTAAAAAGTTAGTTCATTATATCCGTCAGTTCGTTATAAGCGTGTTCGTTATAACCGTAGTTTACTGTATTTCAAATTTGTCCCAGCTTATGAAATTTAACATTACCAGTCCAAAAAGACCCTTATCAACCTCAATTAAAAAAAAAGCTTAATCAATGTGAAATAAATAATCAACACCATGTACAATTCATGACTGTCGTCCCATGCCTCGACGTCAATCAGTACAGAATCATCGTGTTTGATGTCAATAATGTTATTCTGTGTTTCCAGCTGTGATATTGTTTGGAGAACCGGTGAGGTGGGAAACGAACCTGCAAATCATCATTGACGTGTTATTGACCAATGGTAAGCCAGGACACACCCAGAAGGAAACTCTGTACCCCCACCTACCCGTCCTGGCCTGCAACATGGACCTACTGTGGATGGCCGAGGCGCCTAACCCCAGGTGTGTACACTCAAAGTCAACAATCTCATTACCCCGTGAAGATCCAGGTAGAGTTGGTCTTCAGCAACCCATGCTGGTTGTAAGAGGCAACTAACGGGATCAGGTGGTCATGCAGGCTTGCAGAATGGTTGATACATGTCATCATATCCCAATTATGTAGACTCATTTTTTATTTATTTAAAAATTAACTGTACTGGCGCTTAATTGAACATTAAAAAAATACTTCTACATGGTTTATTTTTTAAAATATAATTTCATTTAGAACATTTAAAAATTATAATATATTTTGCATGTCCCATCTGGGTATCTTAGACACCTTAATATCTTTGAAAATCAAAGAATTTGGGTTTTTTGCCACAAATTTATAACTTTTAATTTATTTTCATACTAAATTACCCGTCCACAGAATACTTATTACAAACTGTTGCAGGAATGAGTGATGGTTAAATAGACCTAATCAAATTTAACAACAGTTACATAAAAAACAAACTCAGTATGCTTTCTTTTGCCCCAAGTTCATATAGACAGTCCGTCCAGGCATCTGACAGAAAGCTATCCCACATTATTAGGACATTGTTTGACTTAAGGAATGGAAATAGAAATTGCTAATGGAAAAAATGACACTCTCAGGAGAAACTCTTGTGTGCCTAGCCGGATATACACAAACACCCTACACTAAGTCAATTCAGAGTCCATTGCCCCACCGTAGGCTGAGTGGCCTGTTCATCTGCACTCAATCCAGGTCAGAGGTGAAAGGTGAAACATCAGACATGAAGGTCAAAGTGTGGGAGGAAGATGTGTGTCTGGTTGTGGGAGGTAGTTGTTTTCATACATGCCAGTGCAGTCTTTAGTCAGGAATATCCGTGCTGTGGAAATAGCCTGCAAATATTTAAGGAATGGTGGTTTCCATAGTCTCTGTATATTGAACGAATATTTTTCCTCCTGAGATAATATAGGTTTGGGATTGATTCTGCAGCATTTACTAATTATGAGACCCGTGAAGATAGGGGTAGAATAGGTCTTCAGTAACCCATGCTTGCTGTAAAAGGCAATATGCTTGTCGTAAGAGGCGACTAACGGGATCGGGTGGTCAGGCTCGCTGACTTGGTTGATGCATGTCATCGATCCCAATTTCGTGGATTAATGCTCATGATATTAATCACTGGATTGTCTGGTTCAGACTTGATTATTTACAGACCACCGTCATATAGCTGGAATATTGCTGAGTGCGGCGTTAAACAACCAACAAACCAACTAATTATGATACACTTATTTATTATCTTTATCCTATTAAAATAACACTGAAACACCAGTAGTAACCTTTGACATGAAACTAGCTGCAATCAGAATAGCAACCTTAGTCCTGCACCATGACTGTGGAATTTTAATTTTTAGGTATTTGTTTTATTAAAAGCCTAGGCAAGTCTAGATCAAACTAACCAAGTCTAATTTGCTTGATTCCACATCTGAAAACAGCAGAAGAGGAAAGACAATATCTCAGTCTGTCCGAATCATAAGCCCTGTTTATGATACCACCATCCTCATCAACAACCAACATCACCATCACCACCCTAATCAACAACCACCATCACCACCACCATCACCACCACCACCATCACCACCACCACCCTCATCAACAACCACCATCACCACCACCACCCTCATCAACAACCACCATCACCACCACCATCACCACCACCACCATCACCACCACCACCCTCATCAACAACCACCATCACCACCACCACCCTCATCAACAACCACCATCACCACCACCACCATCACCACCACCACCACCACCACCACCACCCTCATCAACAACCACCACCACCACCACCCTCATCAACAACCACCATCATCAACAACCAACATCACCACCACCACCCTCATCAACAACCACCCTCATCAACAACCACCATCACCACCACCACCCTCATCAACAACCACCATCACCACCACCACCCTCATCAACAACCACCATCACCACCACCATCACCACCACCACCATCACCACCACCACCCTCATCAACAACCACCATCACCACCACCACCCTCATCAACAACCACCATCACCACCACCATCACCACCACCACCATCACCACCACCACCCTCATCAACAACCACCATCACCACCACCACCCTCATCAACAACCACCATCACCACCACCACCCTCATCAACAACCACCATCACCACCACCACCCTAATCAACAACCACCATCACCACCACCATCACCACCACCACCATCACCACCACCACCCTCATCAACAACCACCATCACCACCACCACCCTCATCAACAACCACCATCACCACCACCATCACCACCACCACCATCACCACCACCACCCTCATCAACAACCACCATCACCACCACCACCCTCATCAACAACCACCATCACCACCACCACCATCACCACCACCACCACCACCACCACCACCCTCATCAACAACCACCACCACCACCACCCTCATCAACAACCACCATCATCAACAACCAACATCACCACCACCACCCTCATCAACAACCACCCTCATCAACAACCACCATCACCACCACCACCCTCATCAACAACCACCATCACCACCACCACCCTCATCAACAACCACCATCACCACCACCATCACCACCACCACCATCACCACCACCACCCTCATCAACAACCACCATCACCACCACCACCCTCATCAACAACCACCATCACCACCACCACCATCACCACCACCACCACCACCACCACCACCCTCATCAACAACCACCACCACCACCACCCTCATCAACAACCACCATCATCAACAACCAACATCACCACCACCACCCTCATCAACAACCACCCTCATCAACAACCACCATCACCACCACCATCACCACCACCACCCTCATCAACAACCACCACCACCACCACCCTCATCAACAACCACCACCACCACCACCACCCTCATCAACAACCACCATCATCAACAACCAACATCACCACCACCACCCTCATCAACAACCACCACCACCACCACCCTCATCAACAACCACCACCACCACCACCACCCTCATCAACAACCACCATCATCACCACCACCACCACCACCACCATCATCAACAACCAACATCACCACCACCACCCTCATCAACAACCACCACCACCACCACCACCCTCATCAACAACCACCCTCATCAACAACCACCACCACCCTCATCAACAACCAACATCACCACCACCACCCTCATCAACAACCACCCTCATCAACAACCACCATCACCACCACCATCACCACCACCACCCTCATCAACAACCACCATCACCACCACCATCACCACCACCACCCTCATCAACAACCACCACCACCACCACCACCCTCATCAACAACCACCCTCATCAACAACCAACATCACCACCACCCTCATCAACAACCACCACCACCACCACCCTCATCAACAACCACCACCACCACCACCACCACCACCCTCATCAACAACCACCACCACCACCACCACCCTCATCAACAACCACCATCACCACCACCACCATTCTCATCAACAACCACCATCACCATCACCACCACCACCACCACCCTCATCAACAACCACCACCACCACCACCACCACCCTCATCAACAACCACCATCATCAACAACCAACATCACCACCACCACCCTCATCAACAACCACCACCACCACCACCACCCTCATCAACAACCACCACCACCACCACCACCCTCATCAACAACCACCACCACCACCACCACCCTCATCAACAACCACCACCACCACCACCACCCTCATCAACAACCACCACCACCACCACCACCATTCTCATCAACAACCACCATCACCACCACCCTCACCACGACCATCCTCATCAACAACAACCATCACCACCACCATCATCACCACCACCACCCTCATCAACAACCACCATCACCCTCATCAACAACAACAACCTCATCAACAACCACTATCACCACCATCACCACCCTCATCAACAACCACTATCACCACCACCATCACCACCACCATCACCACCACCCTCATCAACACCAACCTCATCAACAACCACCACCACCACCACCACCTCCATCCTCATCAACAACCACCACCACCACCACCACCACCATCATCATCAGTAGCTTATAGGATGTTCTTGAAGTATTTGGTAGACCCGGGTTTGATTCCCCAGAAGAGTTTAATGTGTGAAGCTCACTTTTGGTGTTCCCCGCCGCGATATTGCTGGAATATTGCTGAAAGTGTCATAAAACCATACTCACTCACTCACTCACCTGAAGAATGTTTATATATACTTGAGTATATTTAACTCCACTCGCTAAAGTCTTTCCCCCTGAACCTTAAGACTCATTGTGTCCCATGTCCTACTTCCCTGTGTCATATAAACACACAATGGACACCGAAACAGTGTGATGTGTAAACTGATGGGAGTTGTCTGATGGACACATATTCTGGTGGTGTCACCAGAGGTCACTGTGACCCAGTCCGGAGGTCACAGCAACCCAGTGTCACACAGGGTACATGAATAATGTCTGTAGTTTTCCATACACCTGTCAGTTAATAAACCAATAAACTTGTCAAGCGTCCTGGTTTCAAAACTTATATTTGATTTCCTCCTGCTCATATCAAATGTATATCATAATGTATTTATACATACTGAACAAAAGAGGTTAGGGATTATGAATTCTGTTTGGGATATTTTTAGGAAATTGTGTTTTCAGTCTTCACTACAAAAATATATCCCCTAAAATATAAATGATCCCAAACTTTTTTTCAGTATATATGTCTCATCCTTAATCTTTGTGTTAATGTGATGGTAAATCCACCAGTAAAGTGTAATTACCGATGATATGAATCTCAGGCTAAGCTAATTATCTAGTCTTTGATCTCTCACTCAGTTTTAGCAATAATTTCACCCTTAATTTTAGCTTTAATCTCACCTTCAACCTTATCTCAAATCTCACCTTCAGCCTCAAAGATACAGCCAAGTCTTGACCCAAGTTTAATGATGTCACCTTCAATCTCAATGATATTTGCATTCCTTATAACTCTCACACTCAAAATGCCTGCTACTTTTCAGATTTGGACATGGATGTTTCCTGCACTGCCTAGAAAGTTTATACCAGGTGAGTGAAAGTTTAAACCAGTTGAGTGAAAGTTTAAACCAGTTGTGTGAAAGTTTAACCAGGTGAGTGAAAGTTTATACCAGGTGAGTGAAAGTTTAACCAGGTGAGTGAAGGTTTATACCAAGTGAGTGAAAATTTATACCAGGTGAGTGAAAGTTTAAACCAGGTGAGTGAAACTTTAAACCAATTGAGTGAAAGTTTAACCAGGTGAGTGAAGGTTTATACCAAGTGAGTGAAAATTTATACAAGGTGAGTGAAAGTTTAAACCAGGTGAGTGAAACTTTAAACCAATTGAGTGAAAGTTTAACCAGGTGAGTGAAGGTTTATACCAAGTGAGTGAAAATTTATACAAGGTGAGTGAAAGTTTAAACCAGGTGAGTGAAAGTTTAAAACAATTGAGTGAAAGTTTAACCAGGTTAGTGAAAGTTTAAACCAATTGAGTGAAAGTTTAACCAGGTGAGTGAAAGTTTATAACAAGTGAGTGAAAATTTATACCAGGTGAGCGAATGTTTATACCAGGTGAGTTAAACATGTTCCTTTGCCCAGTCATTGTGATGACCCACATGTGACTAGACTATGCCTGCTGACTGAGGGATGACGCTGGGAGACTTATCAAACACTATCAATACTTCCATCTGCACTGTCATGTCTTGTTGATACTTGACATAATGTTTGGGAATTTGAAAATGTAGGATATGATAGATTCCTTTGTATCATTTCTAACCAACATGCTGATAAGGCCTTTGCAACAATTGTAATTAACGTTCTTTAATTGCAAGGTGATGTAAATATTTGATAAACAGTGTTCCCTCGCTATTGCACCCTATTGGTAACAGCGCACGGTAACACAAGGCTCCCACGATTTACTTACATTTGCAATAAACTCAAATTTTCCTGATACATTTAGTCAATTTCTCAGAGAGAAAAAGATCATAATATTCATAGAAAGTACTTAAATGTGGAAGTGAAAGTGATGAAATTACACGACCTCTTTGGGTAATAAAATACCAGCTAAGGCTGGGACGAGTCCAAATTTACCCACCTGGTACCCACTGCAGGTCTCAAGAGTTGGGAACAAAATGTCTGATTGGGAATTGTTTTATCGCAGCCCTTGACAAAACTATTTAGATTCTTGTATCAAACGATCAATACACTGAAGTTGACTGAAGTTTTATCTTTACTCAAACATATACCAGCCAAAAGGAATGTGTGCATCGTCAGAAAGAAATGCGAACATTAGCGACTTGTAGTGTAACCACTGAGCTATAGTGAGCTTTTGTCATCAAACAATATATCACATGACTAACCACGGGTCCGGGTAGTCCTGTGCGTACCCAGGTCCTACTCAGTACCCACCCGACCCGAGTACACAAGTTACCCGTTCCAGCCCTAAACTCAAGTTTTACACAGACATGATGTTTTTACCCATCACAAAAGACAATACCAGCTAATCACCGCAAGCACACACTACCGGAAAAACCAGTCATATGTATATATATTTGCATATCATCTCAGTAAACTGGGCTCTGTCCCTTCATCCTGAAATTTGAAAAAATGTGCAGATGTCTAACTTCACTTGCTTCAGTAGAAGTATGAGCATTGAAACCGTTTTAGTTGATTATTGAAGTGAGAACTCTGATTATCAATGAATGTTCAGAGCAATAACTACAACTATTGAAGGGTGAAATTGTTGTTTGAGAAAAAAGGCTGTTTAATGTCGACACAAAAACACTGTCAACAACAACACAGAACAGTTGAAAATGAAGCTAGACTATCTTGACCCAGACTGTATGATGTGAAACATGGCAGCATGTGGCTGTGTTCACAGTGAAGTTAAGCAACATCGGTTGTGGAGAGTAGTTGGATGGGTGACCGTGTTCGGCAGCTTGATTCTTGAGCGTATCTAGGGCTTCGGTCCTGCCCCACACTGAAGCATATGTAGCACATCTGGTGTTGCCATGGCCGACTTTGTTTAAAATGTACCTAAGGCACAGCAATTCGCTATGATCATGGGTTTGAGGTGAGATTTTTGCACTTATATAATGACGTGCATGCACGTGTGTGTGGCTGCCTGTACTAGTCCGGACTGATGCCGATTTATAGTGCTAGCCCACTGAGATACCATGCCACAGTTTAACATGAATACCCCACTCAGACACAGTATATTGACTCCAAGCCGACCAGTCCTTGTTTTAGCCCCTTAATGCCGAGCGCCAGACAGGGTAACAACAAGTACCACCTTTTAACGTCTTTTGGTATGACCCGGCCGGGGATTGAACCCCGGACCTAACACTCTATGGGTAAACGCTCTACCACTAGACCACAGAGGCGGTCTGATCATGGGTTTGAATCCTGGTGTGCCCCAATTTAGTTTCAAGGTTTGTCAGCACCATACCCGTGCTCATGGGTTTCACCAAAGTGGTAAATGTCTGCATCACTTCAGGCTTTCCTCCCACATTAAGCTGACACGCTGTGATGTAACTGGAATACTGTTAAAAGCGGCATTAAACCCAACTCACTCACTCACTCACTCACTCACTCACTCACTCACTCAGGGCAAAATAGGCCCTGTTCCAACTCTCTGTTATATAATGCTTCGGTGCTTGGATATGTAGGATGCAAACATGTTGAATGATATCAGTGACTTATTTCCAGAGAACCCACAGCATGTTACACATATATCTTGCTAGCACGATCCATCAGTGAGTCATGAACAGTTTTATGTGTAAGACTAGTTAAAGTTGATAGACCTTCACTAATATATTCATATTTTATCCAGAACATGTCTGTTTTGAATATAAGTTTTCTAATTTGCATTATCAATTTGTCATTTTTTGGCATACTCATTTCAGAAAGGCTGACAAGAATATTAATATATTTGTTTTCTTTTATTTAATTAAGCACACCCCAATTTTGTGGTTGATACAAACTGAGTTGTGTCCGCCATATGCTCACTGCATGTTCTGGACACTTCATACTAAAAATATGCCTCACATAAGTACTGTAAGAAACTTGTGTGTATATCTCCATGGAGATCTTGTAAATACCCCTGTAGAGATCGTTAGTATGTGACTAATGATACCCCTACATACCCTGTATGTACATGAAGGATCCCTATATCTACCCCTTGGGAATCTCATACATATACATTGGGGAGCTCCTGTATATACACTAGGGAGCTCCTGTATATACACTGAGGAGCTCCTGTATATACATTGGGGAGCTCCTGTATATACACTAGGGAGCTCCTGTATATACATTGGGGAGCTCCTGTATATGCATTGGGCAGCTCCTGTTTATACACTAGGGAGCTCCTGTATATACATTGGGCAGCTCCTGTTTATACACTAGGGAGCTCCTGTATATACACTGAGGAGCTCCTGTATATGCACTGGGGAGCTCCTGTATATACACTAGGGAGCTCCTGTATATGCACTGGGGAGCTCCTGTATATACATTGGGGAGCTCCTGTATATACATTGGGCAGCTCCTGTATATACATTGGGGAGCTCCTGTATATACATTGGGGAGCTCCTGTATATACATTGGGCAGCTCCTGTATAAACATTGGGGAGCTCCTGTATATGCACTGGGGAGCTCCTGTATATACATTGGGGAGCTCCTGTATATACACTGAGGAGCTCCTGTATATGCACTGGGGAGCTCCTGTATATACATTTGGGAGCTCCTATATATACACTGGGGAGCTCCTGTATATACACTGGGGAGCTCCTGTATATACACTGGGGAGCTCCTGTATATACATTGGGGAGCTCCTGTATATACATTGGGGAGCTCCTGTATAAACATTGGGGAGCTCCTGTATATACACTGGGGAGCTCCTGTATATACATTGGGGAGCTCCTGTATAAACATTGGGGAGCTCCTGTATATACACTGGGGAGCTCCTGTATAAACATTGGGGAGCTCCTGTATATACACTGGGGAGCTCCTGTATAAACATTGGGGAGCTCCTGTATATACACTGGGGAGCTCCTGTATATACACTGGGGAGCTCCTGTATATACATTGGGGAGCTCCTGTATATACACTGGGGAGCTCCTGTATATACATTGGGGAGCTCCTGTATATACACTGGGGAGCTCCTGTATATACATTGGGGAGCTCCTGTATATACACTGGGGAGCTCCTGTACATACATTGGGGAGCTCCTGTATATACACTGGGGAGCTCCTGTATATACACTGGGGAGCTCCTGTATATACATTTGGGAGCCCCTGTATATACACTGGGGAGCTCCTGGAGATCCTGTATATACATTGGGGAGCTCCTGTATATACACTACAACAATGTGTTGTTTACAAACAGGATGTTGATTTCGTTACGCAATTTTGATAGGATTATGCATAGAGTCAGGAATTCTAGCCTCGTTCAGCAAAATTGGAAAACTGGATTTGATAGTCAGTTAACTCCCTTGCCTTGGGAAGTTGATGTTATTAAAATTCAACACATCATTTTTTGCTGTTTTAATAAATAAAAAGTAAAACAGATAAGAAGCCAAATAGTTAGTTTGTCAAATAATAGGTAGCAGTGACCTGACGCAGCCTCCTCATCAAAGCTATAGCCTGATTAGAACCAGATAATTACTATGGTTACATGTCAGAACACAAGAGGTGACAGTGACTTATAACATAAAGTGGACCGTAATACTTTAAAAATCATTAAGAGAGGACACGTTTCAACTGGTCATGGTGGTCGTGACAAAATGTTGAAAGCAGTGACTAAATATGCTTATCTCTCTGCATTGAATGTCAGAAGAAGTTTTAATGAATCACAACGAAGGTCATAGTTGTTAAACCCAAGGACTTCGGATCTCAAGGCCATCCAGTCTTCACATCCAAATAGATCCAAATTGAAATGGGGAGATTGAATTAAGGAGTCTAATTCATTTCAGTCAATCTGTCGAAAATCCAGGCGATATACAATATACATTGACTGAATATTTCAGTCAATAAGTACATTTTGTGCCTGATGGAATCGGTCAGTATACATATTGCCTTATTACAGACATTGACTGTAACATATATATATATTCAAACTGAGGAGCTCCTATAAATATCTATCAAGGACCACACTTTTTATATCAAGGATCTCATTTTTACATCGAGCAGTTCCCTATATGCAGACTAAGAACTCCTAAAATATAACCCTGAGATACCTTTACGGAATTTCACATCGATCAGCGCACTAATGCAACATTAAATCCATCAACTCTATTATCAGGAAACATTAGCCCGCTAATTAACAAAAAATGACTATGTATATTTAATTGGAGCACCTTTAGAATGCAGTACCACAACTTCTTGTGAGGACGATCTCTGCCGTAGGTCACATGTCTCAAAGACAGGCAACCAGTTTTTGAGAGAATCTGTCGGACGGGAACTCACGACCTACGGATTGTTAGCCTGACAGCAAACCAACCGAGCTACGTCCACACTGTGAAACTAAATACAAATTTACCTAGTCATGCCTACTCCGATATGGAACTGAACAAAAAGGGTCAAATAGGTGACGGACACTTACGAAGGCTACGGGTAGGCATGGTGTCTCGTGACTTTAGTCTACAGACACTAACGAGTGATCCCGATGCCATTTGACACACTCGTCCCACTCTGTAATTTACAAGATACCAAGTGGTGAGGAATGAGCCGATATGGCGAGAAATGAAAACGACTCATGGAGAACTCGCGGGTACGCATGAATGACATGGAATTTAATCATTCGTCGGGTGATTTTTGTGACAGAAAAGTGTGGTAGAGAATACTGCAAGGATAATGTGGATAATTGTAAGGAACAAGGGAGGCATAAGCATGGCTAGTGACGACAAAAGGGTGAGTTCACTTTTGAATCAGTACTGAATACATCTAGCGGGTGAAAGTGGCTTGTGTCAATGTTCCAGGACAGTTTACAGTAGCCAAAATATTCGACACTAAACCATTTCACCCTGCTTTCTCGACAATTTTGTGTGAAGAATATTAGGAGCAGCTATAGAATCAATGCTTTACTAGCCACTAAACGGGTACCTAACCCTAATGATGGTAAAGCGTGATTGATCGTAAAGGGTGATTGATCGTAAAGGGCGATTGATCGTAAAGGGTGATTGATCTTAAAGGGTGGTTGATCGTAAAGGCGATCCAAGGGCTAAGGATAGTGTTCAGTGCAACCTACACTAAAACCGGCGACATTAGGATGTGTTCAGCACCAATATAATATTACCTAATAAACTGCATTCCTGTGCATAATAATAAAAATTAATGAATCGAAAAAATGCATGTATGTTAGATTTCATTTAACATAGTTTTGGCAACTTGAATTACAAAAAAACGAAAAAAAATATATTGAAAATAAAAGTGCTTTCGTAAACTAGCTCTTGCTATAAAATGCGCTGTCGCGGCTATATTCAGTAAACAAATATTCAAAATTCTCAACATCGCTGGCCGTATGCAGTGACATTGCGTGTGGAGATGATAGATCACTGGGAGGAGCTTATGCACACTCGATGACCCCAGACGTCTCAGGGAATTTTTCGCCGGTGTGACTGGCAACAAAATACTAAGAATTACGTCATAGGGTATTGTCACGTGTTTGAAAAGTTTGTGGTACTGTATTCTAAAGGTATGCCCATTTAATTTTTCTAATTACAGAAAATCACCGGGCGTGAGTTGAAATACACAGCTTTAGTTGGCAAGCCGAGCGAGATCACATATCACCATGCCGACTACCTCCTCAGTCAACAGTCTCGCCTGCTGGGGCTAGAGGGAATCAGCACCATATACTGTATAGGGTAGGTCAACTTTACATCACAGATTATACTGTACAGGGTAGGTCGACTTTACATCACAGACTGTATACTGTATAGGGTAGGTCGACTTTACATCACAGACTATATACTGTTTAGGGTAGGTCGACTTTACATCACAGACTATATACTGTATAGGGTAGGTCGACTTTACATCACAGACTGTATGCTGTATAGGGTAGGTCGACTTTACATCACAGACTATATACTGTATAGGGTAGGTCGACTTTACATCACAGACTATATACTGTGTAGGGTAGGTTGATCTACATCACAGACTGTATACTGTATAGGGTAGGTAGACTTTACATCACAGACTATATACTGTATAGAGTAGGTCGACTTTACATCACAGACTATATACTGTATAGAGTAGGTCGACTTTACATCACAGACTATATACTGTATAGGGTAGGTCGACTTTACATCAGACTATATACTGTATAGGGTAGGTCAACTTTACATCACAGACTGTATGCTGTATGGGGTAGGTCGACTTTTTATACAGACTATATACTCTATAGAGTAGGTCGATACTACTTGTCAAAATACCTTTTGAAATCCAAACGTTTTTCCCACAGTGACAACCCAGAGACTGATATATACGGAGCCAATCTCTACAACCGCTACCTCAGAAAGAGACTCAAGTCCAAAGAGAAGCGCCTGTCCGCCCAGGCCGTGGTCAAGCAAGCCGTTGCCCACGCCAGCGGTCAACAGGTGTCCGACATGGAAGAAGATGACGATGACTCTTCCGAAGAGATGGAGATGCTGGAATCACAGTCGGAGGGAGAAGAGTTTGTTGATAACTTTGCCAAGTCGTGTGAAAGCATTCTTGTATGTACAGGTGTATATTGCACCGAGAGAGACTTTGCCACGTATGGCGGCAAGAGGCCATCTAATCACAATCACAGGGACTTTGTCATAGATCCGGAACTGAAACGGCCATGCAATGTCACTCAGAATGTACTAGAGGCAGTTCAAATGGTGTTCGAGAAAGAGGAATTCAATTGATGATGGCTCGAACAGTTAGGCAAGTTAGTGTGATGGTTGTTCAAGTATAGACCCAACACTGGTAGTTCCTGTGTGAGATTCTGTCACATGGCTGGTGATTTAAAGGGAAACTTGTCTTTGTAAAAGCTTGAATGTTTACTTTCTATTATTATTATTATTATTATTATTATTATTATTCCTTTTGAATCACCAGCCAGAATTTACCAGTGAAACATTGATAGTCTGGATGATGCTGTTCCCACTGAAAGGGTCTGCATCAGTCAGTATGGGGATCGATGATTCCTGACTGTGGGATGATGTCCTTTGTATATATGTAGATGTTCCCAACGGCACCGGAAACTATCTGTAAAACAGTGTCCAGATTAACAGGGTCTGAACTAAAGAGGTTTCACTGTATACAGTGGGATATTTGGTGAAGTAGTCTCTCATTATCTCAAGATTAACTTCTGTATGTTATCTCGAGGTAACTGTGCCTCTAAAATCCTATTTTTTTATATTTAATTTTTAAGTTGTTTACAATAGCTGCTGTTGGGCCTATATCTTACGTTATGAAAGAACTGCTGATTAAATAAGTACAAATAAAATATGTCCAAATTTTATTTTTTAATATTTTTTTAAGATTTTAGTTTTAAGATGAGGTGATTCTGTGATCCAGGTAATAAAATATATTTGGCCTTGTGTGAACCAGATTTGTGAGATGGAAGGGTTATCTCAATGTCACAGATTCTATTAATCTCGAGATAATGAGAGATCCACTTAAACTGAAGTGAAAATGAATCTCTTGCCCTCAAGAACCCAGTGGTGATAATGTTTGTGATAGATGATATTCTAATATATATTCATGCTACGTGTTATCATTCTACATGGATTTATTGATTTGAGACTTGTAACATTTGTTTTAAGGAAAATATGCAATTTTCTTTGAAATTTCATGAAATATTTTTAAAATGTTTTTTTTTCATTTGATTTTCTTTTTCTTTTAATATGTTATGTTTGTATTAATTTATGGATATTCCAGGTGTAGGATTAAGAATGGATGTAGTCTAATGGTTAAGTAAAATGTTATATAAATAATTGTTACTTGTCAAATACATACAGCAAGAATGTTTTACGAAGCATTGAGAACCTAATTCACAATGGAAACTTACATTCATGTTCTCTTTGGAGATCCTCAAAATTATCCTCCAACATGGGTCTCATATAATACAAAATAATATAAACAAACTCATTCCACTATAACCTGTCTCGGATGTCCATAGAACTTTATTCTTAAATTGCATTATTTTTGGTACTTGTGTTTCACATTGACCCAGTGACCCTGATTTAATAATGAATGTTTTTTCACAGCGATATTGTTATCAAGGAGGCAATTTTAGATTTTAATTTAATTGATGTTGGACCTGCAGTAGGCCTTTTTAAAAACCCGCAGTTGATGTGAAACACAGTGTTAAAAAATACTGCCATATTGCAAGGAGTCTAAGGAGGATCTGTACATATGCTCCAGGATAACTTGAGATAGATGGGTTCTATCTTTACCGATGTGGTTAGTGTTGGATTTGGTTGTTACAGTGCCTGTAGTATTTGTTAGAGAGATTGTGTGTTAGAGTCTGGCTGTGAAGGTGTAGACAATCTTTGTCAATAGAGTATGCACAAACCCATCTTTCCGAAGTAAGTGCATTAACTGATTGTAAAAGTCCAGTTTCCACCCTTGCCGAACTGGGCTGGAATTTGGAGTTACATTTTGGCTGGGTTAACGAGTTTATTCATTGTCCTATCAAAATTGCGGAACAAAATTGACACTGGATTCATAATCACCATGGCAACTGCCGTGCAGATTTCAGTCAATTGCAGGATTTGCCAAGCATGTGCACTGTCAACTTGGCATCGACAGATGTTTTCCAAATATTTCCATGTTTAAAATCTAGGTGCTCAAGTGATTAGATGTACTGCGAGAGGTAAAACCTGTTTTATCAAAATTAAGATGGTGATTATCAATCAGATCGTCTAGACTGGGCACCACCCTTTTGTTTCAAGCAAATGCAAGAGAAAGGATGGGTGAAATCTGATTGGTCAATACTAGTGACATAGAAGGGACATAACTCGTAACTGTCATTGGTAGCTCTACGATCGAGCCACAAAATTCCAGCCTAGTTCGGGAAGGGTGGAAACTGGACTTTTATAGTCAGTTAACGCCCTTACCTCAGGAAGATGGCACAAACCTCAGAGTGGTGAGTCATTAGGAGACTACTAGGAAGACGATAATTGTTAAGACATTCTGTAATATTTACAGAACACATTGTAGACTGGTGAACAGATGTTTCATGTCTTTCTCTGTATGTGATGTGTTTTTTTTATGCAACTCTGCATACTGTTTCATCTTCCATAACTTTTTACAAATATTTATTTATTAGGACAAAAATATTTTACCTGAGGACACAATAAACTAAATATCAGATGTTCTCTCATTTGATTGGTTGAAAAGTTTCGTCAAATGAGCATAACATCACTTAATTTTGGGGTCTAATCACCGTGTATGTATACATTTATTTATGGAACTACTTTTCACGACAGCATGTTCAAATGAAATTTTATGTTTATCCATTTAGCATTGTATCCTGCAAATCTTACAAAACTAAATGTTTATGTCATAAGTTATCAAATTTTTTTGGATATCATAAGTAAACAAAAAACAGAGTTCAATTTAGGGCCTCATCCATGAAACGAGAAAATATTTAGCAAGTGTCCAGACAAGGATACAGAAGGTAGTTACTGGAGGGCAGAAGTTATTGATTTGTTAGGTGTGAGGTCCTTGTTACGCTGATAATGATAATCTGATGTACATAACTCTGAGGTTATCTCAATTTATGAATGTAGAATGTTCGTGTGACTTTGTGTGAATTTGATGATAGATCAAGACATGCAACATGTTATATTTTAGCATCATCGGACCTCCTGTACAGAATATATTTTAACTCACAAATATTCCTACTGACTAATTTGCAGCAAGTAGAGTCTTGTGACGATACTCTAGCCAGTTGTGATTTACCGACATTCCCTTAGAACCATCGATTTAGGGCAATGAGCATTTGTGATATCTCGAAACAAACTTAAGTCAGAGGTTTTCCTCAAATTTGAGACATCTCAGCAAAATTAATTTCCTGAAACAGTTCAATTTTAAAATTAAACTCATTAAAAAAGCTGAAAAACTTGTGAGGTGACTTTTCTTGAGGCAAGATGGCTGCCAATAGTAGATGTCATCGCCAACTACATATATAACAAGATGGCTGCCAATAGTAGATGTCACGCCAACTACATATATTACAAGATGGCTGCCAATAGTAGATGTCACGCAAACTACATATATAGCAAGATGGCTGCCAATAGTAGATGTCACGCCAACTACATATATAACAAGATGGCTGCCAATAGTAGATGTCACGCAAACTACATATATAACAAGATGGCTGCCAATAGTAGATGTCACGCAAACTACATATATAACAAGATGGCTGCCAATAGTAGATGTCACGCAAACTACATATATAACAAGATGGCTGCCAATAGAAGATGTCATCGCCAACTACATACATAAAAAAGGTTTGAGAAATGCGACAGGGTTAGGAGCTCGAGTTCAATTCTCAAACTCAGTTAAACTTAAGTTTGTTTCGAGAAATCGAGATTTCGTCTACTGGATGCAGGCCCTCCACTGGAGGAGATCTGGTAGTCTTCACCATTAATTAAGCATGTAGTAATATGTTTCCTGATCCTCACAATGAAGGCACTGACTCTCTGTGTTCTTGAGAAAGAGTTGATATACATTTTTTAATGTGTGAACCTGGTTTGATCTGATAAGTTTTGTGTGAAAAAGTCGATAACCCCCGAACTTCCTTAAAAAAACAAAAACAGAACCGTCGACGACCTGGCCCTTTACCTTAACAATGTAATTCTTTATGAAGTTGTATGTAAACGTTGTGTTACTTTGGGGTCGACATAAAACGTGCTTCCATCTACGTGAGTTGATGAAACTGGAGCCTATATGCTTAGTTCCTGGTGAAGTGAATTGCCAATTACCCTTCTGCATGTACAGTTTAGAGGTTGTTGAAAATGTGTATTTTTATTAGTTTTTATTATAAAGAAGAAATATTTTATCCAACTATTATCATGTGCTCATCAATTTATGCTTATTGATATCATGGATTTACATTTGATTTAAGAATGAATAAAATACTGTATATATTTTAAGGCTTGAAATGTAGACTACAAAGGATTCTCACCTCACCAAGAATCCTCTGTCTGACACCTGTGTGCAAGGATTCTCATGGCAATTAGAATATGGGCCCTGTTCCTCAAAGTGATCTTGGGAGTATGGGAGTTACGATCGTCTTAGCGCTAAGATCGCTTTGTGGAATGGTGCCCTGGTCCTGTTCAATAAAGCAATCCTAGCGCTATGACTTTCAGAAGTCTATGTTAAAGTATGGGATTTACAATCGTCTTAGCACTAAGATCGCTTTGTAGATCTTGGGGGGTTAAGCTGGATTAGATACAACATCCAGGTTTGCAGAAACAATCAATTGTCAATCTATTAAAGAAGGAAAAATGAAAAACATTTAAAGAAATAAAGATACAGTCGGGCATTTATGATAAAATGATAGCTGATGTTTATTCATTTTATTCAGACTTCGCATTTATTTTATTATTACATCTCTACCTGTCATATAGTTGAAACCAGGGCAGCATTTCTGTGTCAGAAACCTCTTTGTCACTTAGCTCCATCAACCAATCACAGGCAGTGTAACATGTGGGATAGGGCTGGGATGAGTCCCAATTTACTACCTGGGGACACTGTAATGACATCTGTGAGGTTACTGGAGTGTCAGGATCCAGATTATAGGAGGTTTTACTGTAATGACATCTGTGAGGTTACTGGAGTGTCAGGATCCAGATTAGGGAGGTTTCACTGTAATGACATCTGTGAGGTTACTGGAGTGTCAGGATCCAGATTATAGGAGGTTTTACTGTAATGACATCTGTGAGGTTACTGGAGTGTCAGGATCCAGATTAGGGAGGTTTCACTGTAATGACATCTGTGAGGTTACTGGAGTGTCAGGATCCAGATTGAGAAGGTTTTACTGTAATGACATCTGTGAGGTTACTGGAGTGTCAGGATCCAGATTAAGGAGGTTTTACTGTAATGACATCTGTGAAGTAACTGGAGTGTCAGGATCCAGATTAAGGAGGTTTTACTGTAATGACATCTGTGAGGTTACTGGAGTGTCAGGATCCAGATAAGGGAGGTTTACCTGTAATGACATCTGTGAGGTTACTTGAGCGTTAGGATCCAGATTAGGGAGGTTTCACTGTAATGACATCTGTGAGGTTACTGGAGTGTCAGGATCCAGATTAAGGAGGTTTTACTGTAATGACATCTGTGAGGTTACTGGAGTGTCAGGATCCAGATTGAGGAGGTTTACCTGTAATGACATCTGTGAGGTTACTTGAGTGTTAGGATCCAGATTAGGGCGGTTTTACTGTAATGACATCTGTGAGGTTACTGGAGTGTCAGGATCCAGATTAAGGAGGTTTAACTGTAATGACATCTGTGAGGTTACTGGAGTGTCAGGATCCAGAATAGGGAGGTTTACCTGTAATGACATCTGTGAGGTTACTTGAGCGTTAGGATCCAGATTAGGGAGGTTTTACTGTAATGACATCTGTGAGGTTACAGAACAGCAGGGGGCGCCGCGATTCTCTGTGCAGAGTTGCGTCCCTTGGGCAGCCAGAAACCTATGATTGTTGGTTCGAATCCCGGTTCGCCCCGATTATGTTTCTAGGAATGTCAGCACCATACCCGTGCTCGTGGGTTTCACAGAAGTGGTAAACGTCTGAGACCTGCATCACTTCGGGCTTTCCTCCCACATGCTGACACGCCGCGATATAACTGGAATACTGTTAAACCCAACTCACTCACTACAGAACAGCAGAGACCCGATAATGTTATACAAAACAGTTTGTAATAATTACCCTGATTATCCTGAACAGGACGATAGTATTTTATGGTCTTGTTTAATATTCTGTTATTGATCTCAATCATAACCCAGTGTTTACATGTTGTTAAATTTTGTTTTAAAAAATCTTTTAAATTAAATAAGGATTTTTTAATACTGCAGGTACTCTACTACATCAGTTTGAAAATTCAAACTACATAAGGGTTTACTTTAAAACTTATCTAAATAAACATATCCATTTTATGAATTGACTGTAACAGTTATGGCATTTATGGAACATAAAAATCATTGTGAATTCTGTGCAAATCTGCATAGTTATTTTTAGCATTGTAGGAATCAATGTTCTTGAAGATTCTTCAACTGACGTTTGACACCAAATTGAAATTAGATTCATTCTTTCTTTGAAATATTGATGTCAAATGCCAGTGATAGAACATTAGGGACCAGTCATTTATTATGCTGTTTTGGGATTAGGATAGATTGAGATGGCAATAGGGGAGGATCTTAAAAATATAAATAATTACAATTTCAGGAAGGGTTACATACAGAATAAACAAAAACTATCACAATATTACAAAAAGGAAGAAAATAGTTTGCTTAGACAAAAAACATGTCTGGTCAGGTCTTTTTATAAGAAATGACTAGTCCCTTACAGGAAGTCCTGTTTGTGTGTGTATCAGGAAGTATTCTTGTTTACCAAAGATCATGTGTCCATCGAACAAATAAATATATAGTTTGCCATGTGAAAGTAAGTGCCTGTTGTTCTTCTGTTCCTGAGAACAGATCATAATGGATATGGCTAGCATACATACATACTGGGGAACCCTGCTTATCCAGATGGTGTTTGGTCTGGATTAATAAAATATGAATAACAATTATTTTCCCAACAGAAATTATTCTGGAATGTGATGTGTCCAGATTAACAGGTTCCGGATAAACAAGATTCATCTGTATTCTTCAGATTTATTCTAATTTTTGTTACATATGTATCATTATAGAGAATATAACTGTTTTTATAAATATTCTGTGTCATATACAATGTATAACTGTAGGGATTTTCTTAAAATATAGATTTATATTTTGTCTTTTGGGGGAATTTTGAAAAATTTGAAGCGAATATTATTTGTTAGAACAAATATTAACATGATGATTATTTGTTTACAAATTTTTTAGTTTGCTTGGGAATATTGAATAATCTGAATCAGGATAAATTCCTTATGGATTTATGTAACTGTGCAATGGGACAAACCCAGGCATTCCCCCTCCACCGCTAGCTGACACATGGAATACAACTCATATCAGGTTTCACAAAACAATCGTGTGAAATACGACACTCAATTTGCAAATGACACATATTTTAGTAATATATTACTAATTTATTGACCCAGCTTATCAGAGACAACAAGACTTGGTGCCGAATATGGAGTTGCCAAAATAATGACAAGAACAACTGTCAGGGTTGTTTTTAGGTTAATTTTATAAAAGATTACAACTTACATTAAAAATTGTTCAAAATGAGCATATTTTTAATCAAACTTCATTGAATTATTTATTTCTTGCATTTAGACAAGTTGATACTAAAGATGACATAATAATTCTGAAATAACCAAATCTTGTGTTTCATACATGTACATAGCAAGGTGTTTATACACTACTCAAAAGAAGTTAAGAAAGACCCGATTCTTCCATATGACTAGGGGTGGTCGGGTAGCCTAGTGGTTAAAGCGTTCGCTCGTCACGCCGAAGACCCGGGTTTGATTCCCGACATGGGTATAATGTGTGAAGCCCATTTCTGGTGTCCCCCGCCGTGATATTGCTGGAATATTGCCAAAAGCGGCGTAAAACCATACTCATTCACTCACTCACTCCATATGACTATAGTTAATGTGTCACGGCTGGTGGGAATTGCTACACACAGCCTTCAAACTGTGGGTGTTCCTTAACTTGTTTTGGGTGGTATATTTTCGTTTCTGATATATTGGGTCTGAATGTAGAGTTATATTGACACCTGTCAATCATATTATCACCCAATCATTACAAACTATATTATTTTCTTTGAGAAATGTATCAACCAATCATTCAGCATTATAAGCACATTGACACCTGTCTGTCAAGAAAATCATCCAATCATCTTCCACTGTTTATCTTGAACCACTCATTGTCTGTTTATAATGATACATGGACCAGTTATTTTAGATGAGTGTGTCTCCCTCACTTGTGTGTGTGTCATGGCTGACCATGGCAAGTGTCCTCCTAGCAAGTAAACTGTCATAACATGTGCTGCGTCTGTGTTGTTTGTATCTTACCCTCTTAGAAAGCCATGCAGTGACTTCCCTTAGTTATACCAGGATCAGCTTATTATGGTTTGAATAATAATAGCAGATTGATCCTTTTGGCCAGTCGGCCCAGTCAACAAAGCTTTTAGTTTAATGCTGCACTCACAAATATTCCAGCTATATGACGGCGGTCTGCAAATAATCTTCCTGGACCAGACAATCCAGTGATTGACATCATGAGCATTGATCTATGCAATTGTGATATGATGACATGAATTGTGTTTGTTTGTTGTTTAATAATTCCGCACTCAGCATTATTCCAGCTATATGATGGTGGTTTGTAAATAATCGAGCCTGGAGCAGATAATCCAGTGACTGCATCATGAGCAGCGATCTATGCACTTGGGAAATGATGAATTGTGTTTGTTTGTGTGTTTGTTGTTAACATTGCACCCAGTAATAGTCTATCTATATGAGAACGGTCTATAAATAATCAATGACATGAATCAACCAAGTCAGCAAACATGACCACAAAATCCCGTTAGTTGCTTCAACAAGCATGGGTTGCTGAAGACCAATTCTCACCCAGATCTGACCGCCACCGTGGTCAAGTGGTAGAGCGTTGCCCAGAGAACAGAAGACCACGTCATACTAAAAGACGTTAAAAGATGGTACTTGTTGTTACCCTGTCTGATGCTTGGCATTAAGGGGCTAAAACAAGGACTGGTCAGCTCGGAGTCAGTATACTGTGTCTGAGTAGGGTATTCATGTTAAACTGCGGCATGGTATCTCAGTGGGCAAGCACTATAAATCGGCATCAGTCCGGACTGGTAGAAGCAGCCACACACACACACACATGCATGAACGTCGCTATTTAAGAGCAATAATCTTGAGACCTGTGAAGATCCGGGGTAGAATATATCTTCAGCAACCCATGCTTGCCGTAAGATGCGACTATGCTTGTCATAAGAGGCAGCTAACGGGATCGGGCGATCAGACTCTCTGCCTTGGTTGATGCATGTCAGCGTATTCCAATTGCGTGGATTGATGCTCATGATGTCAATCACTGGATTGTCTGGTCCAGACTCGATTTTTTACAGACCGCTATCATATAGCTGGAATATTGCTGAGTGTGGCAGTATTAAACAACAAAGAAAAGAAACAAACTTCAATAATCCCCATTTCCCCTCACCTTACCCAGATCTTCACGAGGCCTAAAACCAGCGGATACAGAGGATTTCACAACCAGGTTTGAAGCAGTGACAAGTATGAAAGTAGATCAGATAGATTCTTTTTCGGTTATCTGAAGGGCACAAGAAGTAGTAGTGATAAGACAACCTCTGGACACAAAGTCTCACAATTACAGCTCCAGGTTCACCTCGATCTACATGGATTGCACTTTCTAGGTCAGGAAATGCATCATACATATATTTTTGAGAATATAATAATAATAATGATAATGATGATAAGAAGTGCATTTATAATGCGCCAGTTTCCATTCACCAAGTGGATGCTCATAGCGCTACACTATTATTACCCCGGTCAATGGATCAGTGAGCACTCGATTTTCATTCTCAACTCCCTGGGGAGTATACAACCCAAGCTGCCTGGGAGACGCTACAGAGAGGACATTCTGCTTACTGATTCTGTTATAAATGTGAATAAACAATGAGCTGTTAATTATGCCAGTCCATGCAGTTCAGGATTAATACAATATTATTCTGTATTACCGTATTCGACGTAATAAGCGCCCAGGGCGCTCTAAAAATTAGAAATAGGGGGCTCTTATAAGAATGTTATTTTGGTGGAAAAAAACAGAGTTGAAAGATAAATTTCATGGTTTATGCTGACAGCCTGAAATGTTTATGTACGACAGATATATTTTTCCAGAATTAAATGCCCATAGTTAAGGGTGCGTAAAACACACGAGTGCATATTATACGCAAATAAATAAGTCTTGTGTACATTGATCACTCGGAAGGGGTGCTGATTGGGACTGTTCAATAGCCAATATCTTAGCAAATGTCGCCCTGGGCGCTTATTAGAGCGGGGCGCTTATTACGTCGAATACAGTAATTCTCTGTTTGTACAGATTATCAATCGCACAAATTCAAGTCCTTTTCAAGCCTGTAGGAACCTTATAATTATCTTGAATGACCAACTTCCTGTTTAGTTGAAGCCTTGGAACCACTAACCACTAAACAACCCACCACCCTCCTTGAAGACATTACATCAAGCTAAAGAATGAGTGGGGACCTCAACAGTTTCATTAGTCCTGCGCCACTGTGGAGTGAGTGAGTTTGGTTTTACGTCGCTTTTAGCAATATTCCAGCAATATCCTGTTGTGGGGGGGGGGGACACCAGAAATGGGCTTCAGACATTGTACCCATGTAGGCAACTGAACCTGGGTCTTCAGCATGGCAAGTAAACCTTTTAACCACTATGCTACCCTACGGCCCCCATTACTGTGGAGACCCGTGAAGATCCGGGTAAAATAGGTCATAAGCAACCCATTCTTGATGTAAAAGGCAAATATGTTTGTTGTAAGAGGCGACTAACGGGATCGGGTGGTCAGGCTCGCTGACTTGGTTGATGCATGTCATTGATCCCAATTGCGTTGATTGATGATCATGATATCAATCACTGGATTGTCTGGTCCAGACTCGATTATTTACAGACCGCCGTCATACAGCTGGAATATTGCTGAGTGCGGCGTAAAACAACAAACCAACCAACCAACCAACATTATTGTGGAATAAATACTAAAAACAACAAGAAGTCTGCGCAAGTCTAGATCAAACCAAACCAAGTCTAGTTTCCTTGATTCCTCAGCAGAGGATAAAAGGTTCTTTTGAAAAAAATAAATAACTATTATTTTAAAGAAATGTATTCCTAGACTAAGGAAGCTTCATAAAAAATAAGAGTATGAGACTCCATTTTCATAAAATTCCATAATGTACTTTAACATTTATCATTAACAATTATGTTATCTTATGACAAAAGTATTTCTATCACATGATTTTCTCTTCTTGCATCAAAACATGCTTGTTTATCTAGGTCAACTTAAGACAAACACAGACGACCTTTTAGTCCATACTACACAGGTCATTGACCTTGGTGCCTTGACCTACTTCTGTAAACATGCCAGACAAGAGAACTGGGTGACACAGGAGTTGAGAATAACCTTTTACAATGAGAACCAGCACAAACACCTACCAACCTTCAGTGCACTCTACTCTGAAATAAGTACGTCTTTATTAGTCACCCTTCAATACTTGAGACGTCACTAGCCAACATGTAGTGTTCAGTAAATAAACACTGATTTTTAACAAAACATTGTCATTTTTTGTTTTCATATATACATTTGTTTTTGCAAATATACCATATCCAATATGAAGATTATAATATTACCCCGTGCACATTTCATATTCAGTTTATGAGGTGCTCTGTTTTAATAAGCATATCATTCAAATTTTCAAGTGTCACACAGACGCTTAAGTGTGTGATTTTTAGAAATTGATAAGAAGTGAGTGAGTGAGTATGGTTTTACGCTGTAATATTCCAGTAATATCACGGCGGGGGACACCAGTAATGGGTTTCACACATTGTACCCATGTCGGGATTTGAACCCGGGTCTTCGGCGGGCTGCGTGAACACTTTAACCACTAGGCTGCCCCAGTTGATAAGTAACAGTAAAGTCGTGATATATTCTATGATGATGCGAGTCATTCTTGTTTGACAACTATATGGATCTATACCATACATCACATTATAATAGAAAAAAGAAGTTGTCATCAATAATACATCTTGTCTTTACAAGAAATCGCATCAATAATACATCTTGTCTTTACAAGAAATCGCATCAATAATACATCTTGTCTTTACAAGAAATCGCATCAATAATACATCTTGTCTTTACAAGAAATCGCATCAATAATACATCTTGTCTTTACAAGAAGTTGTCATCAATTATACATCTTGTCTTTACAAGAAGTTGTCATCAATAATACATCTTGTCTTTACAAGAAGTTGTCATCAATAATACATCTTGTCTTTACAAGAAATCGCATCAATAATACATCTTGTCTTTACAAGAAATCGCATCAATAATACATCTTATCTTTACAAGAAATCGCATCAATAATACATCTTGTCTTTACAAGAAGTTGTCATCAATAATACATCTTATCTTTACAAGAAATCGCATCAATAATACATCTTGTCTTTACAAGAAGTTGTCATCAATAATACATCTTGTCTTTACAAGAAATCGCATCAATAATACATCTTGTCTTTACAAGAAGTTGTCATCAATAATACATCTTGTCTTTACAAGAAGTTGTCATCAATAATACATCTTGTCTTTACTACCACAGATGTTGTTCTCATCAGAATATAATTACCATGAAGCTGTATTCAGTGTGAGTGTGTATTGTTTTACGCTGCTTTTAGCAATATTCCAGCAGCAATATCTATGACACCATTAATAGACTTCACACATTGCACCCATGTGGGGAATCGAACCCGGATCTTCGACGTGACAAGCGAACGCTTTAACCAATAGGCTACCCCACTATCCCAGATGAATTAAGAAATCAAACCAAGTAGAAGAAATACCTTGAAACTCCCACTTGAAACACCCAACAAATAACAAAGCATTACAATCATTTGCTGACTTATTGGGTTTATTTTGTAAAATGGTCATGAATAAATGATTCTGTTTCTTGAGGATATATACAAGATGTCATGATATGTACAATGAAGCCATGGATCACACCTGGAATATGAACACATGCAGTATGTAACTATAGCAACTGACATATTTACATAATGAGAATGGTACCTCATATATACAGTGATACACAATGAATGGACATAAAAAACAACGGACAGATTTGAAAAGTATGACATGGTAATGCCCCATCATAGAAAAAGTAACTTTTCGAGTGAGTGAGTGAGTGAGTGAGTGAGTGAGTTGGGTTTAACGCCGCTTTTAACAGTATTATTCCAGTTATATCACGGCGTGTCAGCTTAATGTGGGAGGAAAGCCACTTCGGTGAAACCCACGAGCACGGGTATGGTGCTGACAAACCTAGAAACATAATCGAGGCGAACCGGGATTCGAACCAACGATCATAGGTTTCTGGCATGCCCAAGGGACGCAACTCTGCACAGCGAAACGCTCCGCCTTAGAGGACTGGGCCACCCGTTTCCCTGTAACTTTTCGACACAATACTATCCATCTGCATACAGTGAAACCCATTTAATCATGACATCATCATTCCACTTAGATTTGTCTGCATTAACCAATGTCCAAACTCTTGTCATTGTAAAAGAGCAGTACATTTAATATATGTAGACATTCCAAACCGAACCGTCCAGATAGTGGAGGTTCCTGTCTATGGAGGGTCCAGACTAACAAGGGTTTCACTGCATCATCTTACAAGATCAGTCTGATGATTCTCAAAGTGTTTTAACACTTTACAAAGCAGTATTTCAGTTATATCACAGGGTCACCAGCAGGTCAGCTTCATCAAGTTGACATGGGAGGAAGCCCACAGTGGTTCAGGTCAAGGTCATTTACCATTTTGGTGAAGCCAACAAGCATGGGTGGTGAACATGGTATGGAGAATGATGTTACACAACGTCCACACCACTTTTAGCACAATTTCAACAACATGATGGTAAGGACACCAAGAATTACCCATATGACAAGGCCACAAATTAACCACCAGAAACCTGTCCGCACACAGATCATAGCGCTACGACGATCGTAACTCCCATACGTTAACGACTTAGGATAGACGTAGCTGAGGTCACTTTGTCGAACGGGGCCCTGGACCCTGTTCCATATAAAAGCGATAATACGCTACGACAGTCGTAAGTTTATGTTAATGTATGGAAGTTATGATCAGCGGTCTGTAATAATCCATTCTGAAGCACACAAGCCAGTGAAACGCACTTGGCATGCATCAACCAAATCAGCAAGACTGACCACCCAATCCTGTTATTCGCCTATTACGACAAGCATGGGTTGCTGAAGACAACAACCAAATCAGCAAGGCCGATCACCAAATCCCGTTAGTCGCCTATTACGACAAGCATGGGTTGCTGAAGACAACAACGAAATCAGCAAGGCCGATCACCCAAACCCGTTAGTCGCCTATTACGACTAGCATGGGTTGCTGAAGACAAATGTAACATGTATCTTCATGGTGGTTGTGACTTGTGAACTCGTACTAATAAATATGTTACATGTGTCACTAGCAAATAAGCCTTTGGTAGAGTAGAACACCATTCAGCTTGTACAAACCAATGCATGCTGGTGACAGATGCACTTGTGGTGAGTCAGGCTACAGCTGTCTGTAAGGGAAGTTACTGTCGGGACAAACTACTCTCCATACAAGACACAAGTGGGTGATTAACAGGCAGATGTTTAAATGCGAAGATGTTCATGGTGGTTTGAGATTGTCTTGTGGTGACGTCCTGAGCATGGTAGCCGGAGCAGCCTGTTGTCGGACACATCAGCAACCACTTTGTCACCAGCACTTTATGTGGTAATGGTTTGCGGAAACAGCACTACGGGTGGCTCCCCGGTCACACACCTAGCATCTGTCGCACACCCTCCTCCTCCTCAAGGAGACTCTCACTCGCGTACTTCTTCAGCAACTCCATCTTCTTCCGCATCACCAGCGCCTCCTCAATCTGAAACACACGGGCGGCTGTTTGATTGAGCAATTGATGTGTTGGTTGGTTGATTAGATGAGTGAGTGAGTGAGTGAGTGAGTGAGTGAGTGAGTGAGTGAGTGAGTGAGGGGGGTATGTGTGTTCTGGGTGAGTTAGTGAGTGAGTGGGTGGGTGGGTTGTTGAGTGAGTGAGTGAGTGAGTGAGTGAGTGAGTGAGTGAGTGAGTGGGGTATGTGTGTTCTGGGTGAGTTAGTGGGTGGGTGGGTTGTTGAGTGAGTGAGTGAGTGAGTGAGTGAGTGAGTGAGTGAGTGAGTGAGTGAGTGAGTGAGTGAGTGAGTGAGTGAGTGAGTGAGTGAGTGAGTGGGTGGGTGGGTGGGTGGGTGGGTGTGTGGGTGAGTGAGTGTGATCCTGTTGTATGTCAGCTCTCCTAAATCACAATATACAGACAAATCACTCCACTAGTGATACAGATCCAGTAAGGCAACACTTTGATTCACAATCACATATATGCAACAGGACACCTGCCATGTTAAGGAGATGACCAGGTGAGGACCGTGTTTCAGTCACGGTGAAACATCCAGGGAAGCCCCAGGAATGCAGGTCTTAGATGTTTACCACAAGCACAAGCTGAGTACTGACAAACCTGGAAACGTGATCAAGGTGAATCTGAGATTTGAACCTAAAATCATATGTTTCTGACAAGCCCCATTTTCCTGAGTTAACTGACTGTAAAAGTCCAGTTTCCACCCTTGCTGAACTTTGCTGCAATTTCGTGGTTTGATCGTAGTGCCACCAGTAGCGACTAAGAGTTATGTCCCTTCTATGTCCCTCCTATTGATCAATCAGATTCCACCTCTCATATCACTTGCATTTGATTCAAACCAAATGACGGTGCCCAGTCAGGATGCTATGATCGATAATCAGGATTTTTTTTTTGTAATAAAATGGGTCCTACCTCACGAAGTACATCAAATCTCTATAATACCAGCCCAGTTTGGCAAGTGTGGAAACTGGACTTATTAATCATAGGGTATGTTTATTTACCCCAAAAGGTCCATATGGTTTGAATACTTGTAACATTTGCATTATGTCTGGACTATTCAAAAACATATTTCTTACAAAATACATCTTGACCATTTTGCCAGTAGTGGGGGGCGTTTAAGGCATGACTCAGCACTTTTCCTGAAGGTGACAGCATGTTTTCAGTTAACTCCCTTGCCTCGGGAAGATGGACAAGCCCAAGGGAGGCTACTCTGCTCAGTTAATGGCAGTGCTCTACACAACTGGGCATCATATGCCCCTGCATGAACGATGGCAGGAGTGAGTGAGTGAATTGGCTTTAACGTTGCTTTGAACAATATTCCAGTCATATCACAACATGTCAGCTTAATGTAGGGGGAAAGCTTCAGGTGATGCAGGTCTCAGATGTTTTCCCCTTTGGTGAAGCCCACAAACCAATGTGCTGACAAACCTAGAAACATGCATGCCAAAGGGAGATAACTCTGACAGCGAATTGAAGCCCTTTAGACGACATGGCCACCCGAACCACCAAACGATCCTTGAAGGACCAACAATGTAACACCCAGATGCCAGAAACATGGCATGATTCAAACAAAGGGAGATAATCTGCTAACCTCTTTTTGGGATGGCACTGGGACGTGGGCAATAAAGTGTTCAGCAGTTTCTTCTGCTTTCTGGGTTTCTGTGATTTCTTCTTCAATCTGGTAAATAAACAAAAATAAATATACAGTCACTAAATATGCAAGATTTGATTTAACAGTTTCATACACCTTGTTTGTTTGTTTGTTTGTTGTTTAATGCCTCACTCGGCAATATTCAAGCATATGACGGCAATCTGTAAATAACCAAGTCTGGCAAGAAAATCCAGTGATTGACATCATGATCAACGATCCATGCAATTGGCATACGATGACATGCATCAACCAAATGAGCAAGCCTGACCACCCGATCCTGTAAGTCGCCCATTACAACAAGCATAGTCGCCTTTAACAGAAAGCATGGGTAGCTGAAGGCCTACTCTAACCCAGATCTTCACAGGTCTCAATAATGATTGAATTCTCTCCAAAGAAGTTTTTAGTATTGAGAAAGATCTATTGAACGGTTAAAGTAAACTTGCCCAGTAACTCAAAACTCTCATGGAAAAACTTCTACCATAACTTTCCTGTTGCATACACTTGTATGCTCAAGTGAGTGTGTGAGTTGGGTTTAACGCCGCTTTTAACAGTATTCCAGTCATATCACGGCGTGTCAGCTTAATGTGGGAGGAAAGCCCCAAGTGATGCAGGTCTTAGACGTTTACCAGTTCGGTGAAACCCACGAGCACGGGTATGGTGCGGACAAACCTAGAAACATAATCGGGGCGAACCGGGATTCGAACCCACAATCATAGGTTTCTGGCGTGCTCTGCACAGCTAATTGCGGCGCCTTAGACGACTGGGCCACCCGTGCCCCCTTGTATGCTCAAGGTGTCAGTGTCCAACCTCAGTGCCTTGCGAGTGTTGGGATCTTTATGAAGAGTAACAACCCTTATAAACCGCCAGTGACGTCATCCCATTGTTCCCCAGACAGGTTAAATCTCATAAACAGGGATGTTGTCATATCCCCGGGATTTTCTATAATATCACCAGGATTTTCTATAATATCCTGGGGATTTTATTAATACAATTCCATTTATATTGTAACATATGAAGGTCTCTCGCAAGAAATTTATTTTGAATTTGAACACAATGTAATGAAAAGTAGAATCAAATGACAAACGTTATCTTTATATTCCCGCGAATCGAACACGCAACTTTCGTATCTGTAGCCCAGTGAGTGTACCACTGGGCTACAGAAGTGCTGATAAATCGCAATGCTTTTAAAAATGTCTGTTTCAAGCACCCGTACACCAGCAACAGATATTTTACACCCGTTTCCTAACATTCATGGAAAGTATGTTTAAACATAAAAATGTTGATAAGTGTTTCTTTTTCTCGGTTTATAAGTTTGATAAAACACTTCACTTAGCTTTTTATGAGACGTAAACCTGAATCCAAGGGATGAAACTGACGCCCCTGGGTTTCATCCCTTGGATTCGGGTTTAAATCTCATGAACACCCTCTGATGTGTTTATCCTACACATAGAAACAATGTACATATCATACCCTAGCGGTCTAATGGCGAGATATGTTCACTAAGTGATAAGGTCAGAGAGTCAGTGACTGCTGCCGTGTGACATGGAGAACATGTCGTCGTTGTCCTGACGACCTACAACACACCCTCCCTGCCTCACCTCCTCTGGCAGGTAGATTTCCTCCTCGGTTTCCATGGCATCCTCCTCCACCACTTCCCCGCGACTGATCTTCTCCTGCTGCTCCTTCCAGTCCCTCACTTTCTTGGCCACACCTGGCCGGACAAACAACAACCACCTGCATTCACCGAGGACAACTGTACACGTGTCTTAACATTTACCCTGTGTTCAAAATGTACTGTATTTGACATCATAAGTGCCCTGGGCATAAATGTACATAGGAGGGGTGCTCATTGAAACCATCCACAATATATGAAATTTATTTGAGATTGAATGGTATAGAAAGGCCTTGTTCAAATGTTGAAGAAAACCAAAACATTTTTGATTATAGTTACTAGGAAATTATATACCCCTTCTACACTGCAGCTTTATTTGTAACCACCTCTACAGTGCTGCGTTTTTTTGTACACCCCCCCTCTACACTGTTGCGTTTTTTGTAACCCCCCTCCACACTGCTGCGTTTTTTGTAACCCCCTCTTCAGCGCTGTGCTGCATTTTTGTAACCCCTTCTACACTGCAGCTTTTTTTGTACCTCCCCTCTACAGTGTTGCGTTTTTGTAACCCCTTCTACAGTGTTGCACTTTTTGTACCCCTTCTACATTGTTGTGTTTTTGTAACCCCTTCTACACTGCAGCTTTTTTTGTAACCCCTTCTACACTGTTGTGTTTTTTTTGTAACCCCCTCTACAGTGCTGCGTTTGTGTAACCCTTGCTACACCGCTGCGTTTTTGGTAAACAATCTACAGAATACACAAGAAAATACAGACTGTCCGTTAAATATTTGGGCTTAGTATTGGGCGCCAATATAGATTACTTACAGACTGGTCTAGAAGTTGGTCTGGGTGCTTACTGGAGTGGGATGCTTAATACAACAAACACGGTAAGTTATCAGCCCCACACATGGTGTTTCAATGACTGACAGATTGCTGGGGCTGCCAGACTGCCCAAATGTAGTCCCCTGTAAGGGAAGCAGCCGATGTGATGCTGATATCTACCTTGCTTTTCTATTTCCTGCTCCTGGGGGATAAGTATCCCATCATCCTCATCTCGGTAACCATAGTAATCAGCATCTATATCCTTCATTAGCTCTGCTCTGGTCTTCCGAGGCTGGGGCGGAGCTGTAATATGTTACCATGGTTACAGAGATTGTAAGACCATGCAATTAGTTCAACTCTACAATTTGTCCTAAAGTTCTATAACTTCTGAGTTACAATATTAGATTTCCATTGATGTACTGAAGAAAACAACACATTTGTTAATATTTTTTCTCATTCGAGTATCAATGCATATCATATTGTAAATTCTATGGTTCTAACCATGAAGTGATGATTGAGAGAGTGAGTTTGGTTATACAATCTGTCCGCAGAGAGAGTGGAAGGTCAGTGGTTCAATCCCTGGCTGTGTCATACAAAGATGGTACTTGTTGTTACCCTGCCTGGAGATCAGCATCAAGGGGATAAAACAAGGTTTGGTTGGCTTGGAGTCAGCATAATGTGTCTGAGTAGGGAAAAACTGAGGCATGGTATCTCAGTTGTCTAGCACCATAAAACTGGCATTAGTCCAGACTAGTGCAAGCAGCCACAAAATATATGTGCAATAATTTTAACCAATTCAACCTCATCTCAACCCACAACTGTATAGTACTTGTTGTATAAGTAAAATATGTTGTAGAATGGACTAGTGACCCCTTGACTGAATAAACCTCCCTGTCATTACAAACTTCCATTAAACTGAATTGAACCATGAAGCTGGAAAAAAAAATCTTACGTTCTTGTTCAAATAATTCTCGAACACCTGGCAAATCCTTGGCTGCTCCAAAATATCTGGAAGAAGATTCAATAGATCCTTATACCCTAAGAGATGCAGTATACATTAATATACATCAATGTTATCATTCAACAGTCTCTGCAACACATATTATTTGCATTCATTAAACAAGTAGGAATAAGGATGAGTGAGTGAGTGAGTGAGTGAGTGAGTGGGCCATGTTTAAGGACACAATCTGCAATCATGAAAGCTTGTAACAAATCAAGTCCGAGCCAGGCAAACCAGTGACTACCAGTGACTACCAGAGCATGTTGAACAGTCCAAATGTCACGCACAACACACCAGCTTCTGAATTCTGACTTGGAAAAGACATGGTGACCTTGTGGAACTATTGGGAAATATGATAAAAGTTTTATCTCTTGTAATCATGATGATAAAAGTTTTGAAAATTTTACAATAAATTGTTTATATACTTATTAAGAACCTGGACCCCCTGATTCTCTGAATGGACCCCCTGGCTACTCACTTGTACCCTCTGTTGCCTGGGACCTCCTTCCCCTCATGGTCCAGCATCCTAGGACCAGTCCTCTGGAAACAAAATCAGTTTAAGATAAATATACTGAAACAATAAAAACGCATAATCAATTTTAACTAAAAAAATAATAATGTGTTTTTGCGCTTATTATTGCCATCTCCAAACACAACAAATGAGATTTGAACCTATACAAAGAACTTAATGTGATTTTTTGGACATTTTGCCAAATATTACAAAAAAAATCAAATTTGGTTATGAGTTTGTTATGAATTACGGAACAGATACTATGATATTATAAGCATTTTTTCATGACACAGGCTTTGGAATACTGACACACATTGAAAACACATAAATCATATTTAATACATCCTGGTGCTTGGAAAGTACTGGCTATTTCAGAGTTATGTTACTTGAAAAGGATCTTGTTTCTTCTAAAATACAAACTTTATTTAAACATGTCAAAGTGAAGGCTTCTCAGTGTATTAGTTGGTGGTAGGTTCAAGGTGTGACCTGCTGAACTATCACACTGAAACATCCTCCTCCTCATGTGCAAGCATCCCTGACCTGCAGTAGTGTGTGTACCTTGTAATCTGGACCCCCCAGCTCCTTGATGCGGTCCTCCCAGTGACCCTTCTCCCTCAGCAGCTTGTTGATCTCATCATTCAGATCTCGCAGCTTGAACTCCCCCAGACCAGCTGGAACACAACAACATCAAGTTACCCACCAATAGCATACTAATCTTCTTGTACTTCGGGGCATTTTTTATCTTATAAGTATCCAAATGTTTTGAGTTTCCATGTTTGAGCATGGTTGAGGTTGCAGCAGATTTTTACAATCAGAATGCACCCACTAAGTCACCTCATACCTTCTCAGTCTGTGCCAGAATCTTGCTCTAATTTCTAAGCATTATTTTCAGTAGAATTTAGTGTTGTTGTATGGACCATTGTTAGCAGACCGAACCAGATTTTACTAGACTCAGGCCTCAGACTAGTGGTTAAAGACGCAGACTGCCATCGTTGTGATTATGAAATTAACATCCAAGCCCACTCACATTACATCAATACTCTCAGACAATCAGTGCATCAATGGAACAGCCCCTGACTACCACTGTGAACGTCTAAATGTTTTCACCCTCAAGACTCCATACTGTTCCACGACACAATCATCAGCAATGATAATGCTCTTGCCGCTACATCTGGGTGGTCTGTACATCATGTACGTAATCAGGCCCGGACCAGGCCAACCTGTTCCTGTAGCCTACACCTGTACAGTACACCACTGGATAATCTTCATGATCACTTCAGTATTTTGTTCAACTGTCACAGGATTTACATATATTGTATTTGGCACACTTGGCAATATTCCAGCTTTATGACGGCGGCCTGTAAATAATCGTGTCTGGGCCAGACGATCATGTGATTGACATTATGAGCAACAATCCATGTTGTCGGGGTACAATGACATGCAATCAACCAATTAGCCTGACCTCCTGATCCACCAAGTTGCCTCTTCCGACCAGCATTGGTTGCTGGGGACCTATACTAACCCACAATGCCACTGGGGTTTGTCTTGTCCTGTGCTTCACAAACTATTGTCATACAGCTGTAATCTTGTGACCATGGTGCAAACCTCACTCACTCACTCACTCATTCTTCAACTTACCATTCTGGATTTGGGCCACCTTCCTTGATATTTCCCCTATGATCTGCCGGCGCCATTTCTCAGCCTTACTCACGTCCTCACAGTCAGAGGCCAAATACGGACGTCTTTCCTGGCAAAGACAATATACAGACACAGTCAGAGGCCAAATACGGACGTCTTGCCTAGCAAGGACAATATACAGACACAGTCAGAGGCCAAATACGGACGTCTTTCCTAGCAAGGACAATATACAGACACAGTCAGAGGCCAAATACGGACGTCTTTCCTGGCAAAGACAATATACAGACACAGTCAGAGGCCAAATACGGACGTCTTTCCTAGCAAGGACAATATACAGACACAGTCAGAGGCCAAATACGGACGTCTTTCCTAGCAAGGACAATGTACAGACACAGTCAGAGGCCAAATATGGACGTCTTTCCTAGCAAGGACAATATACGTAAAATAATCAAGTCTACATTGTCCAGTGACTGACATCATGAACATCGATCCCACAAATGGGATATGGTGACATGCAACCAATCCAATCACCGAGTCAGACCACCCGAACAATGAAGTCGCCTCTTGTGACAACCATAGGCAACATTTGGAGAATTTCTTTCAATGTCAGATAAAAGTCAGTATGTTAAGAATGATAAGAACTTGGAAAAGGGGTCTTGCACATTTAATACTCTCAGCACGTTACCTTTTCTCTCGTTCCGTCTAAATGTGCCGCTCGCCATCTGGCAAGTGTTGTCCTGAAATTGAGGAGTATTATATAAGTGAAACTGGTTTTAAAAAAATACACCATTTATGCCATGTACATTTCGTAGACACTGGCCAATTATAATGATTGTGGGTCTGCACAAGAGCCAAATGGTACTGAGACAATTGTGATTGCCATGCTTGTATATGTGTACTATGTATACAATGTACAACATGGACATTATTAGGTATGAACAGTCAGGGTGTCCTCTTGAAAATGTGGGTTTTCAATTCCAACTACAAACTAAAGCTTTTCGCGTACAGAAGTGAGTGAGTGAGTGAGTTTGGTTTTACGCCGGTTTTAGCAATATTCCAGCAATATCACGGCGGGGGACACCAGAAATGGGCTTCACACATTGTACCCATGTCGGGAATCGAACCCGGGTCTTCGGCGTGACGAGCGAACGCTTTAACCACTAGGCTACCCGACCGCCCCCGTACAGAAGTGAATTCTCATAATGCTCATATTCTATAAACATAATATTATATAACTTTCCCCTGTATTCACCAAGTTTACAAATACATGCAAATAACTGGTACCTCATTAAAAAATTGGGGATATATCGTGATACTTTCGAGTATATAATTTCCAATTAATGACACCCCTATTGATATGTATTGGATTCTTTTAATGTTGGATATAGATGTTAGATGCAGAAATGATTGTCAGTAAAAACAATATACGCCATGTATCATGATGTACAATAGTACACACCTGACAGAACAGTAGAAGATAATATTGACATTGGTAACACAAAAAATCCCCAATGTTTTACCACAGTATATAACACTAAATACTTACATTGCCTTTTCACTATTACGTGCCTGTTAAAAAAAAAAACAAGAAAAAGTTTAACAAAACTACAATTTTAGAAATGACATCATCAGGAACATAATCATGATAATACTGTCATTGCAATATTCTGTTATATGATGGCGGACTGTAAATAATCAAGTCTGGAGCAGACACTTCGGTGATTGACATCATGAGCATCAATCTATGCAATTGTGATATGATGACATACATCAACCAAGTGAGCAAGCCTGAACACCCGATCCCATTAGTCGCCTCTTACGACAAGAATGGGTTGCTGAAGATGAGTTCTAACCTGGATCTTCACAGGTATCTGATGACAGTGAATGTCGACCAAACAGGTCAGGGATAACCATAGATTGATGTATAATTAATATGTCAGTCGAATTAAGCTACCCCAAACGATGTATCGCCATGTATTGCGCTTAATATCATAAAATGGGAATATTTTGGCATAGATTGTATATCTGACCTGGCAAACAATGGGTAGTTTTATAAAAAGGGATATGAAAGTCCTAATTAATATCATAAATGTTTTTGATTGAAGTAACTGTCAAATAAGTATGATTATGTCAACAACCGTTACAATCCTGGACTTAAAGTTGCATGTATTTTCAAAACTCAGAGCTTGATGTGTTTTATAGATAAAAACAGGAAAAAAGCTAGTGTTTGTGTACCTATATGGTAAGTAAAACTACTTTTAGTATTGACGATATTGCGTATGTTGATGTTTTCAAAGTGAATGTTACAATCCTGTTCTCATTACCATTTTTATGAAGAATCCACAGAGAATCAATGTGTACGGAAAACGTTTTCAGCTCTCAATGTTACAGGAAGTTGCTTCTTAACAGTCGAAAAGCTTTTTATAGTATTATCTCTTACAAAGAAGTCTGAGTGATGACAATAATGGTTGCGTATTTGTATTAAACATAACTATTATTTCTGAATAGGGTGATATTCGGATTAATATTATTTTTGAACCAAAAGGGTGAATAACCACTTATCGACTATCTATTTTGCACTTCCGGTTCCTTAAATTCTAAACTTCCGGTTTACAAGACCACACGTGGGCCAAGAACTGACAAAAATAACAAGCTGGACAATAACCAAGCAATATAAGATGGTTTGTGTTTGCGTAGGCTTTTTATTCATTTGCCAGTAACCAATGTAAACATCGATTCTATGCATAAGTGAGACAGACTTGTGTTTCATCACAGCAATAAGTTTTCACTTGACGCAATGGACGTATTGAGTGGTGTCATTTTATTATAAGCATGTTGTGTACGTTCAAACTAAGTCTTCTTGAAATTTCAGTTACGGAGACAAGCCAGACTTCGGAGAGAATATATTTATAGAAAATCCATTGAAGAAAGAGAAAGAACTATCCACGAAAAAAAGCAGAAAATAAAACAATCACTAGAAGGTATGTTTTTATTAATCTTTATTTGATGGTAACAATGACCGCTGCTTTCTACAGTGCTAATTGACAGATTACTGACTATGGCTCTCAGTTCACAGACCTCACATATGCCCTTCAATCCTTAGGGTTAGTTGTGTTAAATGGAGCTTGGACAAATCCAAATTTACAACCTTGGAACCTGACCCCCTATTACACGACCCTTCCTGGGTACCTGCTACAGGTCCAAGGGTTAAAGCTAAAACGGACCCTCAGCAAAAACGTCGCCGAGTGAAAACAGCACCTCACTTAAATCGAAAACGGCTGCTATAGCCTCGTGAAAACGGCACCTTATTGTTTTTACCTTGGTATTGAAATAAATGAAATTAAAATCACATGGTCACTTGCAAACACAAATAATTGTGGAATGTTAATGCAAGTTTACTTTAGAAATTAGCCTCTACTCAAATTTACACACCGACTCTTATTGGGAGGTGCAACTAAACTTATTGTGAAAACATCATCACGATTCACGTGCTTTGAAGTAGTCCTGCACCATGACTGTTGAATATATTTATTTTATGAAAAAATAAATAAATCTAGAAACGCATACAAAAGCAAGTCTAGTCAGCTCTAGCTAGCTCTATTCCACATGAAATCAGCATAGGGAATGTTAGTCTAGCTTTGAAGTTAAAAGTACCTTTACTCAAATTAACTCAATGTCAAGCTGAAACTGAATTTATTTATTTTTATATAATATATATTATTCATTTTGAAACTGTGAATAAGTGTGGAAGACAAGACCATGACAATGTAAATTAGGCATAAATACTACAACATAACACAATGGATATATACTACTTCATAAATTGTTCTTATCGTTATTAAAAATAGAGGTGCTGTTTTTGCCTGACAATTAGTAGCCGTTTTCACCAAATGAGGTGCTGTTTTTGCTTGAGAAATCAGTGACGTTTTGCTGAAGCGCCAATTTTGCCTGCACCCGGTCTCAAGAGATTGGCAAAAATTGTCAGATTGGGAATTGTTTTACCGGACCCCTGACAAAAAGTATTTACATACACACATTAAATGATCAGGTCATGCATACACTGAACATGCTGAAGTTGACTGAAGCTTTATCTTTATTCAAATATATTAAAGACAGAAGGAATACATGCATGGTCAGAAAGAAATGTGAACATAAATTACTTTCAGTGTAACAATGGAGTTGTAGTGATTTTTTTTGCATTAGAAGATATATCACATGACTAATTATGGATCTGTGTAGTCCTATTTGTACCTGGGTCCTACTCAGGACCGAGTTACCCGACCTAGCCCAGACCAATAGTCCTAGCTTTAACAGTAACCTGATATGACATGAGTCTAACAGGACTTTAACAGTCCCATTTTCGTTATTGTTTTGCTGTGGTTTGGACAATTTTGGCATAATAATAACAATGATCAGATTTCCCCAAGCATATTGAGACATCAGAAATATCCCCTTCAGATCACCATGTAGATAGCATTATTCTTGCATTAAACTTTGCATTTTATATTGCAAGATGACTGGTGTAAGGGAGATAACTCTGTATGTAATGTTTCAATGTGGTACATGTTCTCAGAAATCTTTCTGTTTCTTTCTGTTTTCAGAGAATAAGATTGTTCCGGTTGACTTGAGGAAAGATGCCGTGTACTTGGAGAAGACGCTAGACTGGGATGGGGAAGGAGCTGATGGTATGTAGCAGACACCACCATGTTGATGGTTGTTTTGTAAATATTTTACATAAGGCTGTATTAAGATATCACAAGCATGTCATTATCTATAAACTGAGATTGTAATATTCTTTTAACATTTCAGCCCTTTGATCTGATCTAAATACTGTTCAAAGCATCTTAAAAACCAAATTATTATAACCATCAGTATGCACTGCTGCATATTTCTGTAGTTCTAAAATGGACAGGATTTATCTCAGATTTTCAACTTAGTGCTCCTGATAGGACAATTGGGTTATTTTGGTTAAAATTTGGATTTCTTTATGAACCCTATGATTCTGAACTAACATACTAGACCCGTGAAGATCCGGGGTAGAATAGGTCTTCAGCAACTCATGCTTGCCCTAAAAGGCGACTATGATTGTCGTAAGAGGCGACTAACGGGATCGGGTGGTCAGGCTCGCTGACTTAGTTGATGCATGTCATCGATCCCAATTGCGTGGATCGATGCTCATGATAGCAATCACTGGATTGTCTGGTCCAGGCTCGATTATTTACAGACCGCCATCATATAGCTGGAATATTGTTGAGTGGGGCATTAAACAACAAACAAACAAACAAACAAACAAACACACTACTAGGTATTATATATTATGAAGAGCATTTGGGCAGCCTTGTACAATGTTGTAGCATCTGATTCCCTGGGGACATTCTAGAAATGTAGGAGTGTCTGTAGAATAGATTTTAGCTGATTGAAACAGTAATAATGGTGTGTGGTGTGCAGGTCTGACGACTCATGTTGATGACGAGTACAAGTGGGCTGGTGTGGAAGACCCTAAGATAATGATCACAACGGCCAGGGACCCCAGCTCAAAACTGAAACAGTTTGCAAAGGTTAGCTAGATTGAACGTATCATGTTTATGTGTCCCATAGTTTAACCTGTTGTGTACATGGTATTGTTTTTGGTGAACTTTGCCTTTTGGTAGAATAACAAGAATAGATTTTATTTTCCCCCTTTTCATTTTGGGTTGGTGTGGACTCATATAGCAGTCTTTCAAGATATCCGACATTACATTAAAATATTCCTGTGAATGCCTCTTCATACTAAAGAAATATTGTGTTGGTACCATTAGGGAATGTGTCAGAATTCACCCATTTATTATGTTAATATGACTGTAACTATGTTTTGCAAAGTAAAACTTGTAATTCTATGAAGATACTTACTGTCACTACCTCTTCTTCAATGACATTTCAGGAGATCAAGTTGCTGTTTCCCAACAGCCAAAGAATCAATCGTGGTAATTACGAGATGAAGCAGCTGATTGATGCATGTCGCGCCAATGATGTCACAGATCTCATCATGGTTCACGAACACAGGGGGGTGCCAGGTAAGTGATCTCCTTTAGGAAGGCAGCCTCTAGAAAGAAAGAGTTGTTTTTGTCGGGGCTCCAGTAAAACAACTCCCAATCGGACATTTTATACCTATCTCTTAAGACCTACAGCGGCTACCCAGGTAGGGTCGGGTAATAGGGAGGTGGGTACCCAGGTAGGGTCGGGTAATAGGGGGTTTGGTACCCAGGTAGGGTCAGGTAATAGGGTACCCAGGTAGGGTTGGGTAACAGGGGTTTGGTACCCAGGTAGGGTCAGGTAATAGGGGGTTTGGTACCCAGGTAGGGTTGGGTAATAGGGGGTTTGGTACCCAGGTAGGGTCAGGTAATAGGGGTTTTTGTACCCAGGTAGGGTACCCAGGTAGGGTTGGGTAATAGGGGGTTTGGTACCCAGGTAGGGTCAGGTAATAGGGGGTTTGGTACCCAGGTAGGGTCAGGTAATAGGGGGTTTGGTACCCAGGTAGGGTTGGGTAATAGGGGGTTTGGTACCCAGGTAGGGTACCCAGGTAGGGTTGGGTAATAGGGGGTTTGGTACCCAGGTAGGGTCAGGTAATAGGGGGTTTGGTACCCAGGTAGGGTCAGGTAATAGGGGGTTTGGTACCCAGGTAGGGTTGGGTAATAGGGGGTTTGGTACCCAGGTAGGGTCAGGTAATAGGGGGTTGGGTACCCAGGTAGGGAACCCAAGTAGGGTTGGATAATAGTGATTTGGACTTGTTCCACCCCTAATCCGCAGTATGATGGGAACACTGTTTGACCAATCAGAGAACAGCTTAAGACTCTAGTCCAATGGGTGTTCACCATTTGGTTGAGGTGTAGTACAATTATGTCCCGATAGTTTACTCTCAACAATGCACTTTATACAATGTTAAGGTAGGCTCCTGGGCGTAGTGCCACAACTGTCGTAAGTCTGTGATACAATTACACTGACCTTACGATCGCCTTATGGAGGCCCTGGTCTGTTTGTTCATGGCACTCAGTTGAAAGTGAAAAGTGCCACACATATGTGTAAGTGCTACTGATAGGACCATATTTGTCTGTCATCCTTTATTATCTAGTGAATTTATGTTCCTTCTGTTATAAACCCCCTGTACTTATTTGCCACGATAGCTTCATTCTGAAAGTACTGTAAACTACGTTTATAAGGTACATGCTTATTATAAACTGACAGATATTACAAACTGTTTTGTTTTTTGTCCTGGCCATTTGCTGTATATGTTATCATATAGAATTGATGAATGTAACAAACATGATTATAAGGAAATAATGGATATAGCACACTCATTTCGTGGTCCCATGTGCACTCTGTCAGGAATATTGTGTATGTTTAATGACGTTAAGCCCCATTGCACCCATGAAGATCAGGGGTAGAATAGGTCTTCAGCAACCTATGCTTGCAGTGAAAGGCGACTATGCTTGTCGTAAGAGGTGATCTGGTAGTCAGGCTCGCTGACTTGGTTGATGCATATCATTGTATTCCAATTGTGAGGATCGATGCTCATGATGTCAATCACTGGATTGTCTGGTCCAGACTCGGATTATTTACAGACCGCCGTCATTTACCTGGAATAATGCTGAGTGCAGCGTTAGACAACAAACAAACAAACAAAACAAAAGGTACAGATTGACTGTTTGTTGCAGATGCCTTGGTGGTGTGTCACCTGCCATACGGGCCAACAGCCTACTTTACCCTCTCCAGCGTTGTCATGCGGCATGACATTCCTGACGTCGGCACCATGTCTGAGGCATATCCACATCTTATCTTCAATAACTTTACATCAAAGTTAGGAAAAAGGGTTAGTTTCGATTATAAACTTGCTGTTTATTCTTATTCATCATTTGAAAATGTAGTAAACAAACTTTAAGAATCCTTTACCTGTCTGTTTCAAACTTGATATGTGAACTAACTATGGTAACATAAAAAACCCTTAAAAAGTGATGATTAGATATTTTTTACAAAGAAAGTTTGTTTTATCAAAAAGTAGAAAATGTTAACACATGCAGTAATGAAAATGTAAATATTCAGCCCTTACCCCTCTAATTTTTTTGGCCAACCTCCAAGTGTTAATATGATAGAATATTTCTTATCTTCATAACAAACTGTACGACAGTAATTCTCTATTGTTGCAGGTACAAAATATACTGAAATATTTGTTTCCTGTGCCCAAGGAGGACAGCAAGCGAGTTGTAACATTTGCTAACGAGGAGGACTATATATCATTCAGGTGAGGGGGAATGTGTGGAATGTATGTATTGGGGCTGGGATGATCCACCAACTGTGAGATCCGATACGTATCATGCTACCTTGCTCACGATCCGATATGTATCACGATACGTGCATGTGCTCCTATCTGTGGTGCGTAAGCCATCTTTTTCCTAGACAGGATGGCCAAGTACCTGGCACACTAATGATTTACAGTTGGCAGTGTCAAGTATTTTCACTAGTAATTAGTGTTTGGTGTAACACTTATTAGAAAATACATTTAAGGCTAAAATAATAATAGTCCTGGTTCTCAGACACCACCCGCATCATCATATAGTCTGTCACACGTTTCTTTTTTTTTTTCCATTCCCCCCCCCCCCCCCCCCGCAAAAATTCCTAATACTTAAAAACAATGCAATCCAATATAGCATGCAGAGTCCTTTAAGTTTTCTACTTTTGAATCCAGGAACCCCCTATATCTCTGTTGACATTTGCCTTAGTGTAAGGACCCCTTGATTTTCTTGCTTAGTTCAAACTCTGTGTTAATCTGCAGTATTTGGGACCAATAAAAGGAAGAACATTGTTGTGACTTATTTCTGTTTTCAGACACCATGTGTACAAATATGTCGACAAGGAGCTGGAGCTGAAGGAAGTGGGACCAAGGTTTGAAATGAAAAGTGAGTAATGTTCCCGAGTCTGATTACCTGGTGTTGGCTGGGGTCCAGACTGGTACTGACCATCTTCTTCAGGACTCTGTATATAGATGAAGTGAAGCATTATCAGTGTGATTGCCAGCAGAATTGCAACAAAAAATAAATCTGCTAAATTTGCCGTAAAAGTTCAATTCCTGACAAGGTCCTTATTACTGCAGACAATTTCACTGAAACTTCACCACTGAATATGATCACGTCAAATTCTGTTTTGGACTCTGTTCTTGCACTAGTGCTGTCACAACTCAGTTTGGGGTGGTTTTGTCTTGTGGTCCACAGATCCTTGAGATTTTCTGCAGTAGTATTTCAATCTTTGGACCCCTAAACGTATGACATTGGTTATGTTGGGTATGACAAGGTCCTCCTGACTTTAATTTTGACCAATGAGAGTGGTCGAGTACTGCCTCTGCTGATAGATTAGATAAGAATTTAGACATTTGGCATCGGCAGTAGCATGTAGGATCAACTGAGGGTAGTCAGGCTTTTTTTTCATGACATATTTCAAGACACTTCTGTATTTATTATATTTAGCACCGAATTTGAAGAATACGCAATCCCCAAAGGACTCATATTGACGGTTGATTTTGTTCGGGTAACAAATAACTTGACAAAGACAGCGATGTTTGTAAGTTTGTTTCTGCTTCAAAATCATAGTATCCTGATTTCATTCCAGTATACCAGATAATCCTGGGTACGCTGGAAACAGCAGACACCGCCGACGTGGAATGGGTTTACCGGCCATACATGAACACTGCCAAGAAACGCAAGGTCCTCAGTGTTGAGTGATAAGACAGAGTCCTACCTGCCCCAGCCTCACATGAACAACGCTGGACCAAGTGCATAAACAGATGGGACTCCCAGCTCATCATTGTACTGACAAGGGGAGACAACTCTAAATGTGTACTGTGATTGTCGCGACTGATGGCCCTAAAGCTGGCACTTCATCATGTGATGAACTTTCTACAAGTTGTAAAATGGAAAAAATTGTGAACTGTATTCAGAATGGATAAATCTTGAAATGACTTGAGAATGTTGGCATTCCTTGAAGTGATGTTTGAGTCATCTCAATCGAATATTAATATAAATTGTCATTAAAAGATGTGAAAATTTGTCGTTGATCTTTGCCAGTGAATGACACTGCCCAAATGGTATCATTTTCCTGGGAGTGGAGGTTTGCTTGAGCTGTCATTGAGCAATCAGAAATTGGCTTTGAAAGGCTTTCCTAAATACATCATCATAAGTGACTGCTGTTTATGGCACACTCTTTGGTGTTTGGGCGAGTGAATGTTGTTTTTCACTGCAGTCATCAATATTCCAGCCATGGACCAGGCAAACCAGTGACTGAGAACATGAGCATTGATTTATACGCCTAATTGTCACGTCAAACATGAGCATTGATTTATACGCCTAATTGTCACGTCAAACTAGCTCCCCAGGAATAATAGAAATAAACAAAAACACAACACAACACATGCAAAGAAATTTATTGCACAGCAATGCTTCCTTGATAATAGAAATCAGAGCATCAGAGGAGAACTCTCAATCTGTTCACAACCAAATCAGTCAAAAATAACACACGCTAACAGCCTAACAATTAGATCCATCAGTGTTTTAACTTTAAAAATATTCCTGTCCTCACTCTGAAAGCACCTGAACACTGCCAGATGACATCCGTCCTGTCATACTGTAGACAGCAACACATTGTCAGAGTTCCTATATGTACAAGAAATAAAACAAGATGCTCGTATATGTTAAAATAGTTTATACAATTTCCATCAATGTCCATTACCTCTACTCTCCGTTCATAGCAGAAGATATGTGGTATAGGCAGAATTATTATCCAATAATGGTGTTTGTTTGTGGATAAATAGTTGTGAAGATAGACAAACCAGAGTCCATAAAGCCATCATAGCGCTACAACTATCAGAGCCAGTGTTAAGGGATAGGAGTTACAGGAGTTACGATCAACTTAGCGCTAAGTCGATTGTAACTCCTATTCTTTAGCACTGACTTATGTATGTCGTAGTGCTACGATCGTTTTGTGGAACTGGGCCAATGGTCTGTTCCACAAAGCAATCTTAGCTCTAAGGTGATTGTAACTCCTATACTTTAACATGTTTAATACACTTTCAACAATCGTAGCAGTGTGATCATTTTGTAGAACAGAGCACAGAGACCATCTTGAATGTTGTTAAACTTGAGTATAAAAAGACCATCTTCACATGACTGAATACACACACATCACCATAACTGTGCTGATGCAAAGCAAAAAGATAAATAACCAAATTAATAACAATTATTTACAAAAGTGAAAGATTGCGTACATAAATAAGAATTTACATAGTAATATTTTAGTTGATTGAGTCTACTTTGAAGCACCTAAATATGACTAGACAATGTCATAAGTTCTTTCTTACACCTTACTCTCGAGACACTTGGGAGTGGGTGAATCTTGTTTAACATCTGGTTTACTGATGACTGGTTAAAAGCATGTGCTTTGGGTACAGTGGAATGCCATCACATCTATCCACCTCTTGGGAGGTGGCTGAGTGGGTAAAGGTGTTGGACTTGATGTTACATTGAAGCCTTCAGGTACAATGGAGCACCATCAGCTGGGTGACCGTTCTAACCACCTCCCGTGAGTTTGCTCAGTGGGTAAAGGAGTTGGGCTTGATGTTACATTGAAGCCTTCAGGTACAGTGGAGTACCACCAGCTGGGTGACCGTTCTAACCACCTCCCGTGAGTTTGCTCAGTGGGTAAAGGTGTTGGACTTGATGTTACATTGAAGCCTTCAGGTACAATGGAGCACCATCAGCTGGGTGACCGTTCTAACCACCTCCCGTGAGTTTGCTCAGTGGGTAAAGGTGTTGGACTTGATGTTACATTGAAGCCTTCAGGTACAGTGGAGCACCACCAGCTGGGTGACCGTTCTAACCACCTCCCGTGAGTTTGCTCAGTGGGTAAAGGAGTTGGGCTTCATGTTACATTGAAGAGATCAGATACAGTGGAGCACCACCAGCTGGGTGACTGTTCTAACCACCTCCTGTGAGTTTGCTCAGTGGGTAAAGGAGTTGGACTTGATGTTACATTGAACAGTATTTCAGTTACATCACATCTCAAATGTAGTCAGAGACCCAAGTGTCACTGGTTGATTGCGGCCATCACTTGGCTATTGTACAGTTGACTAATAATAGCCTTGTCCCTTACACATAATCTTTTATATATCATCGATAAATATTTACAAAACTACACAATAATTTGTTGATTGAAGCTGCAGTCAGCAATATTCAAGCTATGTCACAGCAGCCCCTATATAATTGAATCTAGGCCAGACAAACCAGTGGTTGAGGATGTTGATGTCCCATGACTTCTTATGATGACGCAAAACAACCAAGTCACTCAGTACGACCATCTGATCTTTTCGAGCAACACTGTGTTTGGGCACCTTCCAATCCTAGGCTTAAGACATTGGAATTAGCACAGTTTGAGATAGATTATGAAAAGAATTAATGTTTTACACATTTAACATGTAATGATTGTAAATATTCATAACAATTGATAAATGCCAAGCTTTAGCTTAATGGTAAAAGCAAATTACTTACATATATTCAATATGTTCAACATAAAACATGACTGCATTCACACTTAAAACTTGAAGTTGACAGGTTCCATATGGTTGCAACACCACATTCCTTATATGCAGGGATGTATCTAGGATACCAAACTAATATCCTTGGAAAGCAAATTGGAATTCTTAATTATTTAAAAAAAATAAATAAAAAATTATGTTCTTATTTTCAGAGGTATACTGCAGGAACTTGTTATTGGTAAGTAAATAAAAATATATACCACCTATATATAAATAGGGATAGGGGGTAAATAGGTTTTTTTTGCTGATCAATAGCGAGTTCCTGTGATTCTAACATTGTGTTTAATGCAATAATGTATAATTACGCCTCTTCCTATTTGGGGTCTTGTTATCTCTGAGCAGGTCTAGATAAATCCCTGATATGATTACAAAGTTACAGTCAACATATTTCAAAGTTTGAAAGATTAAATGCAGATTTGATAATCCATTTTATAATTATGTACAATATGATGAAAAGATTACAAATGGAATGTTGGCTATAATAATGAATCATAATTGTTATTTCTTCTCATATAATATACACGATACAGAAACATTGTGCTTATCACCATCCACTTCATCGCTTGATTGAGATATTTGTTGAGTTCCTATGTACAGGGTTGTGGAGAAACAGGGCTTTATACCATCCTCTGTAATCCAGGGTATAATATGTCCATACTGTTGGGATAAATATCCTGGACCAATTTATCACAATAGCTTTGTTACACAAGTGTAAGTGATGTCTCCATCCCATCACTCTCACCACTAACTAAGCTAACAATATCTCGCACTTGATATCAGAAAGCAGTGAAAACACATATTCATGCATGGGAGTGCAGCATACATTCAAAATTGCAGCCTTGTACGAGTCCTTATACTTCAAGACGTTCCTAGTTGTATTTGAGACAAGGTGAGTACAGTACTGGATATAACACAACATATTTGAATCATGAAAGAAATTTGTAAGGTGAATAGAGAGCCAGAGAGTGAGCTTTAATTTGTTTAATTTGAAACTGACCCAAAACAAAGCAATGGTAGCAACTGAACCCAGTAAACATATCCTATCAGAATGGAGATATAATACTCTGGATAATCGAGGATGAGTACACACTTGGGGAGACATCAAAATTAGTGTATAAATTATTGTTATATAATCTTTGAAAATAATTTGATAATTAGCAAAATAAATTGACAGACTTAAGGTGTCAAAGAACAATTAATAAAAATAACTACATAGTTATTACCAATCATAATAAGAATAATAATGTGGTGTTTTATGGTAATTTACATTAATATTCACAGTATCTGTCCCCTCTCTTGAGGTTTATGCTCATAAAATCCAATACGGACCTTAATACGGTTTCTGCAAATAGTGCTACAAATTTGTGTCAATGTGATATTAACAACCTGTTGTTGGTGCATACAGTTTATACGTGTCCTGATAGGCCTACCTCATGTAGATACATATCGCGATACTTGAGTCACAAAATATTATGTTCTGCGATGTTTAGTTTGCTATGTTTTTGAGTGAAATTCTCCATGTGCCATGTAACCCAGCAAACAAGATGTTTCAGTTAACCAGTTAATGTTTAATGTTTGACTGGTTAATTGGTTCTTATGGTATTGTGTAATTAGATTTATCGTTTTGTTTTGCAATAATAGATAACACTAACCTGAGAAGTCATCAGACCAGGCTATTGCAAAATGTCGTAACCACCCGACAATACTTTTTGAAAATTGATACTGCCTTAAAACATGTATTGATACGTGGGCAGGTGTATTGTGTAGAGTATCGTCCAGTCTGTTTTCATAAAACATTGATACATTGGTAAATTGTGACATACTGAATCTATTTCATTATATTATTTCAAGTTCATGTCTTAGTCCCGTAAACAGCTAGCCTCACACTTGTGATACACGACCTTGGACGCTTCAACCATACCCAGTGGTCTCATCCTGGTTAGTTCACTGATCGGCATTTCACCATCCTGCCAATGCTGACACCCTGATCAATGTATTAAATACATATAGAAATACACATCCATAAGCTACCCTTGCTTAGCAATAAAAGCAGAAATATTTACCAGATACATTTACTTGGAGTAACGCCATCACAGACCGTACAGTGCTGTACTGGCCAGCGTGGATCATGGCCGGTGATGTACAGTGTAAGAAGTCTATAGAAGCATGAATATCATGTGAGAAAGTTATAGCTCCTTGAAGCAGCTCTAGACTTTGTCGCTCTGTGAAGCAGCTCTAGAATTTGTACATCCGTGAAGCAGCTCTTGACTTTGTACATCCGTGAAGCAGTTCTTGACTTTGTACATATGTGAAGCAGCTCTAGACGTGTCTCCATAAAGCAGCTCTAGATGTCAAGACTCTGTGAAGCAGCTCTCGACTTTCTACCTCTGTGAAGCAGCTCCATATGAAGGTCTGAAGCATCTCTAGATGTTGTGACTCCGTGAATCAGGTCTAGATGTTGTTGCTCCGTGAATAAGGTCTAGATGTTGTGGCTCCGTGAAGCAGGTCTAGACTGTGTGGCGGCTCTGTGAAGCAGCTCTAGACATCGTGGACATCAAAAATACCTATATGGCTACACATTCAGGGCTGACCGCTGGAGTCTGCCATAACTCTGCAAGCTTTTTGGCAAACATATTGATAAGCTACTGAGATTTTCTTCTTCCAAGAATACCAGGAATACTTTCTGAGGGTTAAGTACAGAACCATTCATTGAAAGGTCAATAAGTAGGACTCTCGTTATTATACAGGGCAGTGCTAAAACAACTTTGCAGTTCCCAAATATCATGCAGACCATCAATGGGAACAGTCAATGCCAGCACAAACAAGGTAATGTGGACATCTTGGAAGCTTTAGCATAACCAAGCATATAACTTGCTAACAGAAAATGTCTTCAAATGTTTCGTGAATTAGTGTGAAGGGAGGCTTATATTTAATGTCAAGTGTGATTTAAAATGTGTACCTGGTACAAATTAAGCGCCACTTCCTATATATTTCCTTACAGAGTAGACATTTCTAAATTAACCTCTCTGATCTCTCCGCACGTAATCTCATTCTGATGTATCATACCCTACCATTTAGGAGCTTGTAGAAGCTCAATAGAGATCGACACAATCAATTCTACACAAAGAGCTGGAGGTGTGGTTTGACAAAGGCTTATCGCAGACATCTATTCATATATATACATCTATTAGAAACCATAGCTAAGTATATGGCTGTTAAATTATGAAATTTCTTGTAATGACAATCACTAGTTGTTTCTGCCAGTTCTTGCTATTATGTATACATTGATCACAGAGGATGTGAAATACACCTGAAGTTTACACACCATATAATACACATACTAAATATATTTGATACCTGATGAAAAATGTCAATTGTTTTTCAGTGACCTTCAAAGGCTGAATTGGAAGACTGCAAAATAAATGCCCTCCACACTTATCAACCTGATAATTCATAGCTGTGAAATGATGAAGTCGATACTAAGGTTTACAGAAAGTAGGGCTTCAGATGTCAACAACCAAGGGAGGTAACTATGTAATGAAGTTACCTCCCCTTACATCATGGTTGCCTGAACTGAACACACTACCTTCAAACTATATTAAATATCAACATCTCTTCAATCTTTCAAATTAAATAGAATGTACTTAAATCATTTCTAATTCTTTCAAGCTACAAGTTTCATCCCTATTACAAGTTTGGAGTCAAAGGCAGTTCTGTGTATTATGAGGCTTGGTGAAGTCTGCAGCTTTAACTCAATCAGGAAACCAAGAGGAAGGTCATGACGAACAATTGCCACTTTCATGCAGCTGAAGACGTTGGTGGGTGTGTTATTCATGTCTTGTCAGCCAGCTGGGCTTCAAACAGATCCAGAAGACGCTTGATCTCCTTTCTGGGGAGGGTTAAGGAAAATGTCTGAACTGACAAACATGAACAAGATTTAATGGATTTTCTCCATGTTACAAAGATGAACAGGGAGATATGACACAGGTCCTTGGACTGGTGGTGTGAAAATTGTGCACAAATGGTTGTCCCCATGGTCCTGCTAAATCCCACTCCAAACATCATTGCATTACCATGTCATACTGACAGTCTACTCATGCAAGTCTTGTGCACACATCATGTGCAGGGCAGGTAATACTTAATCCATGGTTCATACAAATATTAGGCCCTTTTAAGCCTTTTTCAAGGCAATGATCACACTTTTCAAGGCTAAATATAAGTAAGTTAGGTTTAATGCTGCTTTGAAAGTACTCCTGTAATATCCCAGGGTGTCATCTTGATGTGGGTGGAAAACCCCATGTGATGGTCTTAGCACTTTGGTGAAACCCACGATCACGGGTATGGTGCTGACAAACCTAGAAAATTTGGTAAACTGGGAATTGAACCCACGATCATCGGTTTCTGGCAAAACCAAAACCAACTCTGCACTGCAAATTGTGCCACCCATGTCCCCGGTATATATAAGACCCAAGTGTGCATTCAATCAGATTTGGCAGATCATTCCATTTGTGCATCAAAATACACCACCAATAAAACATTCAAGTCCAATGTCTTAATATTATTTATACATTCAGTTATGGCTACATCTTTTGCCACATAAGGTCGTTGCACACTATTCAGGGAAAAAAATAATTGTTTTTAGTAACCAGAAGAATTTTCAATGAATTTATTGAATATTATGCCTTTTGAAGCCAAGAATGCAAAATTCAATACTGTGTGACCCTTGACTGTACCCATGTGGGGAATTGAACCGGGTGTGATGACAAAACGCTTTAACCATGTTAACCAGTAGGCTTTCCCACCCACCCTACAAAAAAGACTATGATATGTCTTTTGTTCAATGGCTTCAACCAAAGAGGATACATTTTTTCTGCCAGCTTGTAGACTGGCTGCATGTTCGTACTGAGCTCCTCACATTTGGCCATGAGAGCGTACATCGACTGAAACAAAAACCAATCATTTAGAGACACACTAGTTAAACTTTATTGTCTACTTGTCATAAATTTGATTATACTTCTAAAACCACAGGAAAAATAAGAAAGAGCATATTTAGTTTCTATAGTTAGGTTAGGTTTTTAAAAGGGCTTAGAGTATTGGAGTCTCTATGAATAGAGGCAATTATTATTTAATCACTATCTGACCCTGAGGTGGTTACATGTTACTGGTCTAGTGGTAGAGCGTCTGTCCGGTGAGCGGAAGGTCAGGGGTTCGATTCCTGGTCGCGTCATACCAAAAGACATCAAAAGATGGTACTTGTTGTTACCCTGCCTGGCGCTCGGCATTAAGGGGCTAAAACAAGGACTGGTCGGCTTGGAGTCAGTAAACTGTGTCTGAGTAGGGGTATTCATGTTAAACTACGGCATTGTATCTCAGTGGGCTAGCACTATAAAATCTTAGTCTGGACTAGTACAAACAGCCACACACACACTATATAAGTGCAACAATCTTGAATGCATCTTTAAACCCCATTTCACCTCACCTCACAACATGTTACTAATTTGGTTTGATTGAGAACAAACCTACCTTTCAAAGAGTACCATATAGATATTAAGCATCCAATGTTTAAAGTTTCATATTGATTTTCCTGATAAGCCAACCTCTACACACAATATTATGAACATGAAATAGAAAATATTCAGAATATACAATTTTCAATATTCAGACTACCAGGAGATCAATTACAGGCCACTGAACCTGAAAGGAGAGAGACCCCTGTTGTGATCAGCATGGGGTCCCTCGGACTGCCATAATAACATGTGATTGGTCAAATCAATCTGATGGAATTATCAATTATTCTATCAAACATATCGCCTGATACCAAGAAGCAAGATGCTGTCTCACCTTAATACTCCCATCCACTGACTCGCAAGTGACGTCCACCGATCTCCGGTACGCATCGAGACAGCCAATCGTGATAGACGACATCTGAAAAAGGATTCATCGAAACTGAAATCAAGTTAACTATTACCCTGACGTATATTACATTTTTGTCCAGATAAACAGACTTCTGTGACCTGAAAATGGTGTGTTTTCAATCTCATTAGAATCAAATCTCAGTTGTCGGTACTGCCATGGACCTATATAACAAGTATATATACAAGTCCGTGGTACTGCTAAACAAAGATCTGCGGACACATCTGAACGACCTTTCACGAACTTTGACCAACCAATGAAATGACTAACAAGAAGTTGACATTTGCCAAAAACAAAGCAGCTTTCTCAAGCTTTACAGCAGTCATTTAAAACTGTCAACTTTCATTCCAGTTTACGCTTTGAAAATTATCGATTCAAAATTTGAAAACTCATTAATGAAAATGCTACGGAATGTTTCCCTCGTTTCAAATGTTTATTCCATTGAGACGGACAACGATTTTGATGGAATCTGTCACACAGACCATAACTGTCGTTTGGGATACCCTGTGTAAACCATTCCGAGCTTGCATGATTAGATAACACATTCCGACTGTCACTTTCCTGATCTGGTAAGCGATGTTCTAATTGGTCAGATGAAAGGTTGTTCTCATGTGACCCATAATGGAATGTCTTCAGATCTTTCTTTACCAATAGTAAAAACTATGAACAGCTATATGACTTCAGTCTGTAAATAATCGAGTCTGGACCAGACAATCCAGTGATTGATGTCATGAGCATCAATTGGGATACTATGATATGTATCAACCAAGTCAGCAAGTCTGACCACCCGATCCTGTTAGTCGATGCATACAACAAGATTGGGTTGCCTCTTACAACAAGGATGGGTTGCTGAAAACCCATTCTAACCTGTAAAAATTATGGTCAACATTTACATGATATACTGGGTGATGGTGATCACGATAAGGTTTATTTTGTACTGCCTTAAACAATATTCTAGTTATATCACGGCATGTCAGCTTAATGTGGGAGGAAAGCCTTAAGTGCAGCAGGTCTTAGATGTTTACAACTTTCGTAAAACCAAGGAGCACGGGTATGGTGTTGACAATCTAGAAAGATATTCATGGTGAACCACCTTGACAACAGGGACACATGTGCTGCTATATGAAATATAATCCATCCACACAGACTGAATATCTCGCCTACATCAATATCACCTCACAGTGAGGGTACACATCGGATACTTGTAATACAGTGATATTGAGTTCTCACACAGGCCAATTCTTTTGCATTATCCATGATTAACTCAAAGAGAATCTCCCACGAGTGTCTTTTTACATCAAATCTATCAACATGCGTCAATGAAAGTTAAAAACTCTCAGGTATGGCAAGGAGTTATAATTTTTTATCAATGAGTGTTGATATATTTGATCTCAAATGACAGGGTGAGTTTCTATTTGTCATCAAAAATCATTCTTCCAACTTTTTCAGTTTGTAAACCGTAATAACTTGTGTCCTAAGTCAAAAAGGACAGCTAAAAAGCCTTAGTGACAGAGATTAGGGATGTCATTTGATCGTGACATCATGGTAATCGCTGACATCAAAACGACCTGCAAGACATTGTGATGCAATCTCAAAGCAGCAGTATCTCCTATCATATATATCTCCTGTGTAAGTTCGTTTTGGATGATAATAATCTTCCTATAAAAACTTGAGAACTGACCTTGTGGAGATTTGCCTTCAAGTTTCCCATCATAAGGTCAACGCTGTCCGCAACAAGATGGGCCTGATTCTCAAGTTCAAGGACAGCTTGAGGGTCAATTGGAGGAATGTCATCTGGACTCTGCTGGAACAGACTGCTGGGTGACCGGGACATTCCGGACGCTGTGGAAGTGGCCATTGAGGTGGACACAGACGTAGAACTGGACACACTCCGCAAACTTGACCGTCTGCTACTGTAGCAACTTGAGTCTGTTGGCATGGCAACAAGCAGGTGTCAAGCTTGACTCAGTGAAAACTGTTATCCACAATCATGACAATAGTGACAGAGTTAATTTACGAATAAAAGTAAACTACAAAGTTTGCCTCAAGGACATAATGTAAGGAGATTAAGTTGTCACACACAATGTGAGATTATTCAACAATCAATGAGGAGTCATTATCTAATCAGGCTTATGAAACATGACAACGAGATAAGATCATAAATACTATTATTGCTTTTTTATGTTATGGTATTGATATTGTTAACTCTCAAGGTTAGACAACAGGAACAGGAAAGTTAATCATTAAGTCATGATCATGATGGATGAATTGGGTGGTCACGATTCACATTGTATCAATGTATCGCAAATCTACACCTGACCATATGATACATGTGTGTCACAGCCAAATTTTGGTATTTGTAGTACATAGAAAAACATTTTTATTTAAACTTTGTCAGTGTTAGTCTGTGTTTGTCTGTGCATGTGTTTAGTATAAGTATAAAATAACACATAAGAATCAGCCGGCCCTTGCTGCCAGCGGACGTTTCAGGCTATTTTCCCAGGGGTTTGGTGACAACAATAATATAATGTTACAGCTAAGACTTAAAATCTAATTGTCTTGTGTGGGGTCTTAAAGGTCGTGACTCAACAACTGAGCTAAGCATCCAACAAGAATTTCAGATATGGAGTTGGATGAATTAATCCACACTGTCCTGATAAACTTAACAACAGATCTCAATGATCATGTGGGAGGAAAGCCCCAAGTGATGCAGGACTCAAACGTTTACCTCTTTGGTGAAACCCAAGAGCCGGGGTATAGTGCTGACAAACCTAGAAACATAATCGGGGCGAACCAGGATTCGAACCCACAATCATAGGTTTCTGGCGTGCCCAAGGGACGCAACTCAGCAAGTCGCAGCGCCTTAGATGACTGGGCCCCTCTCAGTGATGAGGAGTCATCAGCAAATGTGTGGAAATAATTGACATATTTTGTGAATTTACAATGAATATGCTTTTAGAAATACAAAATATATTTTCTTGAAAATATTTCTCCAAATTAGAACGTTTCATGAATGCTTTTACCATGTTTACAATTATTTTCATGTCATTCATTAAAAAGTATCAGTGTCAACAAAAAAACTCTTGTAGATACGTTTTGTGCAAGTTGCAAAAATCTGTGGTCAATTAACAGATGTGGACAAGTCAACCTTTTTTCGAGCGTATATGCAACATGAAATCTGTCTCGCGTATACGTTACGTCGCCTACTGATCAGTGTCACAGGTCAAACGAGCACTGTTTCAGATTTGTTCATGTTACAGAACTTTGCCTCACTGCTATTCGAAATCTCCTAAAGAGCTTTTTCAAAAAGATAACAAGATAGGCATCACAGCAGAATGTCCAATGCAAAATCAGCTCAGTTTTATGTTTCAGATAAAACCAAAGGGGAAGTGTCTTATCTTACTTATAAAGTGAAAGTAAAATATGAAACAATAATTGTCGACCATATTATGTTTTAAACACACTTTCCATGAACTCTAGGAAATGGGTGTGAAATATCTCTTGCTGGTGTACATGTATTTGAAAAAGAGATTCTTAAACATGTTAAAACTGAGGTGACGGTGAAATGGGGTTTAACGTCGCGTCCAACATTATTGAACTTACATAGTGACGTGCATGCACCTGTCTGTGTGGCTGCTTGTACTGGTCAAGACTGATGCCGATTTATAGTGCTAGCCCACTGAGATACCATGCTGCAGTTTAACATGAATACTCCACTCAGACACAGTATACTGACTCCGAGCCGACGAGTCATTGTTTTGGTATGACGCGGCCAGGGATCAAACCCCAAACCTTCCTCTCTCAGGGCAGACAATCTACCACTAGACAATGGAGGCGGTCACATTTTCAAAGTATTGAGGTTTATCAGCGCCTCTGTAGTCTGTCTCACAGTCCCTGAACCATATTATTATAAAAGCCCTTTCTGTATTACAAAAGCCCTAAATGAAGCAAGTCTGGATTTTCCTCAGGTTCTGGAATCTGAACCTTTCAATTTAAATTGAGTTACTTGGTTCTATAAAAATTACATATATTATTTTCGAACTAAGTGTTAGTACCATTCTAGGCTACAGATACAAAGATTGCAATTTTGATCCATTGAAATATAAAACCAACAGTACATTTGAGTCATACCAAAAGGTATAGATACGATACATATCCTGATACGCATATTTACGTCAAATTGCGTGGAAACTTTGTGACTATAAATATTTCACAACAGGTTCAAAAGGAAAAGTAAGCTGCAGATACATGTTCGAAGCAGCTATTAGTAGTACTGAACTTGAAACACCCAATTCCAAGTAATTTTGCGATATTTGACTGGCAAAAACACTGGGGAGCATTAAATGAGTAATAAGAAATTTATCTTAGCAAGCGTATCGTTTGGTATCAATACAGTAAGAAATCTGTATGTTATCAGAGCATGAAAACTCAAGATTTACCTGTGTATCATTTCACCCTCTGTATTTTGTGTGTGAAATCTGCAATATTTTGTGTGCAAAAAAGCCAAAATTGGGATTTTATATATAAAATCCCAGGTATATTCAAAATTTCCTAAAGAGCTCTTTCAAAATGATAAAAACATAAGCACCACAGCAGAATGTCCAATCCAAAATCAGCAAAATGTTTTATGTTTAAAAAGATAAAACCCAAGGGGAAGTGTCTTATCTTACTTATAAAGTGAAAGTAAAATCTGAAACAACACTTGTCAACCATCTTATGTTTCAAACACACTTTCCATGAACTCTAGTTTAGGATTTTATGAGATATAAAGACAATGGCAGGATAATGGGATGACATCACTGGTGTTTCATAAAGTAGACTATCCTATGCCAAGAACCCTTGGAAAATAACTGAACCCGCCAAATACCTTGTCTTCAAATTAAACCACTGAAAAGGAAAATGTATGGGGTAATATTTCAAACAGGGTCTGGATTAACAAGGTTTGTCTCAATCTGAAAAAAGATGACATACCTGTTCTAGACAATGGACTGCTCCTTCTGATTTTTTCCTGGAGATCCTCCGCAACAAACTCAATCATCTCCCCCTTTCTCATGATTGTTCCATGAGGCAAACTCTTGGACAGATATTCATCCGAACCCAAGCCATCTCTTCGCCTCAGCGATGAGTTAATCTCAATAATTTCACTTTGCGTCCTTCCTCGGTCTGGCTGACCTCTTGGGTCACAGCTGACAGATTTGATCTGAACCTCGCTCCTGCTTCGAACCCGTTCCACCTGCTGTAGTGGCCTTGGCAATGAAAGACTATCTGGACGCGACACACCATTAAGGGTAGGATAATCATCTGTGGTTTCCCTTATATCAGTTTCTGAAACTTCATCTGACTCATCATCATGGTTTGTAAGTGACATCTGTCGCTGGGAGTCACTTAAGTCATTCACCGTGTCCTCGTGGGAGCTCTCTTCCTCCAGAGTTTCGATAGAGTCGGACTGAGTGTCATAATCAGCACTATCTCCATCACTGGGTTTCTTTTCCCGGCGGACATTTTTGGCATTTTCACTCAAGGCTGCTAAAATGGTTGTGTCAGCATTTGTTGGAGTGTCCTCAGATTTATAACTGCTCCCCTGACTTAACAAAGGAGCTCTTGCTCTCTCTTTTTCCTTTTCTTTCTCTTTATGTTTTTCCTCGGGGCTGGCATCATGACCATTTGTGTACACCGTTGCTTGGCCGTTAACTTGACTAATCTGTTTTTCGTGTCCCTTCACTACACCATTCTGTAGATGTGTGTCCGACTTGGAATGAGTTTCTGAGGTTGCCACATCTGAGTCCTCAGTGACCTCACTCATTCTTTTTGGCGGTGAACTCTGCAAAAATAAAAAATAAAGTACTGAATGCTTTCAAGGAACAGCATTATAACCACTAGTAGTAACACATTTTGTACTAAGATTATGTGGTACATGCAACATTAGAAATGTGTAGTATTTACAATAGGGCTGGGACAAGTCCAATTTTACTACCTGGGTACCCAACCCCTTATCACCCGACCCTACCTGGGTACCTGCTGTAGGTCTAAAAAAGTATCCATAAAATGTCTAATTGGGAACAGTTTGACCAGAGCCCTCGACAAAATGTATTTAGATACATGTATAAAATGATCACAGGTCCGGGCAGTCCTGTGGGTACCTGTGTCCTTCTCAGCACCCACCTGATCCGAGTACCCGAGTTAGCCGTCCCAGCATTAATTTACAAGCTGAAGGGTCTTGTATGCCCCAAACCAAAAGTCAAGTGGTAATCATGAACGATAAGCTCAGAAGACCGTGCATAACCTCATCAGTGGTAGAAACTAACAGTTTTTGTCCACTAGTCTTTATAATCAAAACATATAGCAAAACCCTTAAAAATGGCACTTTCTACTAGTCCTTATGTTAAATTAACTTTGGGGCAGTTTTGCAAGGAACTTTAGGACTAGTGCAAATTTCTAAAGCTGCTAATGCCACTCGTGACAAATCTAACATTATTAGTTGACAAGATTTTTGTATGCTCTATGTAATTGTGTCACTAGAACATCCATCGCCAGCAGACACTTAGCAGATTTACAAGGTTTGAACATATATTGAACAGATCTTGAATCAGTTGTCCCATGGCCAGTTGGTGTCATAACAAGCATCTTGATAGCATAATGTAGGTAAAGGCCGACTCATATTATTTACAAGAAGGCATCTGACAAGTCAGATAGTAAATGAGTAATGGTAATATTTCTTCTGTTATCTACAATCATCTTGTATAATGTTTTAAATATCTCTGGATAACTAAAGCAGATGTTCTCAGTAAACAATTGAATTTCTGCATCAAGCACTGTAAGGATTGATCTGCTGATTAGGGAACACCTCCCAGATAGACTTTGTAAACAAGTTATGTTTTCTTTGTTTTAGTCATGTTAGTTTGGTTAAAGATGACTTTCAACATTGTTATCGATTTGCTGACAGTTAATATTAATATTATCACCATACCTGTGTTCATGGTACATTTGTGGGGATAAGCAGTAGCCACATTTCTTTTTAAAACTGGAAACTTGACACAAATTGTATGGTATTACTTTGGATTACATTGGATTAATCAATTAAATGAGGTGAGATAGTTAACCCTAAACCTTACTCACAACAAACCTAAAAGATCTTGATGTGGTTCCTAACGCTATAGGTATGGTAAAGTGCTGTTTGATCGGCAAGCAGTGCCCAAATCTAAATATTGTGGAGGAATGTTTGGTTGGCATGGGGTGCCTAACCCTAATGATCGTAAAGGGTTGCTTGATCAGAAAGGGATACAAGGTTAGGCCAACTTTGGATAGAGATGGGGGTAGCCTATCCTAACACATCTAACCCTAAGGATTGAAGATGCAAACAAGATCAGTGAGGCAAGAACCACAGTTAGAGGAATTAGCACTACCGGTATATAACTGAACCTGGCTAAGAGGTAAACTGCTGTCTTGTCTCAAAATGTCTTCTCATCAAGACATGGATATGCCAGTAACAGTTTCAAGGGAAAGTATCTGAAATTATTATTGACAGAACACTGAAACACATTCAATACCTACACATATAAAAATGAAAATGTCAAAATTGACTCATTTTTCAAAATAAGACTTGCAACTTCTTGAAAGTGTGAGAGCATATAAACAAATGCAGTCGATTTTCTTCTGAATGAATTTTGATTGTATGTACACATGAAATTACAAACAAAACGTTTCATAGGCTTTAAATATCTTTTCCCACTTGTAGATGTCTACGATGCGCATATCTGGCACCAATGGTAAACAAGTCAAAAAAGAATATGGTCAAAATATATTTTCAGAGCTGCCTCTCACACGTAAGATCGAACACATCCAACAATCTTAATTAAATCCTTTATGATGTTTTTGGCCGCGTGAAAACAAAATGGGACATAAAACTCGCTAATAACACTCCTAACCTTTTTCCAAAGGGAGAATCTTGTTTCCTATTTACATCACGGGACTTCCTTGTAATATCGGAAACGACTTCTTACGCATGCTCAAATTATCATTTGCCAACTTCCTGTAAACAAAAACACGTGCAAGAAGTAATAATCCGGGATTCTGGGGAAACAATATACGCCGTCTGGTCTCCTCGCTACATTTCATTCCCTGCTTGAAACATTCATGTAGCATTATCTTGGCTCGGTATATCGGTAAAATCTAAGCAAGGGCAGACTACTTAAGTAATCTTTGTCGTCATTTGCGATGCGAAGTTCAGTTTTCGATCACCTAACGGATTTGAAAACTGAGTAATGTCATGCGAGATGTCATGTAATTCACAAACGATATTCGAAAGCAACGTAAACGAGACTTATCCTGAAGTATACTTTATCTGCATTTGCATTCAAACTCTTAAATCAACCCTGTAGCCAGAAATTGGCAGGAATGTATGATACGAAGGGGACCAAAGTAGAGCCCCGTGAAAATCCATGTTAGAAATGGTCTTCAGTAACCCATGCTTGTCGTATAAGCGATAAAGGGGATTTGGTGACTCGCTGACTTGGTTGATGCATGTCATCGCATCCTAGTTGCGTAGATCGAAATGCTCATGATGTCAATCACTGGATTCTCTGGTCCAGATTGTTTATTTACAGACCGCTGTCATATAGCTGAAATATTGCTAATTGCATTGTTAGACAACAATCAAACAAACACAAGCAACTTATATCATACACATGCTACAATATATATCCTGTCCCATTGTAGCTTTCTGAAAAGGGTATCAGATTTGATGATAAAAAAATTTAACCTCTCCTTTCAGGAAATTTGACCCATCACTCGTTCAATCATGGCAAAGAAAGTCTCAGCATTCATGGTGCATAAGGAGAAAATGACTAAAGCCAACAAGAAAAAATCAAAATCTAAGAAAGTGTCAAAAGTTGAAAAGAAAAAGGCAAAGAAGAAAAGTGGATCAAAAGACAAGACTTTGTTAACGGGTGTAACACATTCAGAAAGTGTCACTGTGATAACTCTTCCCGATGCTGACAACAGCAGCCCACAAGTATCTTCTCCAGGCTTCATACAGGAAACTCCTAGGGGACATGGCAGCAAAGAAAAGGGTTCAGAGACAGATGGTAAACCAAGTAAAAAATCTTGTGACACAGCATTCATCACAGCTGCAAATAATGCAAGTATCATGTTCCTTGAGGGAACACCTTCTGGCTCTGAAAAGATAGCAAAGACTGATGTTAACAAGAATAGGAAAAGGAAAGAAATGATTGGGAAAAGGAAGACTGGAAAAAGAATACGGGATGGTTCGGCTAAAAATCCGGTAGAAGGTGACCACGGTAACAGTGATAATGCTGCCGAGCTCAAAGACTGTGTGAAAAACAGACAAAGGGGAGATAACCAGAGAAATAGGCCAAAATTTGAATCTGATTTTGTGAGGAAAAATTACCAAAAGCATCTGCTAAAAGAGACTGTTTTGAATAAGGAAGAGATAGCTGAAAGACGTAAACAGCTAAAGGAACTTTCTGAGTCAGATGATGAGATTATGGAGGAGCAATCGTACAGTGCCTGTAACCGTTACTATGGTGATGAGAAAGAGAAGATGGAGACCTCTGACATAGAATCGGAGTCAGAAAGTTCAGTTGATGATGATGGTGATAGTGCCAGTGATGAAGACATCTTGGATTCTCTTGAACAGCAGGAGACTTTGTTCCGAGTTTTTGGCCTTGATCAGACAGAACTCGGTAATTGTGGAACCTTTGGATTTGGATCATCAGACTTCCAGTTCCATGAGCCAGGCCCAGCTGACAACACAGATCCATCGGTACTCAATGACTCTGGATATTCTTGTGCAGAGAGTCTTACAAGGCTGAGAGGTGAAGATCAGAACCCTGTGGTCGGCGTACGGGCTACCAAAGTCAGGGACCAGGGAATGGGAGGGGCTGAACAAGATGGCCGGAGGAAGTCGGCACGAGTCAAGGGTAGTGAAGTCGGGGACCAGGCGGTGGGAGGAGCTGAGAAAGATAGCCGGAGGAAGTCGACACGAGGCAAAAAAGCCCAGGAAGGTGCTGGGAAGAAAATGGCTCAGTCATCTGGGGAAGACATTACCGGTATGCAAGGAGAATTAAAGTAAGTTTTTCAACTCTTTACATATTTATCATATCTTTTTTATTTCTAAGCATGCTGAGGCCCATCCTTGATTATCCACTTCAACCAGTCTAATATAATGATACCTCCAATCTTTTTTGATGAATACCTTGGACCTATTCGTAATCATAGCTTTGTCTGAGAAGTGAAGTACCATCATCATCAGTAGTGCCCCCTGCCCCCAAAGTTTGGGCATGTTGGGTCAGGTTTGGTGATCCGTCACGTGCCATGGCGTATAGCAGACAACCTTTTCCTATTTCTTTTGCCTGAACTGTTGGAGTTATCCATATGTCAGACTGGTATTCATAATGTATTTGTGTGTCCTCAATATCCCCTTCAACAAACTTTCTGCCTCTGTGGTCTAGTGGATAGAGCGTCTCACCTAAGAGCTGATGGTTGGTGGTTCGATCCCGGATGTGTTATACCAAAAGATGTTAAAAGGATAGAACTTGTTGTTACCCTGCCTGGTCTTAGGCATTGAGGGGATAAAACAAGGACTGAATTCATACTGGTTTGAGTTGGGTATCCATGTTAAACTGAGGCATGGTATCTCAGTGGGCTAGCACTATAAAACTGGCATTAGTCCAGACTAGTACATGCAGACATATATATACAAATGCAAATGCAAATGCATATATATTTTTTTACTATTTTGTTTCAGATGTGTTTCTATTCCAGTGCCCAAACAGGAGGCAACACTGGTGGTACTTGGTCATCCACTAGAGCTCTGCATCCAGGGCAAGGCTTCAATCACCATGGTAACAGGGGAAATAATCATCATGGGACACAGACTTCAACCAGATAATTCATACAGAGTTTACTCCCCTATCAGCAACAGTTATAATGTGTTAAAAACAGCTCAAGGGCAAGTTGATTTTAAACACCTCACTGAAAAAGTCTCTGTTATATTTGGATCCAACAAGTCTGTGCAAGAGGTGAAAGATGAGTTGAAAATATTCCAGGGTATTCATAGCATCGCCTTCGTTGTGCGTCCCTTAGATTCCGAAGCACACAATTACATTTCAACAATGTCGCCATACAATGGCCTGTTTACAATCAGGACTGAAGAACCACTACCCCATAACCTGGAACTACTTCCTTTGGGGTTGGGACTATTTCCTCGAGAGTATGTGATGAGGCCTTGGCTCAAGCTGTCCAAGGACATCAAGCAGATTCTTGACCTTTGGGAGGTCATGATCGGAAGGGGAGATAAGTCTGGTAAGAGTTGACCTTATGGTGGATAGGAGAGATGTTTGCATGTAAAGTTTGTCTGACCTAATGACCTGTGATCTTTTGTTTGATGTGCATACTGTATGTCATGAAGTTAATGTGAGTGTCGACCCCTGGCCAAATATGCGTCATGAAATTAACGTGAGTAGTCCTACTTTTGAACTTTAAAGACTAAGGGGATTGGATGGTCAGGTTTGCTGACTTGCTTGATGCATGTCATTGTATCCCAATTGTGTAGATCGATGCTCATGTTGTCAATCACTGGATTGTCTGGTCCAGACTCAATCGTTTATAGACTGCCATCATATAGCTAGAACATTGCTGAGTGCAGCAATAAACAACAAACGAACTACGTGGTTGAGCTGGGTTTTTCATGTAATTAGAAGATTTTTTGACATGGTTACCAAGAACAAAGACATCATCATATATGGTTGGCGACTGTCATATCAGCATGATAAACTTGTGTAAAAATACTGACCACGCTTGACATCTAGCTCCAGCTCTCAATCACATTGTTTATTGTAAGCTTTGTTCTGTATGTCCATTGTTTGCGCCCAAGTGCAGTGAACCTGACATGACAAAACACTCCAATATGTCCAAATATATACAGTAAACCAAGTTTATTACCATCATTACAAACACACTTATAACAAACTGATGGATATATACAAATATATACAGTAAACCAAGTTTATTACCATCATTACAAACACACTTATAACAAACTGATGGATATATACAAATATATACAGTAAACCAAGTTTATTACAAACACACTTATAACAAACTGATGGATATATACAAATATATACAGTAAACCAAGTTAATTACCATCATTACAAACACACTTATAACAAACTGATGGATATATACAAATATATACAGTAAACCAAGTTTATTACCATCATTACAAACACACTTATAACAAACTGATGGATATATACAAATATATACAGTAAACCAAGTTTATTACCATCATTACAAACACACTTATAACAAACTGATGGATATATACAAATATATACAGTAAACCAAGTTTATTACAAACACACTTATAACAAACTGATGGATATATACAAATATATACAGTAAACCAAGTTTATTACCATCATTACAAACACACTTATAACAAACTGATGGATATATACAAATATATACAGTAAACCAAGTTTATTACCATCATTACAAACATACTTATAACAAACTGATGGATATATACAAATATATACAGTAAACCAAGTTTATTACCATCATTACAAACACACTTATAACAAACTGATGGATATATACAAATATATACAGTAAACCAAGTTTATTACCATCATTACAAACACACTTATAACAAACTGATGGATATATACAAATATATACAGTAAACCAAGCTTATTACCATCATTACAAACACACTTTTAACAAACTGATGGATATATACAAATATATACAGTAAACCAAGTTTATTACCATCATTACAAACACACTTATAACAAACTGATGGATATATACAAATATATACAGTAAACCAAGTTTATTACCATCATTACAAACACACTTATAACAAACTGATGGATATATACAAATATATACAGTAAACCAAGTTAATTACCATCATTACAAACACACTTATAACAAACTGATGGATATATACAAATATATACAGTAAACCAAGTTTATTACCATCATTACAAACACACTTATAACAAACTGATGGATATATACAAATATATACAGTAAACCAAGTTTATTACAAACACACTTATAACAAACTGATGGATATATACAAATATATACAGTAAACCAAGTTTATTACCATCATTACAAACACACTTATAACAAACTGATGGATATATACAAATATATACAGTAAACCAAGTTTATTACCATCATTACAAACACACTTATAACAAACTGATGGATATATACAAATATATACAGTAAACCAAGTTTATTACCATCATTACAAACACACTTATAACAAACTGATGGATATATACAAATATATACAGTAAACCAAGTTTATTACAAACACACTTATAACAAACTGATGGATATATACAAATATATACAGTAAACCAAGTTTATTACCATCATTACAAACACACTTATAACAAACTGATGGATATATACAAATATATACAGTAAACCAAGTTTATTACCATCATTACAAACACACTTATAACAAACTGATGGATATATACAAATATATACAGTAAACCAAGTTAATTACCATCATTACAAACACACTTATAACAAACTGATGGATATATACAAATATATACAGTAAACCAAGTTTATTACCATCATTACAAACACACTTATAACAAACTGATGGATATATATACAAATATATACAGTAAACCAAGTTTATTACCATCATTACAAACATACTTATAACAAACTGATGGATATATACAAATATATACAGTAAACCAAGTTTATTACCATCATTACAAACACACTTATAACAAACTGATGGATACATACAAATATATACAGTAAACCAAGTTTATTACCATCATTACAAACACACTTATAACAAACTGATGGATATATACAAATATATACAGTAAACCAAGTTTATTACCATCATTACAAACACACTTATAACAAACTGATGGATATATACAAATATATACAGTAAACCAAGTTTATTACCATCATTACAAACACACTTATAACAAACTGATGGATATATACAAATATATACAGTAAACCAAGTTTATTACAAACACACTTATAACAAACTGATGGATATATACAAATATATACAGTAAACCAAGTTTATTACCATCATTACAAACATACTTATAACAAACTGATGGATATATACAAATATATACAGTAAACCAAGTTTATTACCATCATTACAAACACACTTATAACAAACTGATGGATACATACAAATATATACAGTAAACCAAGTTTATTACCATCATTACAAACACACTTATAACAAACTGATGGATATATACAAATATATACAGTAAACCAAGTTTATTACCATCATTACAAACACACTTATAACAAACTGATGGATATATACAAATATATACAGTAAACCAAGTTTATTACCATCATTACAAACACACTTATAACAAACTGATGGATACATACAAATATATACAGTAAACCAAGTTTATTACCATCATTACAAACACACTTATAACAAACTGATGGATATATACAAATATATACAGTAAACCAAGTTTATTACCATCATTACAAACACACTTATAACAAACTGATGGATATATACAAATATATACAGTAAACCAAGTTTATTACAAACACACTTATAACAAACTGATGGATATATACAAATATATACAGTAAACCAAGTTTATTACCATCATTACAAACATACTTATAACAAACTGATGGATATATACAAATATATACAGTAAACCAAGTTTATTACAAACACACTTATAACAAACTGATGGATATATACAAATATATACAGTAAACCAAGTTTATTACCATCATTACAAACATACTTATAACAAACTGATGGATATATACAAATATATACAGTAAACCAAGTTTATTACCATCATTACAAACACACTTATAACAAACTGATGGATACATACAAATATATACAGTAAACCAAGTTTATTACCATCATTACAAACACACTTATAACAAACTGATGGATATATACAAATATATACAGTAAACCAAGTTTATTACCATCATTACAAACACACTTATAACAAACTGATGGATATATACAAATATATACAGTAAACCAAGTTTATTACCATCATTACAAACACACTTATAACATGTATAACAAACTGATGGATATATACAAATATATACAGTAAACCAAGTTTATTACCATCATTACAAACACACTTATAACAAACTGATGGATATATACAAATATATACAGTAAACCAAGTTTATTACCATCATTACAAACACACTTATAACAAACTGATGGATATATACAAATATATACAGTAAACCAAGTTTATTACCATCATTACAAACACACTTATAACATGTATAACAAACTGATGGATATATACAAATATATACAGTAAACCAAGTTTATTACCATCATTACAAACACACTTATAACATGTATAACAAACTGATGGATATATACAAATATATACAGTAAACCAAGTTTATTACCATCATTACAAACACACTTATAACAAACTGATGGATATATACAAAAATATACAGTAAACCAAGTTTATTACCATCATTACAAACACACTTATAACAAACTGATGGATATATACAAATATATACAGTAAACCAAGTTTATTACCATCATTACAAACACACTTATAACAAACTGATGGATATATACAAATATATACAGTAAACCAAGTTTATTACCATCATTACAAACACACTTATAACAAACTGATGGATATATACAAATATATACAGTAAACCAAGTTTATTACCATCATTACAAACACACTTATAACAAACTGATGGATATATACAAATATATACAGTAAACCAAGTTTATTACCATCATTACAAACACACTTATAACAAACTGATGGATATATACAAATATATACAGTAAACCAAGTTTATTACCATCATTACAAACACACTTATAACAAACTGATGGATATATACAAATATATACAGTAAACCAAGTTTATTACCATCATTACAAACACACTTATAACAAACTGATGGATATAGCGAACTATATTTTGGTCCCGTCCATTTGCTGTATGTATGCTTATAATGAACTACAGTTATAATGAACTAAAATTAGTGGTCCTACGAGTTCGTTAAAACCATAGTTTACTGCATGGGTCTCTTTATTAATGCAAGTAAGGGCATTTACATTTTTGCCTTAATTTCATTCTCTCGTTAATTTCATGATATACAGTATCGACACAGGTATAAATCAAGTTATCATGGTGAGAAATATTAATTCTCAGTCTCATTTTGATGAAATTCCTTTCCATGTCCACGCATTGGTTCAGTGGTATATTTTGGTATTAGAATTTTCTATTTAAATAATTTTGTTTGGTATATCTGTGGAAATTATATATAACTGTTAGTGTTCAGTTGCAAAATGTTGGACAAGGAAAACTCACTTTTTGGCTCTTTTGTGTTTGGGGAGATGGGACATTTTGTTTCCATTTGAAATGGATGCACACAATTTGATACCCCAGGTGATGGTCGGGCACCGGTCATTTTGACGTGTGGAGGCAAGAACAGTGGCAAGTCCACACTGAATCGTCACCTCATCAACTCCACTCTCAACATGTAAGTAATGTGTATGGAGGTTTTCTGTGTAATCAGGGTAAAAAGTGGGCTTGCACAATAAAGCAGGCATTAGTCAGAAGTAGCACAAGCAGACATGCACAGACATGCACGTCACCTTAAATATGCAATATTCTTCAATCCATTTCACCTGACCTCACCTTTAATGAAAATATTATTCTAAGTAGGGCTAAACCCAACACACTCGCCGCTCACTCATCTATGATTTCAGGTCCAAAGGTGTTTCGTACATGGAGCTGGACATTGGCCAGACAGAGTTCTCTCCCCCTGGCTGTATGTCCCTACATCATGTGACGGAGCCAGTGCTTGGTAGGTGACAAGGACAATTTCACTAAGGCTATTGGAGAAATAGCCATATATTTTTAAGCATTGGCACCTCAACGTTAAACCATTATGATAATGTCATGTTGTTGTTGCAATTGATTCTGAACCAGGAGGTGGCACGGGTGGCCCAGTTGTCTAAGGCGCCACAAATCGCTGTGCAGAGTTGCGTCCCTTGGACACGCCAGAAACCTATGATTCTGGGTCCGAAACCTGTGTTTCGCCCCAATTATGTTTCTAGGTTTGTGAGCACCATACCCGTGCTCGTGGGTTTCACTGAAGTGGTAGACGTCTGAAACCTGCATCACTTCGGGCTTTCCTCCCACATTAAGCTGACACGCCGTGATATAACTGGAATAATGTTAAAAGCGGCGTTAAACCCAACTCACTCACTCACTCTGAGCCAGGAATGCAGAAATGTTTTAAACAAGAGAAACTGACCCAACTTTTGGTCATTATGCCAATTTATAGAGAAATATATATCAATCATGGTTTGAATTGGATGTGTTGATTCCGGAAATAGAATTAACTAGCCTCTTGCTTCTGATTTCTCCATTAGGGAATGGCCCACATTAGAAATAGTATTTCATTCTATGGCATGTTATTACTGAACATTCTCATCGAGGTTTTAACCTTTTCTCAATTCAGTAAACACAAGCAGGAAGCCTAAGCTTCTTAATAAGTGAGTGCCAACACAGCCATTGTCCTCATCAACCTATTCTGGTCTCAGGACTAAATGGATCGGCTTGCAAGATTACTCATATCAGTTACTGGACTGTCTGGTCTAGACTCCATTATGTACCGGCCATGCAGCTGGAATATTGCTGTGTGACGTTCAACAATCATGAAATGAATCTTTTATCAGCCTGATCTTGTTTGTTAACATTCCAGTTAATGTAGCTGTAGTAACATCCTTTACATTGACAGGGACCTGTTTGCAGCAGTACTTGATCTTATGGTACAGCAACAATTTTTAATTTTTTTCAAAACAAATAAATTTTAGATCATATTGAACAGATTTTCCATTATTAGCAAAGAAATTATCTGTTATTACTCCACAGCTTTATGTATTGGTGCAACTGTACTGCTCTTGTCCAAATGAGTATGATAAGGACAATTTTAGATATTCCTTTTTTGAAAGATAATAAGAAATGTTTTATATTTTAAGGTCCACCGTTTACTCATGTTAGAAAGGCAGAAAGGTGAGTGGGATCAAAACTGGTCATAAGATATTTGGACCCGGAATATCCGGGGTAGAATAGGTCTTCAGCAACCCATGCTTGCCGTAAAAGGCGACTATGCTTGTAGTAAGAGGCGACTAACGGGATCGGCTGGTCAGACTCGCTGACTTGGTTGATGCATGTCATCGTATCCCAATTGTGTGGATCGATGCTCATTATATCAATCACTTGATTGTCTGGTCCAGACTGGATTATTTACAGATCGCAGTCATATATCTGGAATATTACTGAGTGCGGTAGAAAACTGCTCACTAGAAATTTGATACACAGGCTGCTGACTATGCATTAGTAACTTTCTAACACCCCTCTATATACAGGAAACCATGTTTTATAAAGAACAGATGGGTATAATGAATGTATTGTTTGGTCTTGACCATTTCTTATATATATGCTGTACATATGCTTATAATGAACTACGGTTATAATGATTTAATATTAGTGGTCCCTTTGAGTTTGTTATAACCATAATTTTTTACTTATCCTGCATTACTCCTTAATGCATTCACTGCTTACTTACGACAACTAGAAGGACAGCGCTTCGAAGGTCCTGGGTGAAGAAATAAAGTTGTTGTTCTCAAGTCCCAATCAGTGGCCTTCCGTCGCTGTCCTGTGACCTTGATGACACCTAAGGTCATCTTCACATCACTGCTTGTCGCAGCACAGCTAGGACGTGTCCAAGCGGAGCTCTCCTTTTGGATTAATTTTAGACCTTCAGTTTGTCTACAATCTTAAAAATTGATCTGCGATGGGTGATGTATTCTTTTCATATTACTTTCACCATGTTGTGTAGTTTTATGTGAATTAATTAGGCGTGAAAAGACGCTTGTCTTTTTTCCCGCCAAAATATTGTTGTTCGCCGCCATTTTGAATTGTGTTACAATCGTTTGCCTGCCAAGGTAGTCATATTGTTTACAATTCTCAGCTACGTATGTATAACATATTCTTATGTTCTTAAATATTACTAGCTTTGGCGTAACAGTGAGTTGCGTATACTAAAATTATTGTATACTTTTTCAACTCGTTAAAAATATGGTTGCCGATAGATTAATATCAAATCTACGGCTTTCTTCCAGTCCCGCTTCATCAACAATTCTTTTATTGCGTACCTATGTGTATGCGATTAAATAGTTTTTTGTTGGTATTTTTGGTTTTACATTGAGTTGCGTATATGAACTATTGTATACTCTTGCAACTCGTAGTTTTTGCCGATAGATTATTGTTCAATTCTATGGCATTCTTCCAGTACCGCCTCATCAACAATGGCGTAATTGTGTTTGTTTTAAACATATTTTATTGACATATATGGTCAACGGGATTGGGCAAAAGTTATCCAACTTAGGTGGCCCTTTCCCTACTCTATATGTACAGACATTGAATATACATATATATATGTAATTGTGTAACTTATGATTGAGCGTGGTATTAATTGTGGGAAAAATCTTACAAAGATTATCATCCACGTTGTTTGGTTTGCGCGCAGATGTGCTCTCCAAACCCTAAATGAAAATATAAATACCCTTGGTTTACATTGGGTTGCGCATACAAAAATATTGTATATCCTTGCAACTCATAAATTTGCCGATAGATTAGTGTTCAAATTCTTCGGCACTCTTCCAGTATTATCTCATCAACAAGGGTTTCATTGCGTAACATACCTTTGAGCATTTTACTAATTGTCGTGGAAAAAACCTTACAAGATTATGATCCACGATTGGTTGGTTTGCGCGCGGATGTGCTCTCCAATCTCTAAATGTAAATAGCCTTGGTTTACATTGAATTGCGTATATAAAAATATTGTATACCCTTGCAATTCGTATTTTTGCCGATAGATTACTGTTCATTTCTACGGCATTCTTCCAGTACCATTTCTTCAATGGTTTAATTGCGTAACATAATTATGTTTGCTCGGTGTACATATTGTCGTGGAATAATCGCCCAAAGCTCTTTATCCACGGTCATAGGCATGCACGTAGATGTGCTCGCCAAAATTCAAAATGTAATTTTTATGTAAATCTCTAATCCAACGAGTTTACTATATAAAAGCAGATTACTCACAATCATATTTTGCAGTTATTCCGTCGTGAGACGAGAGGAATGTTACTATCGCAGAATAGCGAATGACATATGGTTCTGTCATTACCACCCAACCGTTATTATCGGCAGGTATTATGACGACTGTGATTGCAGAAGTACACCATCCACCGAAATCAACAATACCGGAGGATTTTGTGAGTATCGTAACTGCTCCTATTTTTTCAGCCGCCGGACACTTCCAGATACATGTATGATAATCTGTGACGTCGGCGACAGCACCAGCACCAGCGTATCGAGATGCTATGATGGGGGTAGATTAGACGCAAGCCTTGATCCAGTCAATACTTTTGAGCTTTGTGTCTGATTTATCTGCGCCGAGCGCAGCACTTGACTACAACCCAAGCACTTCTATTACGCAAGCGGCGCACGATCAGCTTAGCGCTGTTCCAACATATCCAGCATAGACCTGCGCCGAGCGTAGCGTCTGACTGATACCCAAGCGCTCCTATCACGCCAGTGACGCACGATCAGCTTAGCGCTGTTCCAACATATCCAGCATAGACCTGTGCCGAGCGCAGCGTCTGACTGCTACCCAAAGCGCTCCTATTACACAAACGTCGCACGATCAGCTTAGCGCTGTTCCAACATTCCAGACCTGCGCTGAGCGCAGCGTCTGCGTATCAATCAAGGTCTCTACAATGACGTTAGCCCAAGGCTTACAGTGTACTCGGTTACGTAACCGGCACATGATCAGCTTAGCACATATACCCGATTGGGAAGCAGACCATCTCGTGTCAGTAACGCCCTCCCCTGATAACAGGGTAAATAAGAGGGACACCACGAGGTCATTGGAGGAAGCCTCCTCCAAAACTCACATTTGCTCCGTGATTTAAGCGACCAATATCGTCAATGTTTGCAGTGGATCAGAATCTATTAGAGGATAACCCTATCTGATTAGATCACTTCCAAACTATGGTGTTTTTCCTACAGCGTCAGTTTGACCACAGGAAAATTCATCTTGAGACCGTTCTGACGGTGATTACCGTTACACCCAAGACTTTATAGCGTTTCCAACTGAGATGCTGGTTTCAAGGGCAGTCTATTACGTCAACCTTGATCATCTACTCCCCTGTTCAACGAACAGATCGCAGACACACACGTCAAGTTCCCAAAAAGCTTGGAAAGTCCAAGTCAGGGAATTATAAGCCTAGACGCGCGTTTCTCAGGGAAGACCAGCATTCCCTTACTCAGAAAGGGAGTGGCAGAGACAAGTCTCAAGGACGATTTCGTACTTATCGCACTATATCATGGTGTCCGTATAAGGGTAGAGTTAACCCCACCGTTGACCACAGTTTGATTGGGAAAATCCAACATAGACATACTGTTGGTAAGAAGAGCTGTAGAGTGGGTTCACAACCCAGTCTTTACTCCGGGGTTTTATCCTCACACCTACCTGGTACTCATGAAGGACCCAGACAAGATGAGAATGATCCACAATCTCTGTGTTCAACGAACGTTTGATTCTTCATCAGTCTCGACTATCCATCCCAACCGTAGACTTTTCAGGTCCAGTTCATTGGGGTTCACTACCAATGGTAGTATTTCCCATTTGACATGTCAGTGACACTTATGGCTATTTACAGGAGTAATGAAGCCAATAACTATCTACACGTGACGAACACTTGGTTCGAGTCGTAGATGGAGGGCGATCTACTGTATCATCAACACATGTCAAAAACTGGGATAGACAATCAACGAGGCGAAGTCGGGAGTATTCTCCTTCCTATTGACTTCAGTTCATAGGAGACCTGTTTAAGACAGACCAGGATATCCTATCTGTACCAAGGGACAGATGGCACAAGTTTCTACTTCTTTTGTCATCTACTCTACACCAACCACACACACTTCGCCAGTGGCAAGTGTTGCTAGGGTTAATCACCTCGGCACAGGAGTTAACTAGCATGGGCCGCTTACAACAGCGACCAATTCAATTTTTTCCTGAACCCTTACATCAGGAGTCAGGATCCACTCAAGGCCATCACTCTACCAACTAAGCTAGAGCCTTGCCTCAATTTGTGGCGCTGAATGTCTGCGGAGTCTGTTTATTCGGGTTTTCCCCGAATACACACCTGTTTGTGGACGTCCCCTTTCAGGGGTGGAGTCTTCACTTACAAGACCAGATAAGCTCAGGGCTATGGCCCGGCGCACAATGGAAGTGGCACATAAACAACTTGGAGTTGGAAGCTTTAATTCTGGCTATATCACATTGGCAGAATCAACTACAGTTAGCCCGACTCGCTATATCCACAGACAACAGCACTGCGGTGTGGTGCCTGTGCAATCGGGGAACAACACACTCCCACTCTCCACTTCTAAGGACATTCAGATTTCTTCCATCTAGTGGATCGGCTGTGACTAAGGTTCATAGTTCAGCACATCCCCGGATGTAGAAACATACTGGCCGATACTTTATCACGTCCAGACAGGGTGGCTCCCACTGAGTGGAAATTTCTCACAGAAGCATTCCAGTTACTGCTTCAGGAATTCAGGCAACCAAACATTGACTTGTTTATTACTTGCCTAGGCCACCAACTCATGACGTATATCTCCCCGTTGCCGGATCCGCAGACTTGGGCGGTGGACGAGTTCAGTATCACTTGGGAAGGGCAAAGAACTAAAACTCTTCTGCCACCACTTTTACTTCCCAAGGTGCTACAGGGGATCAAGGAGACAAGGTATCTCGATCTCTCCTTTGGTCGCACCATGGTAACCGGCGAGAGGGTAGTTCGTCAAGCTCGGAAAAATCTAAAACGATTCACTTCCCCTCTCACAGTGGTCCAACCTACTCATCCACCCTCAACAGAAAATTGCCTCACCCAACGTCTGCACGCATGGTTCGTCATTAAAAGGCGTTTAAGTGCGAAGGGTTATTTCGACACGGGCAGCAAAGCTATAGCTTTAGTTCATCATTACTCTCCCAGAGACGACTATGACAAGTGGGGATCACTTGAGACTTTTTACAGGGAAGAAAAGAATCAAGACCCTACGATTGCGTCACAATTCCTAGAGGAATACCTCCTACATTGCGTACCCAAAAACACTTGGAAGGTAGCACCATTACTACGTAATTGGCTGCAATTATCTTAGTGTTGGCCGTTTCCGGAAAATCACAGTGTGATTAAGGTCACGGAACTACAGGCCATATTATGCTCATTCAGGTTTGAGGATCAGAAGGCCAAGTTCCAGCCACCTGATTGGGACTTGAACGTGGTACTTCGAGGTTTGCGAGGGCCCCCTTCGAGCCCCTCATTGCATCCTCATTTTCAAGCTCCTTCCCAGCGCGTGACACCTTCGTTACACTCTCGGTATAGTATAGAGAGCTCCGCGAACGGGCTATCGCTGTGAGGAGCTTGAACATCACCAAGGAAACAATGGTTTCTCTTGGCATTAGCAATGGCGGTACGGGTGAGCGAACTACATGTGATCGACTCAACCCGGATCCGTTTTGAGCATGGGACGCACGGAACGGGACATCTAGGGTTATGCTGGGATTTTATTGCTAAAATCTACTACCAGGCCAACCCGACCGTTCTTCACCATCCCACCGATATCGACTATTGTGGGAATCGTACATGGTGAAGTTCTCCTGGGCTCGGTGCGAGCAGTTCGAGTTTTCATTCGACGCTCCAAGACAAGGCGTGGTTCGTCCACGACAGAAGTTAGTCGCATAATCGCAAACACCATATCTATATGGTTACGCGCAGTAATCCTTCAGGCCTACGAGATCATCAAACGGAACTCGCCGAGAGCGAATTACCCTCAAGATCCCAAGGTGTCAGCCTTACCAGGGCTCAACACGGCAATTGTGGTTTTGGAACAATCACGGAAGGATATTTCTGGAGATTCGACACATATTTTCGTTAGTCATAACCTTCGCGTTGTGACTCTCGAGGATGTCGAAGACGTTCGAAGTTTGGCCCTCTGGTTGTTATCCTGCAGATTGCCAACCACTGACGCAAATAATGAACTCGCCCTATACAGAGCCAGTCAACTTCCATGTGCAGTCACTCAGTCGCCACCAGTGGAAGAATATTAGACAATCTTGTTTGTCAGCGACGGCTCTATGACGCAGTAAGTAAAGAATTAGCTGAATAGCTATTATTTTCTTTATTACTAAGCGTGTATAGGGAATTTCTCTTTAATTCCTATGTTCAATGTTTTTGATTTTTGAACAACCCTACCGTAATGGCGTTTTTGTCTGAACTTTTCCGCTTCACGGTTTATCGACCAATGGGGTCGTATTGCAGGGTGTGAATTATTGAGGTTTCTGTATTCTGAAGGTTTACCCACCTCCAAACCGTCCGATACAGATGCATTAAGGAGTAATGCAGGATAAGTAAAAAATTTAGTAAAATCTAAATATTTTTTACATTTGTATACTTATCCTGCATTACTACGCTTAAGGCCCACCCGTCGTTAGACTTGCCTCCCCACTTTGGCTTCAGAAACCTCAAAAGTATGTTTTTCTAAGAGCTTGGGCGACAGGCAGTGATGTGAAGATGACCTTAGGTGTCATCAAGGTCACAGGACAGCGACGGAAGGCCACTGATTGGGACTTGAGAACAACAACTTTATTTCTTCACCCAGGACCTTCGCAGCGCTGTCCTTCTAGTTGTCGTAAGTAAGCAGTGAATGCATTAAGGAGTAATGCAGGATAAGTATACAAATGTAAAAAATATTTAGATTTTACTAAGTTTACAGTATCAGGATATATGGTCCATCTGTGGGGATTTCAGGTTAGAACTGGTCCGCAGCAACCTATGCTGGTTGTAGTATGTGATTAAATGGACGGGGTAGTCAGACTTGGTGACTTGGTTGATTGTGTGTCGTCGTACTCTGAAGGTGTGGATTGTTGGTCAGTAATGGTCACACTGTTTATCACTTGATTGTCCAGACCTGATTATTGACAGGCTACCTTCATTTAGTTGGGGCATTGCTAGTGGACTGTTAAGCAACAGACAAACAAATGTTTAAACGCCAGGAGTGAAATGCAATGATTAGAGAGTATGCACCTCGCTCACATCTATTTATATGAAAAATATCACTGTACTGTAGTTGCCGTATTAAGCGTCACACTCCAAGAAGATCTACTGGCTAACTTCTAGACCGATCTGCCAGTAAGCTCCAAGTACATCATGTACAGAACTTCTTAAAAACGTTAAAAGATGGTACTTGTTGTTACCCTGTCTGGTGCTCAGCTTTAAAGGCCTATAACAAGGACTGGTTGGCTCGGAGTCAGTTTACTGTGTCTGAGTGGGGTATTCATGTTACACCACATCATGGTATCTCAGTGGGCTGGCACTATAAAATCAGCATTAGTCCTGACTAGTGCAAACACACACACACATTAAACTGCAGCATTAAAGCCATCTTCTACCTATAGGTCATTATTGCACAATGTATTACAGTATACTACAGTTAAAACGCACTCAAAGGGACCATTTATTTTAGCTTGTTATAACTGTAGTTCGTTATAAGCATATATACAGCAAATGGATGGGACCAAAAAGCAGTTTGTTATATCCGTCAGTTCATTATGAGGGTGTTATAAACATTGTTTACTGTATGTGATACTTGTATGTTTGGGGATTTTCAGAATTTGGGGTTCCTGTGGAATTTGGGGTTCCTGTGGTTAAAGACAGCTGTTACACAAACTCAGTAATAGTTCATTAATATCAAGGGAATCATAGAGGTCCTAAAATACGCTTCTTTAATGGTTGACTGTTCAAATTAAATAAGATAAATAGAAATCTTTCAGCTTTGTTCCTACTAAGTACAGATCCGAGTGTCCGAGTTACCCGTCCCAGCCCTAGTCACATGTTTTCATAATGTTGGTTGATCACCTCACTTCTACTTTTGTAATGGGAGGAATGTATCTGTTTTCCAGAATGTGTTACTTTGGAGCTGTTTCAGCAGGTGCAAATGTGTCGATGTACGTGAAATGTGTGAAGTATGTGTTCGCTGCACACAAGGGAGACAACCCTCTCATCATCAATACCATGGGGTGGAATAAAGGTAACTCACATCGTAACTCGTGAACAGTGGGGACTCACTCACTCACTCACTCACTCACTCTAGAGGGAGATTGGTGACCTTGGCCTGGTTTACAGCATGGAAGGATGTTCAAAAGATGGCCCATTTGTTTGTTTGTTGGGAGGAGATGGGGGTCCCAGTCATCAACGACTTTACAATTGTTATGCAGAGTTGCATACCTATTGTCGTACCTATGTACCTAAGTTCGATTCCCAGAATCCCCCAGATTATGTTTCTGGGCCTGTCAGCACCACAACTGTGGTTTTCACAAAAGTGGACAATGTCCAAGACCTGCATCACTTTGGTCTTTCCTCCCACATGAAGCTGACACAACGTAGTGTGGCTGATATACCGCAAAACGGTGTTAAACCCAGCTCACTCACTCACTCTCATCCCTTATACATCCTTAGAGAGATATTAATGCTCCAGGATGGGCCAGTTGCTCAAACCATGCTTAGTTGCTTTAGGCATGATAACATATCAGAGGCTACCTTGAAGCCAAAATATGATGAATGGTTTGTTTTCTCACTCATGTTATAGGCGTTGTGAAAATGTCTGAAGTGTATTTTCTTGTCAGGTATTGGGCTGAAGCTGCTAGTGGACATCCTCCACATCACCAACCCAGACATCGTGGTCCAGATGGACACCTACAAGCCCCTGGACAACTTCCCTCCCATCACACCACACTTCAAGATGGCCGAGCAGGGCTGGCTGTACAACAGACAGGCCACAGGTCACATGGTGGGTGTGCTGTGTATTTAGAGGGTATTATTAAATTTTGGTAGTTTTTATATTATACTCCATGTCAACCCAGAGCCAGAGGGTTGATATGAGGTATGACATGAAAACCCATATAATAACCATTTCATCATATACCATTACATCAAATTGTAAAATGTATCTACCGTATATCGCTGTGTATAAGGCGACCCCACGTATAAGACGACCCCCCTGTACACGCCTTAAAAATCAACCCAAAATCCTATACTCCGTGTATAAGGCGACCGGGAATGAAACACATCACAAGTCTGACTGATATAGAAGATTTAACGTGCGCTTTCCAACTGTAGCGTATTTCGCACACGGACATCACAAGTTAGTTAGTTAGTTAGTTACTTTGGAGATTTAACATGCGCTTTCCGACTGATGCGTATTTCGCACACATCACAAGTGCGCACACAAACCTTATATATGCAATTGTTTATCTTGCGTTGTTTTTTTTCTACAATGATAGGTCGCGTGTGTAACTCCAGCACACGTCGCCATTTCGTGTTTACACGGTACGACACCAAATTGGTGCCCGTAAAATAAAATTCATTTATGAAGTAATAACATATAAGAGACAATGGTGAGTAATTTAATCGCCAATTAACTATGTTGTAACTAACTAGGCTTATGTTTGCTTCACATTCAGCGTGTATATTCCACAATCACTTGTACACACCGTCTCCAACACTTGTTAATACAACTGTAAAAACAGCGGGAATTGATTTCAGCTTCACCGGTTATCACATGTTAGGTCACATGTGCAATATGCAAATGCTTACCGGTACTTCCGGCTCTCTGCTCACGGATGTTGATTGTTTTACCGTGTCAGGTGGTTTGACAATCTGCATCGAGGCGAGGGTCATTTCAACTTTATTTGCAGAAATTATTAAACTTTATTCAAGGAAAAGAGATACAAATCATGTTTATGTATGGAAATAGTTATTTAGGACGAAATGCGAAGTTTTATTGTCAAATGCTGGGCTGGCTATCGGACGCCGGTTGACATCGCCATTGGAAAAAAATGTGAGATCTTTGACTCCGTGTATAAGACGACCCCCCTTCTTAGCCCCCCCATTTTAGGTACGAAAAACTCGCCTTATACACAGCGATATACGGTATATGCAATTGAATGCAATACATTTTCGCCTTGTTTGGAAGACATTGACATGGGAAAGCTAGCTGAGCAGACAGTGGTCAAAGGGACGTACCGTATTCGACATAATAAGCGCCCAGGGCACTCTCAATATTAGAAATAGGGGGCTCTTATTAGAATATTATTTTGGTGGAAAAAACAGAGTTGAAAGGTAAATTTCTTGGTTTTTGCTGACAGACTGAAATGTTCATATGCGACAGATATATTTTTCCAGAATTTAATTGCCCATAATTAAGAATGCATATGATATAACACACGAGTGTGTATTATACGCGAATAAATAAGTCTTGTGTACATTGATTAATCGGAAGGGGTGCTAATTGGGATTGTTCACTAGCCAATATATTAGCAAATATTGCAGTGGGGGCTTATTAGAGCGGGGCGCTTATTACGTCGAATACGGCAACTCCAATTTCTTACCACTCTGGCTGATATCGATTCTAAATGAACTGACAAGCTATATCAGCCCGGCAGGGCTTGTAATATGGGTCTTTGATATGGCCATCTCTGTCGCAAATGCAAAATGCCTCATATCATTGATAGGTACATTGTCACATATCTTATCACATGAATTCACTTTAATAAACTCATTCGTTAATGTTTTCATACAACCAGGTCCAGATATTGAACTAATGAAACTATTTGCTGTGTTGCCTTATTTACATAACTCAGATGTGATGCCTTGTTTTATAGCAGCAGGAGGTGGTAGCAGACGAGCACGAGTTGTGTGTTTTGCAGACGCCAGTCATGAAGATGCATCAGTGAGTGTTTTACTAGTTGTTGTCAGATGTGCATGTTTTGCAACACTCATACTGAACAAAAAAAGTTAGGGATCATAATTACTTCAGGGAATTTTTTTTGTAGTGAAGACAAAGCACACATCAAATTCCCCCCTAATTAATTATCTCTAGCTTTCTTTGTTCTGTATTTTTGCATGTGATTGGGTGTTGCTTAAATAACAGGCTTTTAATATGTTATGACATACCATTGATGATGATTTTTTATAACATTGCACAATATCACATAATATACTCTAGAGATTCCTTGCAAACTTGCAAAATGACTTCAATATCAATGTCAACAAATGTAATGGCTGATATGAACATGGAATTGTGTAAGGTCCTTCGCTGTGAACATTCTGAGGGAGACTAGGTCCTCCGTTCCACATGCTTGTTGTAAGAGCAGACTACAGGATGGTCATGTGGTTGCAGTGTGTGGGCAACTGATCGATTGCTCTGTGTGAGTGTGTGTGTGGTGTGTCTGTCTGTCTGTCTGTCTGTGTAGGGTGAGTTCATCTCCCTTTTTGTCAGATACCTTCCATGTCAACCTGTGTTGGTTCCTCTATGTATTTTGATCACTCCATGACTTGGGTACAGTGCATCCTCTCTGGCTCACGCTTTGATCCACCGGATTTCCTGACCACATTCGATAATTTACTAACAGCTTTGTAATATCATGGTTGCAGCATGACAATCACTCTCATGTTAGTAAGATGTGATTATGTGACATTATTCTCACATTTCCCCACAAAATGTGTGCTTCCCAGGAAGTTCATCACGTGGACAGCAGCTGACCATCGCAATGTGACCCTCCTGTCCTACTTCTGTGACTCCCTCAAACCCAGCCAGTCCCTCCTGTCTCTCACTCCATACACCGTGCCCTGGACTGCTGTCGCAGTTTATGTGTGTGATGCTGCTGGGCTGAGGCCGTCAAAGATGCTGCTGGTGCTGAACGGAGGCATTGTTGGATTGTGTGTTGCGACCCTACCAGAGGTCAAGGTCACTGGAGACTTGAAGCCGAGACTGCTGAAAACACTCCCTGTATGCCAGTGTCTCGGTTTAGGTAAGATATCTGTAGCCATTTTGGACATGGTACACATCCTTAGGTTTGACTTAACTGTTTTTCTGAGGCCATACAATTTCAAATTCTTGTTTTACAGATTGTTATCCCCAAGTTGCCAGAAGGTTGTAGAAAACATGATAAACACTACATGTATTTAAGTTTTTGTAAAACAAAATTGATAAATTTTGATACTTATCCTGGCTTGCAAATTGCAGTTTCATTTTTCAAAGAAAAAGTGGAAACACAGCTAACAAATACAGAAACATGAAACACATCTCTTGAACAGTCCATTTGTGACGCACATGGCCTACCCCAAGCCTTCATTCTTGTGTCTTTCTTTAATTAACATATCTTGTTTTGAGGCTGGAGAGGAGAGGGTAATGCCATTGTAGATTTTCAGATGATGGCTGTGACACAATCTTTTCCAAAAATAGACAAACTAAGATGGCTAAAAAGTGACCGTCAGATCTGTAAAAAAATTATTTAGTTGGTGTGGCCAGATAAATATATGAAAGACTACATTTCTAGTGTACCTTGGGAGACTTCCTAACAATGAGTCAAGTACAACAGGGCATAACCTGAAAGTCTTTACTAAAGGCATGCTATTGAATTAATAAATGACTCAACAGCGGATGTTGAGTGTAAGGGGGCTCGAAAGGTTTTTATTCTGTAGTTGGTCTTGTATTTAAGAATATATGCTCTTTCTGAGACATTGTTTCAAGGTTTGTCAGCACAAACCCGTGCATCACTGTAGCTTTCCTCCTGCATTAAGCTGACATGCCGTGATATAACTGGAATATTGTTTAAAGCGGTGATAAACTCAACTCACTCACTCGTTTTATCTCAACTTTATTATAATTATTCACAGGTCTTGTGAGAGGTATTGACCCCAAGACAAAGCTGTTCTACATTGTCACGCCCTTGACACAAGATGAGCTGGGCAAGGTCAACGTCCTTGTGAAGGGGTCAGTGACTCTGCCAGATCAAGTCACCAGGCAACAGGTAGGTGAAGCATGCATCTCATTAAAACCAGATCTTAGTTCTCGCTACAGCTAAACAATGATCTGAGGACATCCCATTACGGGTCATGTCAGACCGACCTTGCGCGAACTTTGACCGACCAATTGAATGACCAATCAGAAGGCAGCTTTCTCATGCTTTACGGCACTAATTTCAAATTAGCGACTACGCTTCGAAACATATTTTGACAAATTCTTGATTATAAATTTGAAACCTGAACAAAAGAACAGTCTGGAATGGCTAATAGATGGTCTAGATTGTATGGATTCAGTCGTTAAACCCGTAACTATCGTTCGGAGTTAAAGTTTTCGAGGTTGCATGATTAGAAATCACATTCCGACTGTCACTTTCATAATCTGGTAAGCGATGCTCTGATTGGTCGGATGAAAGGACGTGACCCCTAATGGGATGTCCTTTGTTTAGCGGTAACGAGAACTGGGATCTGATTTAAATGAGATTGCTCATGCTCTAAGCATACACTGGGCCTTTTATTCTTTTTAGATGGTTTACCAGACCGAAAATCTAATAGTATATATAAAAAAAATAAGACTGAACTATTTTGGCCAACTCAATCACGGTTAGGTGAAAAGACAAAAAACACAAGACTTTAATCACTGCTGTTAGTAAAAAATGGTGAATACATACATATAAAAATCTTTTTTCTAACAAAATAAATGAATCTTTTGGCATCTCTATGACTTGTTTGTTTTTCATTCATTAGTGACAGCACTAATCTGGAAGTTGAAAATTTCTTTATTTCGACTACTTACGTTGAATTTTTATCAAAAATATTCGGATCTAATAAACTAGAAAAATGCCTTGAGGTCTATATGATGGTTTCTGGGGACTTTGAGAAATGATGGTCAAGGGACTGCTTCAGTTTATACTACAAGTGTTTGCCATGATAAATTCATTAAGCTACGTTATGTTTTGTGTTATGGTTAATGGAGTTTTAGCTAACCATGCTGCATGATTAGGTTTAAGTCAATAAAGATTGGAAGCTCAGTATGTTTTTTTCTTACGTTAACTAAACCAGCACAGTCTGTATTTAAGTGCAGTTTGTTTGCTTTTCTCAACTTGTTCTCGTTATTAGTTGTTTTGCAGTGGCCATAAATGAATAGGTTTTTCATGTGCTTGGAAACGCCTGTTTTTCATCTGCTTTCAATTCAGAAAACTGATGAGGCGAAGCCATATTGTGACAACTTAACCAGGAGTATCGGGTCTTGGAAGACTAACTTTAAGGACAGGAAGATGAAGCGACCTGGTGCTGTGTTCAGAAGTCACCAGAAGTGATGCTGTCTGACATGCTGAGTCGTGCTGTGATCAGATGATCCAGGGTGCCCCACTGTTGCATGAAGAGAGTGATCAGCATGATCGGTGTACCGCTGTTCTCAAATTACCAATGAATAAAGGAATTAACAAGACAAAGTATATTATTAAAAGTTTATTCGTTGATTTTTTTTTTTGTATTTGTTTCATCATATGAAGGATTTCTTTCATCTTGACATAAAAAAAATATATAGTCAACACGATATGATTCAAAAGGAATTATCATTGTAGATCAGATCTACTTTTGTATTAAAGTTTAATACAGACAGAAACTGCTCAGTCCTAAATGTCCAGTAAGCAATATTTTAAACCGGACATTTGAGATTCCCAATCGGACATGTCCGGCGCATATGACGGTTTCCAGACCCCTGTATTAAACACCTTGTAGGGGTTCCGTGATAGAATAGGCCCCAAGCAACATATGCTGGCTGTAAGAGGCAACGAGATGGATCAGGTGGTCAGGCTTGGTGACTTGGTTGGTTGGATGTCAACATCCCCCCAACACAGTGGATTGTTGCTTACATTTACAATAGCCATCACTTGATTGTCTTGACTCAATCATAACTGGAATAATGCTGAGCAAACTTTAGATAACAACAACAAAATCAATGATTGGAAAGTGAAACCAATCATCAATGAAATTGAATTAGACCAGCAAGTCTAATTACCAGATGATTTCATTAATTCTACATACTGGGTAATCAGGACAGGGATATTGACTCAGCCATCATGCATACTACATCTGATATTGCATACCACATCCGAGATTGCATACCACATCCGAGATTGCATACCACATCCGAGATCATTTCACAACTTATTTCATATTTCTGATGATTCCATTCACTATGTCCTCCTGTCTGTAAATGAGAACCTAGCTGGGCAGTCGGGCACCATCAGCATCCGAAAAGTCTGCCCCATCTCCTTGTGGTGCCACTCCACTTGGAAGCGCAGCAGAATCTTTGTCAGAAGAACATACAGGTCTTGCTCAGCAAATCTTCTTCCTGTTAAACACACATCACAACTCAACTGAGTTTACACCACACAGCATTTCAAATAACAGAAGAGGGCACAGTTGGCCCTGTCATCTAAGGCGCCGCAATTCGCTGTGCTGAATTGTGTCCTCGGGCACGCCAGAAACCAATGATTATGTTTCTAGGTTTGTCAGCAACATACCGCTGCTCTTGAGTTTCACCAAAGGGGACATCTGAGACCTGCATCACTTTGGCCGTTCTTCCGACATAAAGCCGTATGCTGTGATATAACTGGCATACTGTTCAAAGTGGCATTAAACCTAACTCACTCACTTACTCAAATAACAGAAATATTTCCAAGTAGTGGAAAGATCTTGAGAAGATCACCGGATTAACCTAAGACAGCATGTGTATATATATACATATATCTCAACACCATTATTTCAGGAAGTGGGTGAGTGAGTGAGTTTGGCCTAACGCGACTTTGGACAGTATTTCAGTTACATCACACCGTGTCAGCTTGATGTGGGAGAGAAGATGGAGGTGATGCAGGTTGAAGACTATAGCCACTTTTGTAAACAGTGACTCAAAATCCATCAACAAAGGATTTTGCACTCGATGTGATGCAATGCAATGACATGCCAAAGTGCAAATGTCAAATTATAAAATATTACAAAAATGGAACATATGTGTTGACCCCCAATACTAACTACACATGTACCAACTTCCATTACATTTTGAACAATAATGCCCATGTAATGGCCCTAAATAGCTTTTCAATATGGCTGCTGTGATGGCCATATTGAATTTCAGATTCAAACCTCTTGATTAAATTCTGGGGTCATCATTGTGGGAATAGACATGTGAAATTTCAGCCTCATTGGTCCAAAGTAGACATAATTTATGCATAACAACTTCTTTAATACTGTAAATAGCAACGTTTCGGTATAGATCCTTGTACCGTTGTCAAGCAAGAATCAGTATTAAAGAAGTTTTAATTCATAAATTGTGTCTACTTTGTCATCCATCAACTTGTAATGTCTATCAAACAACTCATTGGTCCAGTGGAAGATGTTTACAGCTGCCGATGCCAACGGATGCCAGACAAGAAGGCCATGACAAACGCTCACTTGACTTTTAGTCAGGTAAGCTAAAAATGTTTTAGACATTGCACCATGTAGGCAAATACAATTCATTATCCCATGGACCTGTGAAGATCCGGGTTTGAATAGGTCTTCAGCAAACCATGCCATAAGAGGTGACAAACATGATCGAGTGGTGTGACTCGATGACTTGATTGATGCATGTCATCATATCCCAATTGTGTGGATCGATGCTCATGATGTCAATCACTGGATTGTCTGGTCCAGACGTGATTATTTACAGACCGCCCTCATATAGCTGGAATATTGCCAAGTGCGGTGTTAAACAACAAACCAACACACTCACTCCAACAGGTACCACCACCAAGAACCCTTGCATCCTTACTTTAGATTGGGTGGTCAAGTGGAATAACAGAGTAAAAGATCTGATTTTATTAGAGATAAGGTCAATCTGATGGCTACACAGCACTCACCTGCACACATCCGTGGCCCATGGCTGAATGGTGTGAGGATGAAGGGATGGATGTCGTGGGCGGAACCTCCGCGAAGCCAACGCTCAGGAAGAAAAGTCTCTGGTTCATGGAAGTACTCAGGCTTTTTGAAGAGTACAAAGTTGTTTAGTTCCACACGAGTCTGTAAAGACATGTGACAGTAGTGGACAAAACAATGGTAGGCGAGTTAATCAAATAATCTGATAGTTTCCTGTGACATCATGTTTGGTGACACGCATTGTGCCCATGTGGAACATTGAAACATTGTCTAGGAGCAACGAGCAAATGCTTTGACTACTTGGCTAACCTACCGTGTTAATTGTTGATGAAGTACAATAGAATTCACTGACAGTCGACTGGAATCTCTTACTAACCCTAGCAGGTACCTGTACCCCCCTCACTCAACCCAGAAGGTGCCTGTATCCCCTCACTCACCCCAGCAGGTACCTGTACCCCCTCACTCAACCCAGAAGGTGCCTGTATCCCCTCACTCACCCCAGCAGGTACCTGTACCCCCTCACTCACCTCAGCAGGTTCGTCCTCAATCGCCCCAGCAGGTACCTGTACCCCCTCACTCAGCCCAGGAGGTACCTGTACCCCCTCACTCACCCCAGCAGGTACCTGTACCCCCTCACTCAGCCAAGCAGGCACTTGTACCCCCTCACTCAGCCCAGCAGGTACCTGTACCCCCTCACTCACCCCAGCAGGTACCTGTACCCCCTCACTCACCCCAGCAGGTACCTGTACCCCCTCACTCAGCCAAGCAGGTACCTGTACCCCCTCACTCAGCCAAGCAGGTACCTGTACCCCCTCACTCAGCCCAGCAGGTACCTGTACCCCCTCACTCACCCCAGCAGGTACCTGTACTCCCTCACTCACCCCAGCAGGTACCTGTACCCCCTCACTCAGCCCAGCAGGTACCCCCTCACTCAGCCCAGCAGGTATCTGTACCCCCCTCACTCAGCCCAGCAGGTACCTGTACCCCCTCACTCACCCCAGCAGGTACCTGTACCCCCTCACTCACCCCAGCAGGTGCCTGTACCCTTTCACTCACCCCAGCAGGTACCTTTACCCCCTCACTCACCCCAGCAGGTACCTTTACCCTCTCTCTCACCCCAGCAGGTACCTTTACCCCCTCACTCACCCCAGCAGGTACCTTTACCCCCTCACTCACCCCAGCAGGTACCCCTTACTCACCCCAGCAGGTATATGGTACCCTCCAACAACTAGGTCTTTCTGGACAATTCTGGTCACATCCAGACCAACAGGGTAAAACCTGAAAGTAAATCAAAGTCATGTGAAGTCATGTGAAGTATTCCTGGAAGCTTCCAACTTACATTGTCTTACATTGCAGTTAAGGTACATAACAGCTCTGTTATGCAATATCACTGTCGTATCATGAGTGTGTGGGTCTGGTTTAACATCGCTTTAAAAAGTATTCCAGTTATATCACAGTGTGTCAGCTTAATGTGGAAGGAAAGGAAAGATCTCAGATCTTTATAACTTTGGTGAAACTAACAAGCATTGGTTTGGTGCTGACAAAGCCAGAGACATAATCGAGTGAACCTGGATTCAAACCAATGATCACAGCTTCTTGGGTGCCCAAGGGACACAACTCTGCACAGCAAATTGCGACGCCTTAGACGACTGGACAAACGATGCCCCCACCAGTCATTTTTATCAGTATTCAGCATGAAGGGTAAGGCTATTTTTCAGGGAATTATGATTTGCAGTCTTTAAATATGGTGTCAGCATTACATTTATTTGTATATAAATGTACATCACATGATCAAAAGGTGATCTCCCATTGGACAATAGTCTCAAGCTGTGCTTTAATAGTAAGAACATGTATTACCTGAAAGTCTCTTTGACACAAGCTTTAAGATATGGCATCTTCTGTATCATCTTTGCACTTATCTCCCCTTCCTGAGGAACCACGGCTCTAATCTCCTCCACCAGGTTCTGCTGCACGTTGGGGTGTGCTGCCAGGCAGTACAAGTTGAAGAGAGCAGCTGGGACTGTCTGGAGGAAATAACTACATTTATACCCCACTGCTGGGACTGTCTGGAGGAAATAACTACACTTATACCCCACTGCTGGGACTGTCTGGAGGAAATAACTACACTTATAACCCCACTGCTGGGACTGTCTGGAGGAAATAACTACACTTATACCCCACTGCTGGGACTGTCTGGAGGAAATAACTACACTTATACCCCACTGCTGGGACTGTCTGGAGGAAATAACTACACTTATACCCCAGTGCTAGGACTGTCTTAAGGGCCTATCTGGAGGAAATAACTACCGTATTTTCTTGAGTATAGTGCGCACCCATGTATAATGCGCACCCCCCTCTAGCGGGTTCAGTATTTTGGAAAAAGAAATATTTGAATACCAAGCGCAGAAAAAAATTATACCGTACCCCTTCAGCGAAGTTCCGGCAAACAAGCGGGTGAATTGGAGATAAAAAAAATCACCAGACATGTTGATTTACCGTTTAAATAGTATTTATTGTTCTGCTAGGCATTGTTTTATATCCAGGGATTAAGATTACCTTGTGTATTTTCTCATAAACTAAGCCGGAAACAGCAATCAGCTGTACACACGTTTTCTTGGAATCGACCGGTGATTCGGTCCAGACACACTCAATGATATAACTTTACAGGATTTTTTAATGCAAGGATCGGCAAAAAATGTATCTGAAACTATTTTTTAATCAGGAATAATATTTTTCTAATATCTTGTTAATTGAGATGCAGCTTTTACTAAACATATTTAAAATAATAATAACCCTAAGCGAAGCAGCTGATCGCTATTCCAGGGTATTATTTTTTACATGGAACCAATCTGACCAGTCACCGTCAAGGCTCACGCGCACGTGATAGCATGATCGCGAGAATTACATGTTGACATAGAATCGTCCAACAAAAACAAATATGACTTTTAACGAGTCAAAAGTATGGCATTTATGATATATGTATCCATTCTCTGTCAACTAAAGTCAACAAGGCGTCAATAGCGGTATTCTGACCGTGGTTGCTGTTAATAACGATGAGTTGTGCAATCTTCCTATCGCTTCACACATGATTTCGCCGACATTAATAAAAACAATATTAAAAGGAATTTTGAATAAAATTAATGAAATAAGTTACAAACATAAGTTCAGATATACAAAGAACACTTTTTATAGCCAGACAGTGTAATTACATGTTTAATTTGGGTACTTCAGTATGGATTTGTTGACATGGTAATTCCGGTGTTTCGTGCACACGGTAATGACTTTCAATGACATCCAAACTAATAATTCGTGTATAATGCGCACCCCCTTCTACAAAGCTGTGTTTTTTGGAAAAAAAGTGCGCACTATACTCAAGAAAATACGGTACACTTATACCCCACTGCTGGGACTGTCTGGTGGAAATAACTACACTTATACCCCACTGCTGGGACTGTCTGGAGGAAATAACTACACTTATACCCCACTGCTGGGACTGTCTGGAGGAAATAACTACACTTATACCCCACTGCTGGGACTGTCTGGAGGAAATAATGGGCTTTTGAGCTTGGCCACCTAAAGATCAAGATTATTGGTGGGACGATACAATCAAAACCTACCGTGCTGAGTCCATCCCCAAACAAGGACAGCGTGATGATGGAGACATCTTTAAAGCTGAGTTCTTTCCGTGAGAGAAGGTATGCGAGGAACGTGTACTTGTTTTCTGTCAGCTTGCCCTCATCTACCAATGTCTTGATCTCCTGAGCTGTTTCCTCTACTAAACGGAGCCCATTCCTAGAAGACAATACAGATGAGTGAGTGAGTGAATTATGTCAGATGCTGCTTTGACAGATATTTCAGTTATATATTTGGCATGTCCCTGTCAACTTAATATGGCAGGAAACCCCAAAGTGATGAGTGAGGGGGACACCAGAATTGTCTTCACACATTGTACCCATGTATGGAATAGAACCAGGGGTCTTCGGAGTGACGAGCGAACGCTTTAACCTCTAGGCTACCCCACCGCCCCCTGCACATTGAAATGAGACTGAAATACCTACAGTCCGGGACAGTCATGTTGCTGGTGAAGCTAAAGGTTGGAGTGTTTCAGTTCAGGTGGTCAGACTCGCTGACTTGGTTGATGCATGTCATCGTGTCCCAATTGTGTAGATCGATGCTCATGATGTCAGTCACATGATTGTCTGGTCCAGACTCATTTATTTACAGACCGCCGTCATATAGCTGGAATATTGCTGAGTGCAGCCTGAACAGCAGACAAACAAACAGCGATGACATTTCAATCGTCCAAGTCTCACATGTCTGACCACCTAAACCCCATATTACCAGTAGTCAGCACAAGGTACTGAGAGTGTTGAGGAATTAGATGCATCACAGTTCCTGACATAAAATGCAGTTTAAATTTAAGACATTTCAGTTCTTTATAGTGAGATATACTGTTGAGGAGACAAAACAGAAAATATCTCTACCCAGTAAAGTAGTCCTCAGACTCTAAAATGGTCTTCCACGTTGGGGTGATGACAAACTTATGTAGAGGTAGGGAAAACTTCATTTTGGTAGACTTATCAAACAAAATTCTGTTTGCGTCTGCCATCTTGTTTGCTTCTTCTGGAGCTGAATCATCCAAGTATCCCAGACGTGTCTCAAAACAATTCATTGCTGCAGCTGAAAAAAATGATAGCAACGGGATAAAGCCATTCATCACACAACTCTAAACTTCACTACTGCAATGAAAGTATAGGGTTTTTTTATTTTCTGTTTTATAAATAAGCCTTCCCCTCCAAAAAGAAGGAATTAAAAGTTATTCTTGTGAAACAACCATAAATCATCCATGACAACCGTAATATCTCTAATTTCAACCTAAGTTCCCAAGTGGAAAATTGGAAAAAAACCCATTATTTTCAAACTTGGTAAATTTTTTTAACCTCATATTTTCAAAAAAAGAGAGGTATTTTGACATTGTTTTCAATGCAATAATGTGAGAATCAGCATTCATGCTTCTTCCTCTTTATTGGTCCTGTCATCAGCGACCTCTACGAGCACCTCCACATGTCACCTCTACGAGCACCTCCAATTGTCACCTCTACGAGCACCTCCACATGTCACCTCTACGAGCACCTCCACATGTCACCTCTACGAGCACCTCCACATGTCACCTCTACGAGCACATCCACATGTCACCTCTACGAGCACCTCCACATGTCACCTCTACATGTCACCTCTACGAGCACCTCCACATGTCACCTCTACGAGTACCTCCACATGTCACCCCTACGAGCACCTCCACATGTCACCTCCACATGTCACCTCTACGAGCACCTCCACATGTCACCCCTACGAGTACCTCCACATGTCACCTCCACATGTCACCTCTACGAGCACCTCCACATGTCACCCCTACGAGCACCTCCACATGTCACCCCTACGAGCACCTCCACATGTCACCTCTACGAGCACCTCCACATGTCACCCCTACGAGCACCTCCACATGTCACCTCCACATGTCACCTCTACGAGCACCTCCACATGTCACCTCCACATGTCACCTCCACATGTCACCTCTACGAGCACCTCCACATGTCACCTCTACGAGCACCTCCACATGTCACCCCTACGAGTACCTCCACATGTCACCTCCACATGTCACCTCTACGAGCACCTCCACATGTCACCCCTACCAGCACCTCCACATGTCACCTCCACATGTCACCTCTACATGTCACCTCTACGAGCACCTCCACATGTCACCTCTACGAGTACCTCCACATGTCACCCCTACGAGCACCTCCACATGTCACCTCTACGAGTACCTCCACATGTCACCCCTACCAGCACCTCCACATGTCACCTCCACATGTCACCTCTACGAGCACCTCCACATGTCACCCCTACGAGTACCTCCACATGTCACCTCCACATGTCACCTCTACGAGCACCTCCACATGTCACCTCTACGAGCACCTCCACATGTCACCCCTACGAGTACCTCCACATGACACCTCCACATGTCACCTCTACGAGCACCTCCACATGTCACCCCTACCAGCACCTCCACATGTCACCTCTATGAGCACCTCCACATGTCACCTCTACGAGCACCTCCACATGTCACCTCTACGAGCACCTCCACATGTCACCTCTACGAGCACATCCACATGTCACCTCTACGAGTACCTCCACATGTCACCCCTACGAGCACCTCCACATGTCACCTCTATGAGCACCTCCACATGTCACCTCTACGAGCACCTCCACATGTCACCTCTATGAGCACCTCCACATGTCACCTCTACATGTCACCTCTACGAGCACCTCCACATGTCACCTCTACGAGCACCTCCACATGTCACCTCTACGAGCACCTCCACATGTCACCTCTACGAGCACCTCCACATGTCACCTCTACAAACACCTCCACATGTCACCTCTACGAGCACCTCCACATGTCACCTCTACGAACACCTCCACATGTCACCTGTACGAGCACCTCCACATGTCACCTCTACAAACACCTCCACATGTCACCTCTACAAGCACCTCCACATGTCACCTCTACGAGCACCGCCACATGTCACCTCTACGAGCACCTCCACATGTCACCTCTACATGTCACCTCTACGAGCACCTCCACATGTCACCTCTACGAGCACGTCCACATGTCACCTCTACGAGCACCTCCACATGTCACCTCTACGAGCACCGCCACATGTCACCTCTACGAGCACCTCCACATGTCACCCCTACGAGCACCTCCACATGTCACCTCTACGAGCACCTCCACATGTCACCTCTACGAGCACCGCCACATGTCACCTCTACGAGCACGTCCACATGTCACCTCTACGAGCACCTCCACATGTCACCTCTACGAGCACCGCCACATGTCACCTCAATGAGCACCTCTACGAGCACCTCTACGAGCACCTCCACATGTCACCTCCACAAGCACCTCCACATGTCACCTCTACGAGCACCTCCACATGTCACCTCCACAAGCACCTCCACATGTCACCTCTACGAGCACCGCCACATGTCACCTCTACGAGCACCTCCACATGTCACCTCTACGAGCACCTCCACATGTCACCCCTACGAGCACCTCCACATGTCACCTCTACGAGCACCTCCACATGTCACCTCTACATGTCACCTCTACGAGCACCTCCACATGTCACCTCTACGAGCACCGCCACATGTCACCTCTACGAGCACCGCCACATGTCACCTCTACGAGCACCTCCACATGTCACCTCTACGAGCACCTCCACATGTCACCCCTACGAGCACCTCCACATGTCACCTCTACGAGCACCTCCACATGTCACCTCTACGAGCACGTCCACATGTCACCTCTACGAGCACCTCCACATGTCACCTCTACATGTCACCTCTACGAGCACCTCCACATGTCACCTCTACGAGCACGTCCACATGTCACCTCTACGAGCACCTCCACATGTCACCTCTACGAGCACCGCCACATGTCACCTCAATGAGCACCTCTACGAGCACCTCTACGAGCACCTCCACATGTCACCTCCACAAGCACCTCCACATGTCACCTCTACGAGCACCTCCACATGTCACCTCTACGAGCACCTCCACATGTCACCTCTACGAGCACCTCCACATGTCACCTCTACGAGCACCTCCACATGTCACCTCTACAAGCACCTCCACATGTCACCTCTACGAGTACCTCCACATGTCACCTCTACGAGCACCTCCACATGTCACCTCTACGAGCACCTCCACATGTCACCTCTACGAGCACGTCCACATGTCACCTCTACGAGCACCTCCACATGTCACCTCTACGAGCACCGCCACATGTCACCTCAATGAGCACCTCCACATGTCACCTCTACGAGCACCTCCACATGTCACCTCTACGAGCACCTCCACAAAGCCATCACATTAGTTGTAACAAATTCAAAAGGACATAGGAATGAGACTTAGTCAACTGCATGGGACTTGTAATGATACTAAGTCCAACTGATTTTCTTAATATGACCAAATCTTTGACCCAAGCTGATTTTGTCTAAAGATGTAGCAGAAAAATGTGGTAAAAATTCATCCTTGGTCATGGAATTGCACATACTTAAGTTTTTTCTTGAAGTTGGCCATTTCACTCATTTAACCTGGATTGATCAAACCAATAGTCCAAAACTTGCCAGCATAACAAAGAAAAAAGGCTAGTTGTCACCTATTTAAACATGTCTTATAAATTTCATTCTAATATTTCAGCAAACTTTTGACATTTCCAGTGAGCCAAACAAGGTTGTTATCGTAACTTGTCCTATTGTCACCTTAGACTTTTTAAACTGAGTGAGTATGATTTTACGCTGCTTTCAGCAATCTTCCAGCAATATCACGGTGGGGGACACCAGAAATGGCTTCACACATTGTGCCCATGTGGAGAATTGAACTAGGACCTTCGGTGTGACGATTGAACACTTTAACTACTGGGCTTCCCCACCGCCCCTCGACATTTTAGAAGCATTTGGGGTTGGATGAAACCCAGGGAGCTGAGAATGCTCCAGGAATACACACTGGTCTGTTGACTGGGGGTATGTGAGACTTATACCTCTGTAGTGTAGAATTCATTATACATTGTACATGTATAATTGAAATATCATCTTCACCTGTTTTATTGTTATCACATAGATATTTCATAAGTACTACCGTATTCGACGTAATAAGCGCCCAGGGCGTCTCAAAATTAGAAATAGGGGGCTCTTATTAGAATATTATTTTGGTGGAAAAAAAACAGAGTTGAAAGATAAATTTCGTGGTTATGCTGACAGCCTGAAATGTTTATGTACGACAGATATATTTTTCTAGAATTTAATTACCCATAAATAAGGGTGCATATAACACATGAGTACCTATTGTAATCAAATAAATAAGTCTTGTGAATATTGTTCAATCGGAAGGGGTGCTAATTGGGATTGTTCACTAGCCGATATATTAGCAAATACCGCCATGGGCGCTTATTTGAGCAGGGCGCTTATTAAGTCGAATACGGTATTAGTCTTAGGTGCAATTTGACCTACATTCCAAAGACCACTTTGCCATTTCGTTCTCGAAATCTTCCACTTCATCATCTTCATTTCTTAATTTCTCGATCTTGGACACAAATTCTGAGGCAACTTGGTTAGTGAAGGGGAGGTAAGCGGTGACTTCCTGTGGTCTCATCATCATCTTCTGAACCGCAGTGCGGAGACGGTACCATTCTTCACCATTACTGTAAACAAGAGATAAGATAGATCAGGCTTTATTATCCCAAAGGAAATTTGGGTTAATTATTAAATGAATGAGTAAAATTTAATGACTCCTCAGCAGAATATCATGACAACAGTCAAACAAGTTATAGGAGATGTAGGCATGTTTAGAGATTAATTTATATTAAATTAGTCTGAAAAAAACATCTCCAACATCCAACTAATGGTCACTAGTGTCTTGGACTAGTGGACTTTAAGAGAGACTGGAATTGTTTTAATTGGCAGTCCAAGCAAGTTATTCTGAAACCACTTTCTTTGCCTGTAAAGTGAAATTCATAATGTATACTGACCATAAAGGTTTAGGATCATGAATATTTTTTTGTAGTTAAGGCACAATTTCATAAAAATATCCCTCAAAATGTCCATGATCCCTTATTCATTTTTTTCAGAATATATCAAATCTAGCAGTAGATAATTACACTAATTACATAAAGGCAACAACATCACAGTTTAACACAAGTCATGGGTTACATCTAGACCTGTACTGAAACTGGCACCAGATCGTAAAGCATAGGTCTCTGTAAGTTAACTTAATACCACAGCTTAAACCATTAAATCTTGTAAATGTAGCCATTACTGGTTTACAGCATTCGACAGCCTGGAAGCTCCCGCCAGAATTCATTATCAACAGCTGCATAACTTGGGCTTCATCGGAAGTCCCCTTCTAATGAAATCAGCTCGGGAAACGATGGTATACTATTTAAATAAACAGAAACATCATGGAGAATTCAAGTGGAAGCGGGAATGGCCATGTAGCTGAATGATGTAAAACAATCATAGATGCATTAATGATACAGACGACTGCAAGATTTTCAAAATTAGGGTACATTTAGATATGATCTGGCACAAAAAATAATGGCATTGAAAATATGAGTACCGTATTTCCTTGAGTATAGTGCACACTTTTTAAAAAAACACCACACTGCTGTGTAGAAGGGGGTGCGCATTATACACAAATTAATGAGTTTTGATTTTTTTTCCCCCCATGGAAAGACATTACCGCGAGCAGGTAACACCGGAAATACCATGTCAACAAATCCATACTGAAGTACGCAAATTAGTCATTTATTTAAAAAAAATAAAATTGAATCCGCTAGAGGGGGGTGCGCATTATACATGGGTGCGCACTATACTCAAGAAAATTCGGTACAACTCGAGATAACGTTTTGTACCCAGGATACATTGGGATGGTAAACTAATCCAGAGTGACCCTATCAGCCTCAACAAGCACCTGTAGAAGTACAAGATGCTTACGTAAAACCCAGTCCGGGAGACATGTTCCTCTTCCGTCTGTATTGCTGCACACTCTCCAGCAGTGGGGGGATATAGGGAATTTTGCCTTCATGCTGGTACACTGTTCTAAAATAGTCGGGGTCAAATACGTGTACCGTAGTGGTGCCGGTGACCGTCTGCTTCACGATCTTCCCATATTTGGCATGCAGCCATTTCAACGAATCTTGATACTTGTCAACATTCTTGAAACGTCCTGTGTCAAAAAAAGAAATGTGTTACATATACAACATTAGTATCCACAGTGTAAAAAATAACAGAGTTCATAGAAATCGTATGTGCATGAGCACAAATATCTCTTCACGTGCACCAGTGTATTGTTTCAGTCATCCAAACAGCATTGATGACATCATTAAAATCTTTAAAATATAGTGAAGCAAGGTTGGAATGACGTCACACTAGCAACAACTTTATAGCCTAAGACTGTCATCTTCCCAAGGCAAGGGCGTTAAATGACTATAAAAGTCCAGTTCCCACCCTAGCTGAACTAGTCTGGTATTCCGGAGTTACATTTTGGCTGGACTAACGAGTCTATGCATAGTCCAATCAAAATCGCACAACGAACTACATGGATTGGGTCGAATGCAGGATTTGCAAAGCTTGTGTACCACCAAATGGGCGTCAACAGATATTCCAATCTTTTCATGTTTTTAATCAAGGTGCTCAAGTGATCTGATGCACTTTGTGGCGCAAGACTCGTTTTGTGAGAAGAATAGGCTGCTATTCCACAATGAAGATGTCATCTGCAGATTTCTCAGTTCCATGAGCAGATGTCGTGCAGTCATTCAGGCCAATGGTGGGACACATATGCTACGAGGCTTTAGAAAGTGATGTAACCTGCACATGCAAAGACTCTTGCATTATAAACGTTTGATGACTTTGTTTCATTTGTAATCTTACACATGTGCCACATTATCTATTCTTTGTATAAGATAGCTAAATGATAAATTACAAAGAACAATGAAAAATGAGGTGTTGTTTATTTCATGACAAAACATTCTTCTATCATGATGTCATATCAGAGACCGCCTCTGTGGTCTTGTGGTACATCGTCCGCCCAGAGAGCGGAAGGTCCAGGGTTCAATCCCTGGCCACATCATACCAAAAGATGTTAAAAGATGGTACTTGTTGTTACCCTGTCTGGCATACGGCATTAAGAGGCTAAAACAAGGACAGGTCGGCTGGGAGTCAGTATACTGTGTCTGAGTGGGGTAGTCATGTTAACTGCAGCATGGTATCTCCGTGAGCTAGCACTAAAAATCGGCATCAGTCCGGACTATTACAAGCAGTCATACACACATACGTACATGCACGTCGCCATATAAGAGCAATAATCTTGGACGCGATGTTAAACCCCATTTCACCTCACCTCTAGAGATTTAAAACATACACTCGCAACTTGATGACGTCATACATTGGACAACACTATTTTTTAGAGGGTAGCGAGTTGTTTCCCTTATATGTAGCTGGGCAACCCAGATAAACGTTTAGTTTGTTGGTTTGTTGTTTAAAGCCGCACTCGGCAATATTCCAGCTATATGACGGCAGTCTCTAAATAATCGAGTCTGGACCAGACAATCCAGTGATTAATATCATGAGCATGGATCATGCAATTGGGATCGTTGACATGCATCAACCAAGTCAGCGAGTCTGACCACCCGATCATGTTAGTCGCCTCTTACGACAAGCCATATAACGAGTGGGTGAGATACAGCAATCAATAATGAAAAAAGGTACAGATAGTGGCCGTTAATTGTTTGTGAATATACAGGGAATACCAAACTAAAACCATGTTCTTAAAACTTGTCCGACATTACTGAGATCGGATTGTACTCAGGGAGTCATCATTATCTAAATCAGAGACCAGATACCGAGGGACAGGCCTCAGGGTTAATTAGGAACTGATCACTGCCGTGCAAGACAAAGCAATAATTATCGCGTGGCTGTGAGAGATCTGCAAGATTTGAAGTGAGTGAGTGAGTTGGGTTTAACGCCACTTTTAACAGTGTTCCAGTTATATCACGGCGTGTCAGCTTAATGTGGGAGGAAAGCCCGAAGTGATGCAGGTTTTAGACGTTTACCACTTCGGTGAAACCCACAAGCACAGGTATGGTGCTGACAAACCTAGAAATATAATCGGGGTGAACCAGGATTCGAACCCACAATCATAAGTTTCTGGCATGCCAAAGGGACGCAACTCTGCACAGCAAATCGCGGCGCCTTAGACGACTGGGCCACCCGTGCCCCCCGAGATTTGAAGGCTCACGTGAAAGTGTTTTCGGACTATATTCCCTTCATCTATTTCATCCACGTTAAGTTATGTTACCTTTCCTGATTTTGTAAAGGATGACAATAATTTATCGTAGATATGTCAAACTTGATGTAGCTTATAACATTTATTATGGGAAACTGAATCATGCACTGTCCTGATGGCCTTCATGTACATACAGAAAATGGTGGCCCCCTCGAAATTTGGAAAATAGTCATTTTCCGAGTGCATATTAGTCAAGTTAAATGTAATTAAAGTCCTTAGTTACTGGGGTGTATTATATGATCTACGATTCTTCTCAGTACCTGTGTAGTTTGTTTTGGTACTGTGTCAAAAACAGCAATCAAAATATATCAGTAATTGTAATTCTGTTATTTCGTCATGCTTACAACAATCATTATGCTACATCTTGTAGGACACTTATTTTAGTACTAAATTGATACAAGAAGATTTCATGTGCCTTTTTGCAGTGAGCACTATTTCGGTATATGGTCTCTGTTTAAATATACAATACTCGTAAATATTTTTAAAGCTTGTCAATTTTATTAACATCCTTAAAGAGGCTGTTTGAATGTTGATATCTGATATAAGAAATAAATGACTTGTTTTTTTCTTAAGTAGAAGTCATAGAATTAATCTCTTGAAAACCATGTACACATTTCTATTTGTGTGAAACATGTATTATTAACAGTACATGAACAAAACATTAATCACATAGAGTAATGTGATTGTGAGTGCGAGAAGGTGTGTGTGTGTGTACACACATAAGTAATTTATAATAAAGGAAAAAAACATGTCCAAATGAATGTATATTCATGAAATTGATCGTTTACCAAGATTCATACGTCATTAAACTTGCAGATTAACTCGCATGTACAAATTGCGGCGCCATCTGGCACGCTTTATTGTCAACATCGTCCTCTTGCATTTGGTGTCCTTATGCACGCCTGTTGGGGGACACACGTAAGGTTGATAAGATTATTTGCACATTCCTATATGCAAGGGGGCTATGTACAGTTCTGGGTAGTCAATAGCTTGTTGTATATACAAGTTTACTTTATATAGCCGGATATATATACAGGACACACTATGTACCAGGTTAGCACAGAGTGGAAGTGGATGTTGTGTTGCTGCCCGGAAGCTCCAGATGGCAGACAGTTGATGTACAACACAATGGGAATAAGGATCTTGAACAAGAAAATACGGGTAAGTGATATAGGAAATGCCCACACACATTATGTGAACTCTCAACATCTACTGAATGTCGTATTGAATCGTAGACCATTTATTGTGTGCTATGATGAATAGATAAACCACTAAACTCGTGAAGTTCACGTAATAATTTTCAAACAATCCTGATAGTGCAACACGTCAGTTTTAAATCACACACATCCAAGTACACACACGTCTTCCCATGTTTCCACATTCACCCGCTAACCGCACAGGCCGCGGATGCCTAAACGAGCCTCCTGGTGGTAATGAAGGCCGGGAATCAACCAAGCGCTAACGGTGAAGTGACACCAATACACAGGATATTCAAAGTCCTTTTACACACGCTGCAGTGACTTTGCCCACGCACGCGAAAAACCGGGTCCTGCAGTAGGAATTGAAAATCCACATCCCAAAGAGGCCACCCTGACTGTTGAAGTAATGGCAATTAAGTGATTCTAGACATATACACAACAACAAAAGTTCCTGTGACACCAATATTTTAGTGTATTTTTCAAACAAGTAAAGTTTGCTTTTCAATATTGTAGTACCTGTATGGAATCAGGTCACAAAAATGCAACTTATACAGAAAAGCATGCATTCCATGCAAAAGTTGACTTTTATGCAAGCCCCATGCATTTCACAACCCAAGAATGGGTATAAAAACATGTGCGTTAACGGGATTCCATATGCATTGTTTAGCATATGCATTGCTGACAACAACCACTCAGAAAAACAACAAAATTACACATTCAACATTTTGTTATTCAACATTACGAAATGCCACGCCTGTCCGAAAATGAGCCTCCGCGAGCTATTGGTATGCTTGAAGCAGGATCGAGTCAACATGATGTTGCAAGACAATTAAATGTCCACAGAAACACCATTTGGTGTTGACGGCAATGTTGGCAACAGACGAATGCAGTCAGAGACCATCCTCGGAGTGGCAGGCCATGCGTAACCAATAATAGACAAGACAACTGGATTCGAACAACACACCTACGAAATCAGTTCCAGCCAGCAACAGTGACTGCAAGAAGCATCCCTGGCCTTCGACGAATATATTCACAAACTGTACGTCTTCGCCTCAGATGTGCAGGGATTGTCGCCAGAAGACCCGCCAGACGTCCCATTTTGACAGGAAACCACCGGCAAGCAGTGGTGCAGACAGCATCTCCGCTGGACGGCCATGCAGAGGGAACAAGTTCTATTCACTGAAGAGTCTCTTTTTCACCTCAGCCACAGCAATGGACAGATTCAAGTGTACCGATATCTAGGTGAACATTACGTCAATCATTGTGTCAGGGAAGAAGATCGGTTAGGGACGGCAGTGTTATGGTATGGGGTGGGATTACAGCAAGACAGAGGACCCGTTTGATAGTGGTTGAGGGAAATCTCAATGGACAGCGCTACTGCGACGAGATCATCGGCCCCTGTTGTTCTACCATTTTTGCGTCGTCATGGCCCAGGCATTACCTTTCAACATGACAACGCCCAGCCTCATCTTGCTCGACTTGTTTACGGTTCTCTTCAACAAAACAATGTGAATGTCATCCCCTGGCCGGCTCGCTCCCCTGATCTCTCACCAATCGAGCACATGAGGGATGAGATGGATCAGCGCCTTCGATGTCAACCACATGTTCCACAGACACCCCAGGAACTTCGAAACATGCTCCAGCAGATATTGACAGATTTCCCACAGGACTTTGTGCGACGGC